AATTGGCTGAATGATTTCGATTGTATTTCACAAAAAAAGAATGTCAGAACAGGAACAAGATTCTCGGTTTATCACGTAATTGTGGCGTGGCATCTGTTTGCGCTGTTTGGGCGGATGGCTGATAGATAGACTGCGTTGGTTGTATCTGCGGCGAAACGTGCGGTCGCTGAGAGACGGGAACGGCCGCGATCGGACATTCCCACTGGAATCCGGTGGATGTTCCCGTCCCCCGTATACGGGCCGCCGCGGAGGTGTCCCACGCACAGTCGGCTGATAAGTTTCCTTTATTCCTTCGCTGAAAGGCCGCAGTGTTGGTGGAAGGGGAGTCGGCAGGCGTGTCGCCAAGAACTCGGGACACTGATACACACAGTAGCGTCGCGCGCACACACACACTTTTCAGGCGCCCCGGTGACTAAGGTCAGTGTTTTCTCAAGGCAAAGTAAGAGTGCGGAAAGGCTTGGGAAAATGGGAAAAGGAATGCACATTTACAGGAACAGTTTCCTTTTTTAACTAGAGAACCAGAGAAAATTATTCAAGACACACTTTTGTTGCATTCATGGGGGCGCTTTCTTCTCGGGAATAAATGCACTTAACGCTGTAATGGCGTGTTTTTATATAGGAAGGCTTTATAAAGAGTTCATCTGTTTTTGTGTTCTTGTGGAATGGGTGTCCGTGTGGTTTTGATGGTCGGGTTTCCAGTCCAGCGTGTACACTGCCTATGATTCCAGACTGGCACCGAGATAAATGAGATTGCTTGAATATAGTTACTGAACTGAACGTGGGGCTTGTATTTGTAAAAAATGAAAAAATCCGGATGCGTATAAATAGGTTACAAAGTCAGGCTGTATAATATCAAGAAGGACAATCCCATCCATTCAGAATTGTGAATTTGTGAGGCATTTAGTGGGCTCAAGAATGGTTAAGGAAAACAGCTCCTCGCTGCTTTGCCAAGGCCCTGGAGGGGTTATACTGTAGTACTGAACCTTCATTTTTGTAGTAAAATATCCAGTTGCATAAACGAGCCATTTTGTAAGTCACAGTGAACAAAACTGTCAGTTAAGCAACAAAATGTAACCAGACATAACGGATTGCGGGATGTGAGGTGGGTGGCACGGTTATGTTTGGGCCACATTGAGTGACAGTCCCGTTCATTCGATTCGCCTGAGTCTTATAACGATTGATAAAGTTTTATCTTAGATACACGCTACACGTCCAGACCTTGTTGCTGGCTCCTCCACCCAGCCGTATCCCTTCCCTGTTTCCCGTGTTTTTCCCGTGTACCTCGGCCGAATTGGCCACCTTTCGTGTTGATTTTGATCCCCATCCTTCCATCCACATGCATCGCGGTCCTGCTCACCCACCATATCCCTACACCAGAATAAATTATTGCACCTTACAGATATTGGCTATTCAACTACACGATAACTGCACAAAAGCTGAAAGATTGCTGTATTTTATCAAAGGTACTTCTCACCCCAGGATTTTTGTGTTCCAATGGTGCAGAAGTACATCGTGTTCAACAGTCATTGCACCGTAGGAACATCTGAAGAATTGCTGTTACATGTTGAGCACTATTGCAGTAGCACTGTAAAGGCGCCATCTGGTGGCTACCGTCACCCTGATTAGAAGGCGCGAGAGTTGGTGACGCATGCCTGAAGAATAACCTAAGAGTTCCGATGAACTTCTGAATATGCAGATTTAATTCAGTTGACCGGCACTTTATGCAGAATTTTCCATTTCAATGCATAGAATATAGTTTTTTAAATTTGTCATTAAGTTAATGTAGCCTACTATTTGACTTAAAGCATTCTTTTACCATTTTCCCAGTAAGTCATATTGAGAAAGCCCTGGTTTAATTTACAATGAGGGAAAAGCATCACATTTAGTCACCACCTTTCACTGACAAAACTGCACATTCAGAAAAGGAAATATTACTATTTATGCTTTTCGTCAGAAAACTCGCCTAACCCAGCAAAATTCCACTGCTTATATTCTGACGTCATGGTTATTGACGTCAAGGCGAATGAAAATACATGTAATTCATTTTAGGAAACTCGGGATTACCGGAAAAATTCTGTGACCCCTTTGTTCTCGTAATGTCCTTTTCTGAGAAAGGTCATGGAGTAACTAGGCAATGTACCATTAATTAAGATGTAATAATATTTTCTCTCTAACGTTAATGTTATTTTAGCTACTTTGAGAAGCAACGATATATTTCATTAAAGTGGTTAAACTTTAAAGTTGTCACATAACATCTGCTGAACCTTTTGCCAATGTCAGTTTCTTTTCTACTTACCTGCGACCTTCCTCAGGATAAGCAGTTAGAAGATGAATGAATGATGTATTGACGTATGACCAGTATCAACCACTAGAGGTTATCATAATGCAAATAGCCATGATGAAAATAATTAATATGCTTTCATGTCATATTAAATTTTAATCACTCATGGGCAGCACTGAGAGGTGAGTTAAAATAGACATGGTCTCCATCTGTAAAATTAAGAAAATATCGTCTGGTAATATTGATAATGACAGAATTCTGTGATAATGAGTATAGTTATATAAGATTCCATATTTAAACGAAAGAGTAGCTAACCAAGTCCATTCTGACTGTTCCCCTCGCACCACTGCATCATCGGCTGGACTGCACCCCTGATATAGCAAGTAATTTCCTGCTAGGCTGGTTAAATTTATTGTGAGACCCCACCCCGGCCAAATTTCCCACGGGGGACCCCAAAGTCTAGGGCTGATATGTAATCCTAGTCCAGCCCTGATCACGAGTAATCGAAAAGCACTAAGAGCGGCAGCATCATTGTCACACAACACAAGTCAATCATAGTAATGAAACTAGACTTGTTTTGCCTAGAAAACTAGACTTCACACTACGACTTGCTGCCCTTTTTCAAATGGTTCACAAAACAAATGGGACGAGGACATTTCCTTGTTAAGGCTCAGGAAAAACCAACGTCTTGCTTGCAATTACCTAGTAAAATCTGTGGCATTTCAAAACAAAAAATGCGGGAAACTGGCCAGAAGTGGGAAAACATAAGTCAGTCTGACCATTCAAATAAAGCTGGTGAGGGAAATGTTTGGGGTCGTTCAGCTGATTTGTGGCAAAACAATGTGAGAGAATATAAATGGAATTTTACAGTGAGAATTTTTAAGAATTAGTCGCACATTTTTGGTTTTACATTCAGCTCGGTCAGTCTAACCAAGCCCACAGAGTATTTTCATGTGGCTCGGCTGTGGACGCCCCCCTTCTAGCTCATCCTGTTCCCTCTGAGGTAAACACCCAAGTGGCAGACAGACAGGCTTATCCCAAGCCACCAAGAACCGTATCCAAGCCAAATGGAGATGGTTTTCCATTGTAAATAATGTTAAGTCTTATCCACCCCATGCCCGCGCTGACTGACATGGCCCTGCCTAGCCGAGGGCGTAGCTATACCGAGCGGATGGCGTCAGCACCACCTGATTGGTCAAAATGAATAGCGATATGAAAAACCCGTAATTATTCATTATTAGTTGTATCGCACATTTGGATGTATTAATCCATTCCTGATAACTAGGAACTGCAAAATTCCCCAACGCCTGCTTGAAAAAGTACTATGCAAGAGCTGAACGGAATGGATTCGTAATATAAATTTGTGCAAGCTAATGCTAATTCCGCTAGTCTTTGATGCTAACATTACACAACGAACCACAGATATACTAACGGAAATTTGCACATGGCAAATGATGTGTGAACAGTGAATAAGCATTTCTCCAGTTTTACGCCACTGTCGGTCTCCAAATCCACGGCAACGCCTTTACCGAGCTGACCCTTACTGCAGTGGAAAAATCAAAGCGAGCTGGAACTGCACTACAGCTGCTGTCTCCGCAACATGGGTCAGGTACAGACTAGTACCTGTTTGCCAGCAGAAAAGCTCCATTACTCCTTACAACCAGCGACCTGCTGCTTCACACCTACTGGAACCACTTTTTGTTTACTGAGATGCACAATAAGAATACAGGACTGCATAAGAGCACATGCATGACCTGGGTGTAATTCTAGGACAAACGAGGTCAAACCCTGTTGACTCAGTACTCATGCATATACTTCCAAATGACTCAATGGTACAATTAAAAACCGGATAATCGTGTAGTTGAGAAATCCAGCAAGATGCAAGCTTTCAGGAACAGGGAAACTGATTCACAACTTACCCAAAGGAAAAAGCTGAGAATGGGAACAGGCAAGGACACAATAAGTTAATGTGCTCAGAGACAGCATTCCTTATCTTCTGTGCTGTAACAGTGACCCACAATATACCCAACAATGACTTACAGCAAAACACAGGGCATCAAAGGCAATAACGCTAAGCAAATGGGGACACAACCCCTGGGAGATAGAGTATCTCCGAGTTAGTTAATTTGAATTGATCGGGAGGGAGCTCATCGAATTGGCCTCATGCATCTCCATATCTTGGTCCTCCTCTGAGATCACACAAAAAGGGAAAACAAGTATGTTCCCATTTAGGAAAGGTCTTTGGATGAAAAACACCAGAATATTCTGTCACAGCACAGAGCTATACAAAGGAATGCTACAGAATTGTGTTGATGTTTCACATGCATCCAATGCATCAAAATATTGGAATGCAACATATTATTCAATATTCATGTTCCCACAGAAAGCAAGGTAAGTATGTTACACAAGGGAATCCTAATCCATGAAAAAGCTTTAAGTTATATCCTTCACAATCAGAGCATCTTTGCAAAAGCCCACCTTAAATTCACCAGAGTATTACTCAGACATCATTTTGGAACGTAGTGTCTGAACTTCCCCTGATTTGCATGACATCCCATCTTGTGTAGGTTTCACTTGGGTTCTCCTGTTTCCATCACACAGACCGCAGTATATTATTGACCAGGATCCATTGTGCTACCCAGGAAAGGCTGCTGGCCCCCCTGTGACCCCGATCAGGACAATGAACAATAGTGTGGTGGAGCAAATAAAACAAACCAAGTACACTCACTATAAAACACGTTTAATTGAAACAGATAAGCTCCAGGTGCAATGTTTGGGTGCCCAAACCCTGGGTGCAATGCTTCTGATATAAAAACAAAAACACTGAAAAAGCTAGACACCTAAAGGAGGGAATGAAGGAGGGGGGGGTGTTTAAAAAAATTTTAATATAAAAAAACCGTTACCTGTACCCCTTCAGTAGTCCATTACCAAAAAAAACAGCAAACATACCAATATGAGAGTGTTGGGGGAATGCAAGACGGAAGAGATCAGGTAAAATAAGTCACCTTACCTTCTCTCATGCTACAGGTAGCTTCATACAAAGAACCAGTTTTTTTTCTTCCTTGTTTGGGATATCTACGTTACCATGGAAGCAAAATGCAACCTTGGAGGGGGCATGTGTGACAGGGACAGAATGTGTGCTTTCGTGCACGAGTGTGACACATGGTGCACCACTAAGGAGAGGGAGGGGTATGAGATCTCGGCCTGTGAGCTTCGCCGATCTGCTTATTTCTTGGCGAAGGAGATCTTCATGGCGTTGTTCTGGGTGATCTTAAAGCCCTGCAGGGCCTCTCTGGCAGCCCCGGCTTGCACCTCGTTCTCAAACTCCACGAACGCGATGTCGTGGCGCCCAGGGACGAGTCGCACCTCCTTGAACCCAGGGAACCTACAGATGAGAGTGAAGCGTTCAGCAGCCGCCATAGCAGAATGGACCTCCACCCAAGGCAAGAGGTGACAGATGTGCACGCATGCAGGAAAGGTTTCTATTCAGATTAATTCTGTCTGCTCATATATCAATGGCAGTGGGAGACTAAAGACTCACACCCACTTTAAATGCTCACATTCGAGGCACAAATCATAATAGGACCACTGAGGAGAAGCTTAACACTTTAGTTATAACCCTCTATAAATAAGCCAGAGGCCTGTGTCACAAAGCTGGATTTTGGGATAGCGAGATAACGGTCAGATTAAAGGCAGTCTGGGCTAAATGAAAGGGAACAAAGAGAAAGTCCATTTAAACTGGGGTATCGTAAATTCAACAAGTTATCTAGCTGACCCAGTGTTTCCCAATCCGCTCCTCGGGGACCCACAGCCGGTCCACGTTTTTGATCCCTCCGAGCTCCCTGCCAGACAGTCAATAACTTTTGCTCCCTCCGGGCTCCACAAAAACGTGGACTGTCTGGGTCCCCGAGGACCGGATTGGGAAACACTAAGCTAACCAACAATTCTCGTATCACGATATGCGATATCTACCATGACTAGTGATACAGAAATGCAGTCACATGGGCCAGAGAGATTTATACCAATACAGACCCAAGACAACAGTGAAGGACAAACATGAAGAGGAAAGAAAAAAAAGTACTGACTGGTTGAAGAGCATAGACAGCATGAGCTCGTTGGTTTCCTCGGGAAGATTGGTAAGGAACAGGATGTGGTTGGGTGGGTTTTCTGAAACCTGTGGGGAAAAAAGACAAGTTTTAGGTCAATCCAAACAAGGTATAATCCCCCCCCCACCATTAAACAGGCGTAAATTATGCTAACCTGCTGGGCATGGGGCATCTGTCCAGGCATCTGCCCTGGCATCATCTGACCAGGGGGCATGGCTCCTGGGGGCATCTGTCCTGGACCCATGCCTGGGGGTGGCATCATGCCAGGCGGCGGCATGTAGGGTGGCTGTCCGGGCATGGGCATCATCCGCGGGGCCTGGTTCATGGGAGGCATGCCCTGAAAAAGACAAAGGAGCCATCAAAACGTGAGCCACAGTCACATTCAAAAACTATTAAACGCAGCTGAAAATGAAACGTCTTAAGGGGCAACAGAGGATGGATACAGAATACGGGGTACTCCATTAGAGCGCACCAGTGATTTTTACAGTCTACCACTGGGTGGTGCACAAATGTGTTCCAATGACATGCATTTCACTGTCACATTCAATAATCTTATTCTTTAACTTTCAAAATAACTAAGGGAGACATTGAGAGTAAAGCCAAAGGATTTACATTGTTTACATTGTTGTTATATGGGCTAAGCCAATACAGCACACGCTGAAGAGTACATGTTACAGTGGCATCGAATACTTACCAGTGAAAACCTGCATTTTTGATAAAATAAACCACTTTTGCTTGTAATATTCTATAGTTTCAGTATGACCGCTGGCAAAGTTCTGAATATGGCATTAAAGTAGCTTGCTGCACATAATCAGCCACTGTTCTTGCAACGTATTCAGTGTTCTCTCGTTATTGTTTAGACCGTTTCTGACTTGGATATGTATTAAGTATTATCACCCCCATAAAAAACACGCACATAATATTTAGTATTTAAATGCAGAAAGGGGGCAGTTTTTTTTACATGAAGCCTTTGACCCAAGTCGCAGATTTTACTATGCCGATATTCCCAGAGGACAGTACCAGGCGGTCACATGACAGGCGGTCACATGACATGCTGGGATAAAGAGGAAGTCGACACTCACAGGCATGGCTGCAGGCACCCCAGGACCCATAGCTGCAGCTCCTGCTCCCTTTTTCACCCCCGCAGTTTCGGGGCCTTTCCCCTTTCTCTTCTCTTTCTTGCGGTCACGCTCTACGTACGTGCCCTTCATCTTCGCGATTATGTCTGAATCGGACTTGGCGTACTGAATCCTCTGCAAGGCATGAGCATGCAGATCAACAGAAGCAGTGGCATGGCTATGAATTCTGGAAACAGCAAGCAGCATCAAACTACACCTGCTGAAATATTCTTTCAGGACTTTCCCGATGAGACAACAGTATACCGATACTAAGCGCTGGACTACTAGGTGACCCAGGTTGTGTTTAGCAAAAACAGCATAATTTCCCAATTATAAAACTAGCGTACCATGCATGTTGTGAAAATGTGCTGCGACAATCCTGTTTGTAAATAAAGTTTTAAATATTCAAAAATCTGAAAAGTCATGCCATCATGCTACGTTCCATGTGAACTTGGAGGTCAAAATTTCCGAGTGCTTAGTCAGAGGCCTCCGAAGTCGGAGTTCCGACTCGGAAGTTAGAGGAACATCTGCAACCATAAGCTCAGAATTCAAGATAGCTGCAGCCTCCAACAGAAGTGAAAGCTGTAGTTATAATGATACTGTTTATTAGCACTTGTTGTTCTCATTAAATGAATCGTACACACAGTACTGTCCAGCCACTACCTGTGAACATGTTGCTACACTGTTTAAATGTGCAAAATATCATGTTATGTGTTATCTGGTATTACTAATATGAGGTTACAATAAACCAGGTTAGAAATGTCATTTGCTAAAAGGCTTTCCGACTTGTTGCACTGAAATGCGCTGAACTCGACTGTGACATCACTCCCAGCTCCGACTTCTGAGGTAAATGGAACGCAGCATCTCACAATCATGTCTTCAATGCATTAAAGCCAACATTCCAACAGACTTTAGGATCAAAGCAGCTGAAAGCGAACGACAAGCATACCATCGGTTTGTCATAAAAAGGAAAACCCTGCATTGAACGTAGGGCATTGGATGCACTGTTGACCTCCTTGAAGATCACAAAGGCCTGCCCTCTCATTTTGAGGGAGCGAGACACCAGAATGTCCAAGATCTGCCCAAACTGGGAGAAGATGGNTACAGAGATTTCTTCAGCTCTGGGAAAAGTAACAAACAAATCAAAACACGTATTTTACATATGAAGGTAATAACATAGTTAAAACTAAAAGCCACTTCAGAAGCGAGAAAACAGCTTTGTGCACAAATGCATTACGGAAGAGTAAGACTGCAAAGAACAATGAAGGGAGAATGAAGGGAGAATGAGGGGGGGGTAGCAAGACCTACCATCTTTCTTGATCTTTTCATTCAGGTTGTTAATGTAGATGGTGTGGTTGAGTCGGATGTCCTGACCAGCCATGGTCTTAAGAAATCAAAAACCAATACAAGGTGTTTGGTCGCAAGATGCATTTGAAACCGAGTGGGCAGTAAGCAAACATACATATTATAATACGGGATAACATTTTTCAGCAGTAATACGGGATCATACGGAGTTTAGAGGGGAAAATTCTATGATTGATAATTTAACAAATACAATGAATTGCTCGCTTTAAACTGAACTATATTACAAAACCACACACACACACAAGAGTCACATCTATTTTACAACTGAGCGGCTAAGAGCTACATTTGATGGTAAATCTAGCTGTACCGCAACACCGGCTACTTGGATAAATGCACTAAAACAAAATCAAACATAGGTATGCAAAATCGGAACACATTACATGGACTTTATCGACGCATATCATTGTTATCCATTTTTTCTACTAAAGTTCTCCACATATACGCATAAACGTGGCTGGTTGCTAATAGCTAGCATTAACAAAAAAGAACTGTTTAAGAAACCTAACCTTGTAACCGTGCTAAAAGCAAATTTTTGTCTAGGTCAAACGCATAGATGTTACTTTAAAAATGAACCAAACCCTTAAATCCTTCCGCTAAATTAAAAAGAAAAACTACCAATGTGTTACCTTCCCGTCAGAGTCACTCCAGGGACCGTAAAAAAAAAAAACGAGAAACGCGGCCTAATCGATGTATTTCACGTAGGGGTAAAGAAATACAGGCGCTATAAAGAGAGTTTATAATTGGCTAAAATCTACGTCAATCATTAAATACCGTACAAGTTTTTGCAACGATTGGAGGAATTAAGATACTACCGCCCCAAAGTAAGAAGGCGCGTTTTAATTGGATGATGTCCGATAACTCACGTAAAACGAATAATATTATTGGACTATATTATTTTCATACCGGTAAATTTTTGGCTCTGCTAGAATTTTTCTTTTGAGGGTTCCTTAAAGAGAAATCGTTTTAAATGTCGGCTTAATAGAACGCTGGGTCAAAATTAGTCTGCTGAATGAATCATTTATCGTCACATTGAATCGTTAGAATCCACATTTATAAAACAATCAGGCAGTGACATCATTAGTAGGCTCACATTCAGCCTTACGGAAACAGATTTCCGATTGTAGTAGCTAATGGCAAATGATGGTAAATAACAGCATTACTTGTATATAAAACAAATCAAAATAATAACGTGTTATCATGAAGAACCACATATGACATCAAACCCGCAGTTAGTAGATTACTACCTATTTAGCTGAGAATGAACTTTTGAAAAACAAAATAACATACTAAGACTTTTACAGCCTAAAGATGCAAAATGCGTGGGTAAGTGCTTAATTTTTATTTCGATAATGTACGTCCTTGTTACATGCATTTGTAACCATATAAGGCATATGAGCTTACAGCCCCCCCCCCTAGTTTGTCCTTATTGAGAAACTGCGTTCCTGGTATGTGAAAATGTTATACGGTTCACTAACTATTTACAGTATAGTTATGCCATACTGCCGTCGTATTTCATGGGTTTTACTCGGTTTTCAGCCAGGTACATGCGTAAAATTGCTTGCGTGACTGGCTTTACTCAGATTCCTTCTTTTACATCGAGTACTTCCCTATGCGACAGTTTTGTAATCGCAGAAAGTCACGCGTGGTTGTAAGGAGCAGTAAAAACTGCTGTTGATAGATTACATGTGATCTCTCGTGGGATATTGCACTGTCCGGAAATTATTTTTGGATTGAATGGAAAAAATGTTATTAAAATACAGGTTTCCTTTAAATTGCACGTTGTCGTTTGTTCGACATTTTTGTATTACACTTTGTTTCGTGGTTGAGGTTTGATACCTTTTAAGATCTTGTCAGATCTGCAGTACTGCGGCCGAGCTGCATGCGGTACGCCCCAGCGGTTTAATATACCTCGGATCGAAACAGCCATTGGTTTTAATAGTTTGTTCTTTGTAAACAGATACTTTACCTGCCTTTTAGTGTTACTAAGCTTGGAGGATTATTGAGATCATGTTGGTAACTTATAACTCTTAATTATTTTCCACTACATGCTCATTGTGCGTATGATTATTACAGGGTTGGAAGACAGCAAGAATGACAACTGTGCAACTAGCCCCACCTCCACCCGCTCCCCCACCTCCACCTCCACAGCCAGAAACAGGTTCCAGGAAAAAGAAGCTGTATCAGGCCATTGCGGAAGGAAGGGCACCAGTAGAAGGAGATCACGAGGAACCCCGACTGTTGCTTACAAAAAGGGAGAGCAGGTGAGAGCTTCTCATCAGGATAGCTGGCCAAAGCACAGAGTCTTCTCTGGAACTCTTGCTTGTGTGTGGCTGATAAATATGGAGTGCATCTGGTGCAGTTTCAGAAAGGACCTGCAGTGGGTGCTCTTCAACAAATTTGTACCTTCTCTCATTCAGGACGGACCACAGTGAGTGCCTCACAAATACCTTTATATGGCATTTATATTTACTATGCGATTTCAAATATTGTGATTTCAAATATAGGCACGCCATATACCAGAATCAGCCAAGTATAAAAATTCTTGCATCATAGATTGCATCACTCTCCATTTTGAGTGTATTTATTACGCTGAGCTCTTCAGATGCGGTTTGGTTGCCTTGTGGATGGCAGCCCAACTACTTCAGCCTTCTGCAGACTTGTCTATGGAGAACATAGTGAAGACTGCAATGAACCAGGGTTACACTGCTCAAGGAGAGATCTTTTCTGGTAATTGGCTGCTTTGGGTGTCCCCTTATGGGAATAGCTGAATGCACTGCCTTCAGTCCCAACCATGCATATTTCAACCATTTCCATGTGCATGTGTGTTAACCAGCCCATCACATGGCCTTATTGGCTGAGGAGGTGATTGGCTGCTGGGCCGAGCGACTGACTGGAGGTATGGGCGGGGCCAACTTTTGCCACATCTTGAAGCACCTTGCTGATGGACAGCCCATCCTCATTCCGTATCCTTCAGCATGTGTCATACCCTTTATTGGTTTCAAATACACTCAGTGGCCAGTTTATTACATTTGTTGCTCTTGGTTAATGCAAACAACCTGCCCCTCCAAGCAGTGAATTATGTGGCTGCAGCCGAATACATCCAGCACACAGAGACGGGGAAGAGATCCTTTTATTCTGCAGCTAGGCAGAACGGCAGAAGACGCCTGGCGTAAGGGGTTTAGAGCGTGGTGTGATTGGCGGTCCCAGACGTGGTGGTTCCAGCATCTCAGAAATGGCCACCCGTATGGAATTTTCACACGCTACATTTTACCCAGAATGCTCCGAAACACACACACACACACAAAACATCCCAGCCAGGGCAGTTATGTGTCTGAAAATCCCTTTTTAATGAGAGAGATCAGGGGAGAATGGCCAGACCTACTAAAGATTACAGGAAGGACAACAAAACCAAAAACAACTTGTATAGTAATAATAATAATGCCACTTTTTTGATCCCAGTGGAGAAATTCTCTTTTTGCCTACCTCATCTTGTTCTCCATGAAATACAGGCACACATAGGTGAGAGCAGGCTTGGTAGCCAATGTCAGCCACCTGCAGCAGCACCCATGAAGCTGGGGCTCAAGGTCCTTACCCAAGGGCTCATAGTCTGTCATGCCAGAGCTGGGGCTCAAACCAGTGACCTTCCGATCACCAGCACAGAGGCTTGGCCTGCCGACTGATGCACACAAAGACTTCTCAATATGCATAACTCTGCCCTTAAAGTGGTTCTGGAGACAAAACGAAGTCATACCTGGTACTGTGCAGATGTACCTAATAAAGTGTCTGCTTATTGTATAATACTGAAGTATTCATAAGTGTTAGCTTATAATTTCTTGTCAAGAAAGCCACGTGTGACTAGAAGGTAAACTTTAAATTGTATAATTTTAATTGAAGAATATAGGGCTGAACCCTGTAAAATTGTGACTGAAAATAGCCTACAGCAATAGAATACTGATAGCGAGGATTAATTTAAGAACACATTTTAATGACTCGAGGTATACACTTTCTACTTCTAAAATTATATTGCAAGTTTGGCAATCTGCATTAGCAAAAGGGCTTACTACTGATGATAAGTGAATGATTGAGGGCAATGGGGGAGAAACTGTAGTTTTACTAAGAGCTGTATCTGCCGTACACGCAGTTCATTTGTTCTGAACATTAAGTCTGCATTGTTATCCAACCATTTTACTGCAGTGGCCTCTTTTATTTGATATTTGGCAGATTTTCTTGGCTACTGCTGCTATGCTTATGAGAAGTTTGTGTCTAATTTTGTCAACGCAGAACATCAAATGGAACACGACTCCTTCTGTGAAAACACAGAAGACTCTATCTTCTTTTTTTTTTATCATGCAAATCACGTAGCACTTGCATGAAACTTGTTCTGCAGAAGCCTAGTGCGTCGTCGTCATGTTTTGGTGGTCATCGTGCTGTGGTTGTGAGAGATAACGTTCATTCCCTTTCTCGTTAAATGTGCTGGATTGTCTTGTGGTTTCGTGATAAGGCTGCAGGCTAGTATGCTGTCTCTATTTCTTGTTTTGCGGACAGTGCGAACGTAGCACTGGAGACAGATATGAGGTGGGGGAGCACATTCCTTGCTATGGCTTGTTGTCGTGGACAATCCCTTGACTGAATCTTCACAGCTATGATGAAGACTTCAACCACGAACCCTGCAGGCGCAGTGGCCACAGAGCGCACTGGGCAGTGGCCTCAGGTGAGAGTTAAAGTCAGCGCAGTGTGTGAAAGGCCTCTATGTATTTGCTTTAAGATTAAGCTGCGCTTTATTGATTCCAGGGGGGCAATTCTGGTGCATATATCAAGTGAGAACACAGCACAATAGACCAGGGGTCTCCAACTCCGGTCCTGGAGAGCTACTATCCAGTAGGTTTTCTATCCTACTTGGCTTCTGGTGAGCCACACCTGTTCTCAGGTAAGTACCAGGAGCAGGTGTGGCTCATCAGAAGCCAGGTAGGATAGAAAATCTACTGGACGGTAGCTCTCCAGGACCGGAGTTAGAGACCCCTGACATAGACAAGTGTGTGTGTGTGTGTGTGTGTATATATATATATATATCCAAACAGACAAGGTGCGAAGACAGTACACATAGTGCAAAAAAGTAAATTGAAGAGTAAAAATTTAAAGAGTACACACTATACCAGGGCTGTTCAAACCTGGACCTCGATTCCAAATCCAGGCCTTGTTTTCAGTTCTCCCGGGTAGTTAGTTTAATAATAATCACTAATTCTGATTGGGCGGAAGCTTCACATCTGGCTCACAGGTAAAGGAAGGCTGGAAAATCAGCAAGGCTCGGACCTTGAGGGCCATGATTTAAATAGCCCTGCACCACACATGACATTCTGAGAAAACAGACTGTGACACTACAGAAATAAATATTTATTGAAGTAAATTACACGATTGGGATTTAAAGATATTTATTTTACTTTATTTAAAGATACTTTGAGGATATTGTGCTGTATATATTCACTGAAGTCTCCCTCCTAACCGATTTCCCAGGTGTCTTACTGGGTCTAACACATGGCAGCCTAAACAGCGAGGATTTCTGTGCGGATCCCGCCCTGCCCTGGCTCCTGCTGCCCCGTCACGGCTGTAGCGGTCCCACCGCGGGGGTGCAGGATGCATTTATTTTTGCCAAGCAGGGAAAAAGCTTGCGCTACCAGCTATGGAGCCTGGAATTGCTGACCCAGAGCAACGCACAGCTGAAGGAGATGGACCCCCAGAGAGCGGCAGATGGGTCTGTGTACATTGTACCCCAAGGCGGGGTGGGCCAAGGCCTGGCAGGTCAAGTAGTCCTGCTCCACGCCAACAGGCCGACGGACTGATGTACAGCCTACCTCTATATAAAGCCTGCAAGATGAAATCGGGCCCAGCAGTCGGGCTGCGACTCTGAGCAAACACCTTAGCATCTGTCTGGATGAAGTAAAGTGAGGGACTCAACTAGTCCATGGAGTTGGGAACTGTAGCGTAAAAGGTGAGCCTATGTGAGTTAGCTGGGTGGAGTTCTAAGCTCATTGGGTGTCTGCAGTTTCAGGATGACACGGGGTCACTACGGTCAAGCCTGATGCACCACTTAACGAAGAGTGGTTTTATAATCGCTCCTCACGTTACTCCCTGCCTCGATCTAGAAAAGTGACATTTGGTTTCGAACATATATTTCTACTTGATTCTTCTGGCCCGTAGTCATTTCTTTGCTGTGTAAGAATACTGAGGTTGTGCATTTCCTGTTGTCCGTGAATTAAATTATTAAAAATTGTTTGCCGTCTTACAATGATCAGTTTCCCCCACTCGATTGTCCAAGAGTCCCTCCTCTGAGTCACGACCGACTGTATCAGACAGTTGAAACATCAGCCTGGGTCAACAAGACTCCCATACATTGTGTTCCCAGCAACCATGGTTACGGCTCCGGTAAATAAGTCAGGTAGCGTATTGGGTAACAGTGATCCTTTGATATTTAAGAACATAGCTGAATACCAGCACTTATGACTTGTCCTGTGACAATTAGCTGGCTGAGGCTCACCGTCGTGACAAGAGAATCAGTTTTCTTGTAAACTTGAACAAAAATGCTGTAAATCAACTTTGGCAAACATCACACCAAATATGACTCACTTGTTTGCTAAATACCCTTAAAAGTATCATCTGTGAGATAACCACATCCAGGGGATTACCAAATTAATGTGCTATTTGACCTTGAGAAGTCTTATTATGGCAGATTTATGAAATAGCAACAAATGCAGTAATATTGTAATTAATTTTTCAGGGCTGAAACAAAGTAGTATTTTGGATCCACTCATGATGTGAAATTAGCTCTGTGACTTTGTATTCAAATCAAGTTATTCGTAGAGCTGCTGTCTGACCCCAGTGTGGTCACAGAAAGGAGACATCATCCGGATTCTAAGGCTCACAGATCCAGTTTATTGACATTCAGACTTTGTCTCTCACACACACAGGGGACTCTGTTCTGACCCACAACATGGTCCGGTGGATCAATGGTTGGCATATAGAATACAGACACAGAAACTATCGCTGTGAGTCTCACATCCTCTTTACACATCCCTGCACGCTGACATGCAGTCCGATTAATACAACATAATGGTTACAATGTGTTGTAAAAAAATAAAATCCAATACACAGAACACCATTTGTAAACAATTCAGTGATGTTCCAGAGATGTGGGGCTGCTGGGGGAATGATGTTGGATCACTTTCCTGGTTTAAAGTTTCTGAAAGAGGTGTCAGGGTAGGACGTGTACAAAACACATAAAGGTGCTTCGCTTTGTAACACTTGGTTAAGGAATGTAGCAAAAGACACACAGACAAAGTATCATTTACAAAAGCGGTAAATTCAAAATTACTAAGATGCCCACAATCCTCAGGTTAATTATGTGACTTTCGAACGACGTCTCTCACCGGTTGTTCAGATTCAGATTGTTGGGTTTTCAGCCAGAGATGCCCGTACAGAACCACTGCAGTGTGCACACCGCAACAGCATCTCTTAGGCTGAAATTTATATTATGAATTTATACCGATAACATTCACATTTCGTCAAACTGACGATAAAAATGCCCGAGTGCTGTTTAAAAAAAGCCTGAAATATTGCTTTAGATATCTTTGAATTTAAAAATCTTAAATTCCAAGGTGGGGGTGTGGGCGATAAATCCCTCTAAATCTGCAAACCGCCTGCAGTCACAATGTACCAGAAGCTACAAAAATTCAGATCACAAGTCACAGTCATATTTTTGTTCAACTTCCCTCTCTAACCAGTTCAGACCAGTTGTAAACTGATATTTTAAATCCACAGTCATAAACAGGCTGGTAACAGCAATGGGGGCTGAGTGGCACTGATACCCAGTATGGCTTTGAAGTTAAGATGCCTTTACACACATTGTTAGATACACCAAACACAAACCACATTTCTGTGTACATGGAAACACAGCCATACTAAAAGCATAGTTCCACAGAGAGATTTTTGCCACTGTCAAAAGCTGCTCCACCTCAGGGTCAATTAACACTTATCCCAAATCTGTAATCCTTAGTTCCTAAGCAGCAAGGCTGTACTGGGCTTGCATTTTCCTTTGGTTTTTACTGGTAAACCCCTGGAACTCCCTAACCCAGAACACTCGAACCCAGAACACAAAATTTCTCAAAACTGCCGAGAATGAGAACATGCTATATAGAATTTAAACTGTTGAATAAACTAGGAAAAAAACATAAGCTGTTATCTGTAGCTGCATTTTTCCCCAAAGATGAGCACAAAACACTGTACAGTTTTGCTTCAGCGGCCACATCAAAACAGTGGGTTAACATGCAGCAGAGGATTTTGGCATTCAGAAATAAATCCTAAATGTTCATTCACCACAGCTGTAAATTAAATACTCCCTACTCAATGAAATTTCATTACCAGTTTTATACATTTTCAAGGTATGTGATCTGACTGATATGGTCCTTTCCATTTTTGGCTGTCAAAGTTTACTGATGCAAGGTGACCTAAAAAGTGTGTGGAACTTAAGTCTGTTACGCCTCCTGGATAAAAAAAAATAAAAATCTTAGTGTGATTTATCTAGCTGGTAAACAGAAACCAGTGCTAAGCCAAGACAATTACAGATAACATATTGCATATAGCCTGGTTAGCCTAAAGGCAGTGACACAAGGCCACCATCCCAGCATGCATGTACATTGGTTAAAAAAGACATTTTTGAACTCTAACCACATTGTTACTGCACTCAAAGAGTCTGTAAGACTTTTTCATCAAGTTTCTTAAAAAGTCTAGATTCCAGCTCATTTCCCCAATGCATTATACGGCTCTGCAATGGTTCTCTCGTCCTTTGCAATAAAAAGACTCTTGTAAAAACTCCCACAGAGAAAGCACAGAAAAACAATTAATCTACAATCCATATGGCCGAAATACTTAAATAAAACTATTTACATTAAAACAAAACAGGAAAAATAAAACTGTACACATTTTCCAGTGTTCTAGTGTTATGCATCTGTAAAACAATTAAAAACAAAACAGTTCAACAGGTCCACGTGGACTTTTTTTTTCCTTTTTCTTTAAGGCAACTTCAGAAATTCAGAATGTCTTTTTGAGAGCGCAGTGGAATGCCACATCTCTTCTTACCACCAGAGGGAAGCAGTGAGCCCAAGGGTGAGAGGAGAGGCAGTACATGCTCAGTTTTTATAGCTTGGTCTTCCCTCCCTTTCTCGAGTTGTGTCGATTCGCCAAATCCTCCTCTTCTCAGGCTGGGGGACCAGTCTGTCTGTGCAAAACCTCGCCTATGTTGTCCTGTTAGCTCCTCTCAGGCATCCGGCAGCATCGAGCTCAGGATTTCCACGAGGTTGTCCAGGCCCCACAAGTAACCGTCTTCATGGTTACCCTCCAGCCAAGGGGTGCGGTGGTCCAGGGTGAGGGGGGGCGGCAGGGGCACGGTTTTGCCAAAGTCAATCATCCACACTTGCGCTCGTTCTGTCTTGTCGTGCACGAACAGCAGGGAACTGCCAACCACCTTGGTGGACCCAAGGAAAGATGTTTACCACTCAGTCCAGAGACAAATCAGACAGCAGATTCTACATTCCAATTTGACCACTGAAGTCAATTCAAAGTGACTTGGACTCAATGGATCAGTCAACAGCGTTTTTCAGTTCAATGTTACGCTCAGCAGGAGACTTACCCCCTATAGCAGCAGTAGTAAGGTTATCAGACTATAGAACTAATCAGAGTTGAGTCAATCTGGGTATTCCAGTAACATGTAACAATAAGCAACATCCTTACTTTGTTACAGTCCAGGTCTTACGTTTACCTGGAATTGTACTGGGCACTGTTGAGAACATCAAGCCACTACTACACCACAGAACTGCTCAAGAGGATACCACTCACCTCATGGGTCCGGAAGAACTCGGATTTCTCCAGAATTCCCCTCAGCTCCTTTAGCCTCTCCAGGTAACTCCTCTGTCACACAGAAAGACCCAGACAATTAGTACAAGAAACTCACATGAGATGTATGTTGTGGAGCCGTATACGCCCCCCTTCAAGGATTACCCAGGAAACACTTACCAAGACTTTGATTCTCCCCTGCACAAAGTCTTCCAGGGCCTGCTTCACCTGCTCCCTGTGTTTGGTCTTCTTGAAGTTTGTGTTGCACGTGCCGTCAGCTTTCTATGTGAAGGGCAACAGCAATGGCAGAAAGTTAACCTTCTCCCCCAAGAACATGTAAACGTGACAAGACCCCGGCCTGTGGACAGGCATGTCCTACAGAAAAGTCCATGTTTCAATGCCATCCTTTCCCAGTTATCACCCTACGTTTACATCTACTGCCGGCTGCGCGTCCGCAAAGCCGTGGGCGGGAATGAAAACTCCTCTAAGCTATATGAAGCCAGAATCAATTGGCTGAAGGCACACACAGAAGTGGTGAAGACTAGCACACACTTCTTTGGAGTTGGCATGTGTGCTGCGTGTTAAGAACGATGCCTCCAACGAGATGAACTGGATATTCCAGATTAGATAATCAAATTGATCCCCCCGCCATACAATCTGTTTAAACCACACGAACCTTGATGCCCTCAATGCGGAACCCCAGCGTGGCAGTAGAGCTGAGGGTCTCTCGCCACTGCATGTAGCGGGGCTTGAGCACGGCCTGCTGGGCTCGCTCCTCGGGACTAGGCGCACCTGGGTCCACTGCCACCATCTTCTCATACATGTCTCTGCGCAGCCGCGGTCGCTCCCGCGCCTTCACCAGCTCATCTTCGAGGTACGTCCTGAAGGCAGGGGACAAAAGGGACGACACGAGGCACCCTTTAGCACGAATATTCACTCTGCTCCCTACACAATCATAAGAAAAAGGTTCACCCTCATAATGGCACATTTAGATAATGAGACCGATAAAGCAATTTAATTGTCCAGCTTACAGAACAGCAGGAAATGGAACCAGTAGCTTAAAACATAACAGGCACCGCAGAAAGTGATCAAAAAGTTGTCTAGTACCAAAGATAGAATACAATGAATACTATCACAAAAATGTTTTCTAATGAAGACCTTGCATAACTGTGTCCAAGTTTCCAAAGAAGTACACGTCAATGTTGCAAAACGATGACCTAAATTTAGTGAGCTGGACGTGTCCATTTGTAATGAATATTCATAAGATGACTTATGACTGACAGTCCACTACACTGCAGTAGCACCGTGTCCTTCATGGCTGTGATGCTACTACTCAGATGAGGACCGATATTAACGGAAGGACATCAAAGTGCCTCCACACAGCGCCAAAGCCGAAACGATTTGGCCATAAAAGTACAAGCCGACAATCAAAGGGTTCACCTTTGTATCTGGAAAGGTGCTATCAGTGAGACCTGAGGCTGCTGGCATCAGGAGTGTAAGCGCCGCGACATTTACGGTAAACGAGCAGCTCGGCGTCTTCCTAGGAAGAGCCGCCAGCCAGAATTGGGTACATGTAGACATTGGGTACATGTGGTAACTCCCAGATCATCACGGACAACGGCACAATCGCCAGTCAACGGCTTAACCCTGCTTAACTACGCGGATTTATTTGCAACATGTTTATTTGGACAAAGACCGGGCTTTACAGCAAGCAGGTACAAAAAGTCAAAGGGCAAACGGGGGGGGTTTTCAGTCACTGCAGATAAGTGGGAGAAAGAAAAAAAAAAACCCACAAAAAAACAACACTTTTAAGTGTTAAGTTGATGCGCTTATGTAAGCGCTGAGGTCACCGAGAAATCAATATCGAATTCTCCTAGAGTGGGCAGCATTGTATTTCTTTCCAAAATTAAAAATACATATATACAGCATATACAATGATAATATACTTAAAGTCAGAGTAGCCACAGTATTATTTGGTTACTGCCACAATTTCAATTTTAAAATTGCCGTATTCATTTTGCTGGGTTTTTCTAGGATCAATCCACCATGTGGGAATGAAGAGGTGCCCTCATGCCCACATGCCCACAGCCCTTACCGGCTGCCCATCTTGCAGTCCATGATAGAGGGAGACTGGAAGTCAGCCAGAAGGTCATCCATCAGGTTGAATTCCTGCTCGCCCTGCTGCACCACTCCGTAGTACCCGGGCACGAAGGGCCGCAGAGAGTCCCCCATCAGCTTCAGCAGGCACTGCTGCTCGCACTCGCAGTACTTCTTCAGCAGCTTCCCACAATCCCCTGCCTGGAAGCTCCCTAGAATTCGCGGGGACGCAATAGATGGATCAAAAAAAAAAAAAAAACAACAACAAATCGATGCAATTGCTTATAAAGTGATGTCATATGTCAGGACATGCGACAAACTTACAAATACACAATGACAGCAGACGCGGATTAAGACGCAGGGGGTTACCCAGCACACACAGGCACACGCAAACATACACGCTCATAAACGGTTACGATGAACCCGGAAAGGAGTCCGCCTGTCCGTACCTGCATGTCCGGCGAGCTGCACCCACGGGTAGCACTTCTTGGACGACACTGTGATGGGAGAGCAGTGCACCATAGTCTTCAGCTTCTTCCACGACTTGGTCTGGATGGGGACCGGGAAAGAAAACTTCTTACCCTCTTTGTACAGGGGCCCGCAGTCCGGTCTCTCAGACCGAGCCAGGGGAAATGCACCTTGCCCCTGCTCCACAGTGTACCAGAGTAAGGCTCACGCCCCTTCCCCGCCCTCCACCACGCACACCAGCTCCAGCGGCTTACACATTACCATCATCCTTCACCTTTAGTCTACGCCCAACCCCCTCCAGGTCAATAAACTTGGGAAACCGGGGCTGACGAGATCGCCTCTACCATCCCATTGATCCGTCTCCGCTGCACACCTTATCCACCGCTAAATAATCAGAGCGGCGCCGAGCCATCGAGCTGGAGGCGGAGAATCAAGAAACGCAGGACAAGAGAAAAAAAAAAAGGCATGCCTAATGAGTCACGTTCAAGGAGGAGGGAGAAATGGGTTTGTTTTCGTAAAGGAAGTGGTGTAGCATCGTCACGCCAGTCCATACGCAAAGCTGGAATTCGTCTATAGCATTCCTCAGCGTGACAATGTCAGGGCGCTTTGTTCTTGCGGAGACTGACGCACGTAGACGCGAATTTTTAAAGCACTGGCGAGTTTTGACTCGAGCTGTCCGTCTCCAATGAGGTGGAAGCAGAGACGAGTTGGTTTCTGCTGTGTCAGTGTGTTTTTGGCTTATGGGATTGTGTCTGGCATAAGGAGGGACGATACTGACACAGCTACCTGTGGACTGATGCGTCACGTCTAAATATAGAGAGAGAAAAAGGAGGGAAAACTGATGAAGTGTAATGAGCCAATGTTGGGGTCAGGGTGTGGAATGGTTGGGGGGGGGGAGGCACAAGAGAAGCAAGAATGAAGCTCAGCCAGCAAAGTCAATGCAGGTCATACGGACGATTGCGAGAATGGAGGGAAACAAGTCCATCCAGGTTAATAGACGTTTATCTGTCCCTGATAGAAATATCGCTTCCAAGAAGCATAGACCAGAGCGGCAGACAGAAGACAAAGGACAAATCACAGGCACACTTGCAGATAAAAATCTGTCCACGACAAATGAGCACAAGTTTCTCAATCCAAATTAGCAGAATGGCTACGATATACAGGTGCCAGTATGCAGCAGTATTTTTCAATGTCAAAAATAGAATGTAGGCTGTACGAATTGCACCACTGAGCCCATCCGTGCGTGTCTGAAGGAGCAGGCCGAACTCAAGCAGCAGAGCAGCTCTCTAATTCCTGGCCACCTATCAAACCCTACGAGTGCCACAGGGAGATCGTCAGCTCTTGGATGCAAGAAAGGGCATCCTCCATAAAACCTCGACCTCATATCTGCTCCAGTGGATCGCAATGAGCCACTGGATGCAGAGACCAATTCAGGGCTTCTGAAACTACTAGCGATGATAACATGATAGCCATCAGTAGGAACGTCGCGGTAATTTTGGACCAATTCTGCGCGGGAGCGGGACAGACTGGAAATGAGACAGCCAAGCAAAGTTCTCCCTGTGGAGATCACAGTATTGCCTGTGAGTTCACAGCACGGAGCGGCTCTTATTCAGCGTCATGTCGCTGAGGCATCACACCCCATGTCTGAGCACAAAACAGAGGCGGAAAACAAAGCGGCACACCCAGCGCTGACGAGTCGCTGAAATGAAAGTTCTAAATAAGCTATCCATCATGATAGAACATTCCAACCACTCTGTGCCCTGAAGGTAAGGTTTCTCCAGCTCCCCCGACTCGACAGAATCCTCTACAGACCCTCCCTAATGAGGATGACATCAACCCAACACACACACACAAAAACATATGTTGTCATGCAATATTTTTATGCATCATACCTTGGTAATTAAGATGGCAGCCACACGGAAGATGAAAAGTGGCACCAATAAACACGGACAAGTAAGCACAGCGCCAGTGCAACCAGCGCCAGTGCAACCAGCACCAGTGCAACCAGCACCAGTGCAACCAGCACCAGTGCAACCAGCACCAGTGCAACCAGCACCAGTGCAACCAGCACCACACACAGCGCATGACAAACTGCAAGCAGGTAGCAGCACATCCCATCACTGTTCAGCATAGCCAGCCCTTCCTCTCCCAACTACCCTTAACCCCCCTTCCCCCCCCATGAATTTCACCACCTGCCAGGCTTTCGCTCATCCTCCATCCTGCCCCTCCCTAAAAACCACGATGGCAGCCATGCTGAAAACCCCCTCAACCCCAACATGAGAAAATCTCGGGGGTGGTAAGGGGGTGTGGGGTGGCAAACAACAGAGCCATAAAAAAAAAAAAAAAAAAAAAGTACACACGATTCCTTGCTCGATGATGGCAGTCCCCCGCCCAAGCAATTCCGAACAGTTAACAGCCACCTACCACCTGCGGCTGTCAAATCACATCACGTCCAAGCCGCTTCCAAAATATTGCATCATTCTTCTTCCCCTGAGTGCATCTGCTTTTCAGCTCCCACCCCCATCCCATCTCAACCCCCCTGTGGCAATCCTTACACAAACATGGATCCACCTTGCCCAGCTCGTGGCGCAAAACCAGTCCGACGAGTATAAATGCCCCTCGGGAGAAGCAAGAGAGATGGTGCGAGACGGACTTTATCTGAATGGAGGGATGTTGAGGGAGGGGCCAAAAAGAGAGGGGGACAGGCCTGGCCAGGCTGCTCAGCTTATACTGGCCGAAGGGAGGAGGCAGGTTTCAGAACAGCCTCCCTCACAGACTTCCATAATTTGTTGCCAGTTCTGCCATTTGGAAAATCTCTCTCACATCATACTTGCAAAAAAAAAAAAAAAAAACTCACATTTGCTAAATCGCAAGAAGTCAGAAGATACTAGATGTGCAGCAACTCACTCTGAATTTTTTCAAGAGGCTGAGATTCTCTGTCCCTTATCTGCATCTTTACCCCCCACCCCTACCCCACCCCCCACAAACGGTGCAACTGCTGCACAGTTTGTTAAATTCTTCAGCCGGCCTGAGGTTGTTTGAGAAGAGAGGAGTGCACCGCAAAAGCAGGAGGAGCAGGAGAGGAGACCTTCGAGAGCAAAAACAGACAATACCATATATGGAAACGGTGTCACCTAGCAACGGAAGCACCTTCAGCCCAATTTTCCATTACACTTCTCGCGCCGCGTACAGTCTGAGAGCCCGTGTGCGTCGACACACAGACACGGTGCCAGTGTGGTCTCTGGTTCAATCGATCTGGAAAGAACCGGATGGACCCCAGGGAGACATTCATAACATAGAGAGCAATACCTGTTCAGTACATGACTATGGTTCTACATTTGTGCTCATACAATGAGGAACACAGAGATCAGAGCTGGGCGGGGATGGATCACTGTATGCCTATGCGCTCAATCACTCTCCCTCCGGCCCACATTCTATGGATTTTGGGATGTTACTTAGCCATTTGCTGATTCAGAGTCAACTGACAATGAACCCCGGACAAATTACAGTACAGTGAAACATCGCTGAACAAACAATCCATTCACTCACAACTAGTATTTTACTCAGCTTATAAACAAACCGCAGTCTAATTTCCATGGAAGCTTATGCAAATGGTAAAAAGAAAATTGCATCGTAAAAATAAATTGACATGTACTTAACAAGTCTGCACAGGAAAAAAACTTCCTAGACCATGCATGGGTGTGACCTTGTGAGTGTACTGGAGTGCGAGTATGTGAGAGGGTGAGTAATGCAGGAGGATGATGATGATGATATCTAATGTGTCACACTCCTAATGCGACAAGAATTAAGCCTTGCAGTCTGTGCAGGAAGTCCACACTTTGATTAGTCAAATTCAATAAAGACATGCTGTCCTTTCAGGATTTGGACATTCCTTACATTTCTCAGCCGTGTGATATTGTGTTAACCCATTACTATCTGCTGCTGTGCGTCTCCAATAAAAATGCACGCGAAGAGCTTTTTTCCCCCCCCTTTGTTCTGTGACATCCTGTCCAGGTTGATTCCCTGCTTTGTCCTCAATGCGCCATGAAGATGCTCCATGATGTTTTTCAAATCAGTATAGTCCTGAGATTGGAGTGTTTACATCTACGTTTATGATCACAGAGCAACCAGAGAAGTACAAGGCTTTTTAAAACTTTTTTTTTTTTTTTTTTAATAGTGTAACTACCATACTGGAATATCAGATGAACAAATATTCCAGGTTGGTCATCCCGTCAGTAATAGTCAAACCAATAAGTTGAAATAAGATGTGGTTGGTACAAGCAAGAGACTAAAAGACGAGTATGTGATGAAAAAACTGTCACTCAACAGCCAGTCAACTCATCTTCTCATTCCCAATACAGCATGAATCAATCTTTTATTTCACAAAACCCCAAAGTTCAGTCTCCCAATTCAATACGTCATGTGATGACGTCAAACTACAACCACTGCACTATAATACCCTAAAAATGCACCAAGAGTTCAGCAGAGAATACAGCACGCCAACTAAACTTGCCTACACTGGCAAAAAGAGATACAAACTAATTTAACACGTTTTCTTCCCCACCCCAGTTAAAGAAACAGTAACTTTGCGAGCCCATACATGACTGACTCGACTTGTAAATTAAAGCTTTGTGATCTCTTGGAAGGACAGCCTCCTCCGTGCTTCAGGAGATCCATTACAAGGTCTAGATCAGTAAGAACTTGCATGAGAACATTCCCCATTTAGCTCGACCTGCCTGCAGCCGTTTTCAGGGTCAGTCTGCGGCTTATTGCTGCAATTATGGGACACGCCGACAATCTGACAACACTGCTCAAAATAATACGCACCACGCAAACATCCCGCTATTCTGCCATCGTGCTTAGTAAAGCACGACATGTGAAGACACCCATTTATAGCTGCACTGACAAGCATTTACTACTGTGCTGACAAGATTAATGATCGCCCCGGACTGGCTTGCAATTCGCTAAAAATGAACACAGGATGTTGTCAACACACAACGATACTCACCCCCGGCGGTTCGTCCGGGCTGCCCAGCGTGCTGTATGCGGTCGAACCGCTGTTGGGTTCGATGTCGCTGCCGGCGAAATCGTCCTCCGATTCCTCAAACGAGGAAGCCGACGAAAGGCCAGCGGAGGACGAGCTGGAAAGCTTGCGGAACAGGAGCGAGGGGACCGGCGAGCCCCCGCAGCCGCTGTCCGAGCACGGCGACTCCTGGTCCCGGTGCCCGCCGAGGGACAGTGCGCCGTCGCTAAGTCCGGAGGCCTGCTGAGGGTACGGGGGTGTCTCGGTTCGACTGGGACTGGGATCGGGGGTCACGATGAGCTGCGGGATAGTCCCGGGGAAACTCAGACTGCCCGGGATGCCCTCCGCTAGTTGGTAAGGCTGCTTCGTGGAGGCTCCTGAGCTGGAACGGCGATTTCCCAAGTCGACTGGGGAACTGATGCTCCTCTCGCCTTGTCTGTGCGTCCTGCCCGGGCAAGCGACAGTGTTAGCTGGGGATTTAGTCATCGCAGTATCCGCGTCTGTGAAACCGGAGTCCCCGGAGCCCCCAGCACGCGCTCCGCTGCAGTCTCCGGTCTCCAGGCGTAAATACCGTCCCACACTTTCGTCTTCCCCCGAATCTGTTAAAACTATCGATACCGCGGGAGCGCGAGAGCTTTCCGCCCCCTCCTCGGGACAACCATTTCTGGGTGACTGCTTTTCCATGGTATTCCTGTCATGGTCCTTCCCCGACGCGTCCGGGCCAACGTGCCAAGAATTACTTTGGACCGATCTGTGTAGTGGGGTCCGCGGATCAGACCGCGTTGCATCCACGGAGTCCACGCCACATCTTGTCTGGGATTCGCGGACCACCGCCGCCACTGGTTTATTGTCTTCGCCGGTAGACTGGCTCTTAGGATTTATGCTCTCCGTCCGGCAACTTGGCGACTTCTGCCCTTCTGCACTTGTATCCGGCAATGGAGTGCGCCCCAACTTCTCATCCAGCCTCGGAAACTCCTCTTTTTTAACCAGATTCCTGTCAAACCGGTCGTCCCTTCGCTCCTTGCTCGTTACTCCACCAAAACGCGTTACTCCAGACTCCACCGGTCTCCGTTTCTCTTTAACACATGCGATGGTGAGACAGGAGGTTGATTGACCCATTCTGCTCTCCGTACAGTCAGTTACGCCAAAGTCAGACGCAAGGCGACATAGACCACGCCTTCAAAATAAGAGACCTGTTATTGGTATTCGGCAAATTCTTCTAAACAGTAATCCCTCCTCCAAGTCTAGCCGGGGGCCATGTGACGCGGTTCAGCTTTATTGTGGCAGACACATGGCTTTTATTGTGAACTGAGTGGTCTGGTGAACGATTAACAACCGCATCGTAACTGGCGGCTGAAGGTAATCCGGCAGTGTAGGCAGACCTGAAAACGCAAAAATACAGGAAATAAATGTCACCAGTCAGCACAGAAAACGAACATATTATGAATGCAGCAGAAATTAAACGTTTCAATTGTACAGCGACGACTATACTGCTTTAACTGTGAACAAAATCTTTGTAAAATTGTCGTTTGCTAGACAACGAACGTATGAGGCATTCTTACTCATGGGCTGTTGCGAAAATGCTTATATACTTTTTCCAAGTGATGACTTAACAGCATCTCTTTCCGTCTCAGTAATGCTAAATTAAAAAGTACCATATAACCTGCTCTACATCCAGTACTTATGTTATTATAAAATGAAACTATTGTCTAAAATAAACAAAGCAGAAATTCATAGAACTGATTCTGCTGCCCTCTTCTGGTTCGTATCAGAATATTTTATTGCCTCTAAAGATAAAATTTAAAAAGAGGGATTAAAGGTTATATTTCAGTTTGAGCCTACAACAAAGAAATATGTTGAATGAAACATAGATACCCAGGGGTAAATCTCTTCTAGCACATTTTCGCACGCATCCCGACTCTTGCCACAGCAGCAACTCAGCGGAGAATTACTATGGTGACAGAATAACGGAGAGGCAGCGAGAGAACTTTTTCAGTGTTTGCCAAACGTTCCCTCCTCCTCCTCTTTCTGCCTCTACTCCTCCATCTCCTCCTCTTCACATTTCCATTTTCACTGGTGTCACAAAGAAAGTAGGCTCAGGGGGAGGATGCTTGTGTGTCGCAGGGGTGTGGTTTTGGTCTAACTGGTGAGCATTAAACTCAATGGTAAAAAGTTAAAGAACGGCAGAAAAGTTTTTTTTTTGCTCATTCTTATCATATTTTCCGTTGGAGCGTGACACATTGTGATGTACGTTCAAATAAAACAATTTATATATGAAAGAACATTTTCTTATAAAAGAAATTTACCTTTTGCCTCTGTTGAAAAAAGTTTCACTGGTATCAACACTCTGGTTTAGATTAATAAGGCATGTATGTTGACACAGTGAAAGGAAAACAGAAAAGAATAGAATTACAGCAGAAATCATGTTAATTAAGAATGTTTTAGTACTTGACAGTAGTGAACGTTCATAACAAAATGTTGAGAAACAGGAAGCGACTATGAAATGGAAAATTAGGAAAGAACAGCTCATTGTGAACTGTTTGTGCATATCACAGCATGACTCGTAATGTCCTTGGCTGTAAAATGCATAGAGTTTCCGCAGATGGAATTTTTCGTACATTTGCTGCGTAAGACCAGCAAGAAGTGGACATGGAGTTCAACTGAAATGTCAGACATGGCCTGGCCTTCGCGATTGCGGCATATTTTCAAGAGCGGCTCAGTAAACACTTTGCTTATTTAAACCCAATCCCAAATGTCAGCCAAGAAAAAACGCTCATGTTTGCCTCAGGCTAGAGTGTTATGGGTGTGATATGGTATGTGTGTGGGAAGATCACAGGCGTGTGTGTTGGAGCGTGCATGATAATGTCTGCGTCGTATAAATTGGTCCACGAGGTAGGAAACTTCGGTCGGAGTGGAGGAGGTTGTGCATTACAGCCTGATGATGGGGAGCTAAACGTGACTTGGCGTGGCACAAATCTTTACTCACGTAACTGGAAATTCATTAAAATTACCCATGTGCTTCATCCTACTTACAGTCTTGTGTGCTCCATGCTCAAACACGCAACATGCTAATGTTAAGATGAAAGCTAATTTAGTCTTTTGGGCCGGAAGAATGATCTAAATGAATTTAATTTGTAATTATACAATAAAATACCTTTTTGGAATATGAAACACGTGGCATTATTACATAGACATTTTATTTATTTGGCAGATGCATTTATCCAAAGTGACACACAATCAGACAGTCCATGGAGCAATTGAGAGTTCGTGGTCTGGCTCAGGGTCCCATCCCTGAAATCCCTTTGCCAGCCACAGGATTTGAACCCACGACCTTCTGATCGCAGACACAGCACACCCCCGTCTGACACAGTATGCCACATATCATGCTGAATAATTTATCAAAAAAAAACTTGAAAGCAATGATATCCATTTGTAGCTTTAAACATCTATTATACAAACTGCAATGGTTCTCAAACATATAATCTGCACAAGGCCTCATTTTTCAGTCTTTTCAAATATATTATATTCTCTCTTACCCACACCCAGTACTCCAACATTAACTTTATGTAAAAAGGACATACAGTGTATGTGTAAGGGCTTTGAGTACAGAAACGCAAACACAGACTTGGATACCTTGGATAACTATCCAAATATTTAAAGACATCAGACTGGTTCTTCTATCTGAGACAGACAGCTGGAGACTGACAAGGAAGCATACCAAACAGCAGCAGAACACTGATATTTTTTATTTTCTCATCTCAGATACAATCACCTGCTGCTTTTTATCAAGATAAGTTTGTTTGAGAATAATAAGCAGGACATTCAAATTTACAAGACACTATCCAAGTATAGAGCTCCAAGTATACAAACTTAAAAATTCCATTTGCCCTAAGATAGTTTCTATTTGTTACATCTCCAGGAAAAAAATGGGCTGTTTAGTCTGCATAGCCTTTGTGACACCATAAGCCATGTGTCTGATGAAATTCTTCCAGAAACTTGTGTCTACTAGGAATAACTTAATAAGGCCACATGTTTTTTTACCAGTAAGTTACTTCTGTATACTGCCAGAAAAGACATAAGAAAAATAAACCAAATTAACATGTTCAGCTGGATTTTTTTTGTCATCTAAGCTACCTTCACACTAAGTGAAAATGATCACAGTACAGAAACTGTTGGTGTTTAGGAATAACTGGTAAGATCACCTACCCTTAAAGAAGTGGTAAGACAAATTTAAAATATTAAAAACTAAAATAAGACAAATACAGTATTATAAATACTGAAGAAATATCAAAGCTATGTTTTAGCAACAAAGACAAGATCAAACAAATAGTGTTACTCTCAGTCTTTTTGTGAAATTCCATAAACGACATTTTTGATACACCGAGATGTCAAAACAGGTAAAAGACTCGCAGTGTAGCGCTGTCAAACGTAGTGACAACTTGATTCCCTGTGTCTAAACTGAAAGACTGGGATGTAAAAAAGTAACGTCGAACAGCGCTGATGCTGACAACGAAAGTTTCTCCATAGTGTTATCATTGTGATTATGCATATTTGCAACAAAAATTCTCGGAAAAGATAACTGCAAATAGATGCTCTTCGCTGCCAAAAAATTCAGGGGATGGAAAACGGTGATGTATCTATAGAACAGCAGGGCAGACAAATGCAAAACAGTGCAAAGATTAATACGGACCTATTGAGACGTTTCGCATCAGAAAGTCTCAGCGTACTTAAGATGACCAAAAGCTATTAATTCTCATTAACAGAAAATTCCCAAAAAGCGAAAACACGCAACCACATTGGCAGCCCATCATGCCAATCGCTAACAGCAGCTTTTCGCTTACCTTTTACTTTTGTTTTTCCTCCCCCTCTTCACTCCTTACATTGCTCCTTCTCGTTCAACGGGTAGCACGGAGAATGTGTGTAACTTACTGTGAGAGACAAAGACATTTAATCAACAGGAAACGAAGTCCTTCCGCTCCAAACCTCCGCGGCGCACAGTGAGCTCCGATCCTTAAGTCAAACACTTTAGTTTCCGTCAGTAAACTTTCAGGGTGGGCAGGGTGAATCATACTTGTCTCTGTCTGCCTTAGACAATTAAAGAGTATATTTTTAGAGAAACTAATACCATGTGCATGTGATTGATGTGAAAATCATATCCTCCCAAGATTTTTCTTTAAACATTGCTTGTCTTTATGGTTGCATGACTTCATCTGCGCATTGAACAGGCATCCACCGTTTTAACAAATTTGCAGCTTTCTGCAATTAAAGAGAGGAACCTCCAGCAGTGACATTGGTGACGCTGACAGGCATTTTCACGTGACTTCAGTGACGCGCACGTGTAAGACGCTGTTACGCTTTTGGTTTGTGTTGAAATATAGTGTTGAAACTCTTATGGGACGCGCTTCAATGACCCGGAATGGACGTCATGTAATGGTTATTGTATGGTCATGAGAGAACAGAAGTCGGAGACTATGTTATACTGATATAATAATGATATATATTATTATTTAATATATTATATTCTTATACCACAAAAGCAGTGTATATTCTGTGTTATTGTAATCCTTAAAATCTGGTCTACATTATGAGTCTTACACAATTTCTGCGTAATGATAATAATATATTCGACTTTTATGTATGAATAGCTTTATTCCACAGAAAATATACGTGTGTGTTTTCAATTTTGTACTGGGTGACACGTATGTGGGCGTTTGTACTAGTTCCATTCATTTACAGTCAATGTAAGAGACGTGCACTTAACGGCTGAGAAAATACGTGTATAAAACATTCTTATAGTTATATATAAGTCAAGTCAAGTGGCTTTTATTGTCATTTCAACCATATACAGTAATACAGTATATAGTGAAACGAGACAGCGCTCCTCCAGGACCATGGTGCTACATATAACACTACATCGATCGACACAGGACTACATAAAGTGCAAGTGTGCAAAAAGTGCAGACATTGCAAAAACAGTGCGACACAAGAAGAAATAGACGAGATGACAGTGCTATTAAGTTTTAGAGATCGCAAATATGGAAAACAGAATCAATAAAGCAGGTGTGAGAGAGTGCGAAATTGAAGGGGACACGTTATAACGTAAATGTAACGGTTTTTTTGGAGGGACGAATGAAAAATGAAATATGGGGGGGGCACGCCCACCCCCCGCTTCTTCGCCTCTGCGATAAACACATTGCTGCTGTCAACTTATTATACTTTTAATTTACAGTCAATAGAAATAATTATGTATGATAGTTTTGTATTACTTTTGTAATACGAGTAATCATTTCTTGACAAATTAGTGTGCACTATCGAGGTAAAATCAACAAATGCAGAGAGTTTAGTCTTTTTTTTCCCTCACCCAGTACACCGAAGTTGTTGTTGATTGTTTGCTTTGTAAAACGCTTGTTCGCTATTTCACCTGACAGTACTGAGTGGAATTACAGTGTGTTAATGTATTAATTTTCTTCTTGGTTGTGCGTATCCAGCGGATTTTACAAAACATTCTCGTAGTGCAGAGTTCTATGCTGGATCCAGGGACCATTTGTCTTCCCCGACAAAGACGATGTTAGAGCGGCTCAGCAATGCCACCTCGGGTAATTCGATCGTCATCCACGTGACACCCTTTTATGAAGAGATGGAGAATCCAATGTTGTCGCTTCAATGGACACATTTCATATGCTATTGTTTATTACTTTTAAATAATAGTTTAAAGTGAAAGAATTTTGAAAGAATGTTCATTTTAATTGACTACTTACAGAAAAATATTTGCAAATTTCAAAGGAAGAAATTAAAAGTGCAAAATACTGTTTGCAGAGGGGTTAGCGTTGAATTTAATGGGAAATAATGATAATAATAATTAGATGGATTTTTGCATATTATTAGATGAGGAGAAGAATTTTGAAACGGATGTGATCAAGTCACAGGAAACAAGAGAAATGTGCAGGTGGGTCTAGCTGTTAGTCAGGATTTCTGGACCATTTGGAGCTTGTGCAGGGATTTGGATCTGATGCCACGTGGCAGGTGGAAAAAGGTGGTTTTACTAATAGATGAAGCTTCCCTGTTTAACATGAGAGAAGGGTCCAGAATTACACCCAGGTTTTGAACTGAAAATTGGGAATAAGGTTGGTGATTGGATGGATTTAGTGCTGAGGTGAAGGTTGGTATCATCAGCATCATGGAGGTTGAGGTTAAATTGTTGAATAGTGCAGCTGGGAGTGAGGATGCACACGACAAAGATCAGGGGTCCAAGAACAGATCCTTGGGGGACCCCGTGGGTGCCCGCCAAGGAGGAAGGTGAGCGCTCAAAGATGGAAATGAACTGCTTCCTGTCCCACAGGTAGGACAAGAACTAGTCTAGGCCAGTGCCCTCAGTCTTGAGGATGTTGTGGGACGTTGTGTCGAAGGTTGCACTCAGGTCGAGGAAGATGAGGATGCTGAGGGCCCTGGAGTCTCAGCTGAGAGCTGAGAACAGGAAGCCAGGTCTTAGACAATTGAGAGTCCAGGGGAGTCAAGGTGTAGGAGACCTGACTTGGGGGGGGGGGGGGGGGGGTGGTGGGGGCCGTCCTTCTGGGGGGGGGGGGGGTCATGGTGAGATCAGGGATGGAAGACAGGAAGTAGTGTCAGCCAGAGAGTCATTTGTAGTAGAAATTGTATCCAGGAAAATTCTAATAAAGGATTTGTAGGGATGCACTGAGGTACCATTGGACTAATCCAGGGAGTCTAGCAGTTTTTAAACTATGTGTCTAGGCGGGAAAGACAGGCAGTTCTAGTAGTGCAAAGGGCGTCTCTGTAACAGGAGAGATGGTCCCCATAGGCCTCAGCATGGACGATGATCTTCGCAAAGAAATCTTCCTAACGTGGCTCTCCAGTCCACGACCAGACCGTGTCATGAGACAGAGCTCAGGTGTATACCAGGGAGAGGAAGAGGTAAAAGAGACAATACAGGAAAAAGTTATACGAATGCTTACTTCTTGAAAATGAACGGAAATTCCTGTCTAGTCAGGCGGTGAACGAGAAACACTACATTCATCAGGACTGACCAAGCGCACTCAGAAGAATAGTGATAGACACCAGGACATGCTTACCGTCCTGGCCACGGTTCTGAGCTGAAAAAATGTGACATTCATAACAAAAACTTTTAAATGTTTTCAGCTTTCTAACCTTTAATATAGAAGACCAAGGTCCATACGACGGTTTCAAAATTGTTAAAAACAGAAAGAATACAAGTGAAGAAAACAAATGTAGTGTTTTTAATTTTCCATGCATCAATCATCCTGCAAGATTGTACTGATTGTTTTGTAATAGGTGTGTTATGACAGTAATTTGAAATTGTCAGCAATTTTAGAATAAATTCAGTTCAAAAGGCTTATGTCTCAAGTTACTGCAGATCCAATTTCATGTCTGGCTAACAACACATTAGCAGCTTTCAGAGCCTGAACTTGTCATTTTTCAGCCTTAGAAGAGTGAAAGCTACCATTTCGGTCTGTAACAGGATATGAACAGTATTAGTTCATATTTCCATGCTGTCATGAAACCGCCAGTAAACCAAGGTCCACCACATCAATAAATGCTGTCTGACAGGAACTAGAGTTAAAAGACGCGTACAATGTGACCTTGAACATGGTTGTCATTAGTAGGAAGACACCAACATCTCACCTTCATTCATACTGAGAGATGTGCATGTTTCAGTTAATTTCATGCTATTATGGAAAATTAGTGAGGATGTATACAGCAATACGATGTGCTATAAACAAAAAGTGTTGCTTGTCAGAACTTAAGGTCATTATCATTGTAACCACAAAGAGAGTTAGGTATGGTAAAAATTTCTGCACTACCTACAGAACTACTAAAAATATATTTATATTTATTTCTGGGCTGTCAAAATTAAATTGTTAATCATTGTGATTAATATAAAAGAATCCTTTAAAATAAACATAATTTGTGACTATTCTACATTAATTTGGTGATTGATTTTACATTTAAATATGCATTATAACAAGCTCTAGTGTTAAGTATTACTTGCAATTAATTCATTGCAAAATGTGCAATTGTTAAAATCGATTGACATAGGATTATAATGCTAGTTACCATCATATAATGTGTGTTATTAATATATATTAATATATATATATTAAGGTATGTTAGGATGCTAATGTATACTTACATTCTGCTTATGAATGTTCTATGAATGCATTATGAAGGCGCAGTTAATGCTGTGTTACCATATATTTTTATCTTTGATTATCCTGATCTTTTCCAGAAAAGCCATGTTCTTATTTTTAATCTGAGTCAGCAATGCAGTTAAGGACCCAGGCTCTCCTCAAGTCACATAAAATGTCAAGAAGAAAAACAGTTAAACATTTTGGATAACACTAAGAATACCACTTGGCTGTATTCTTTTCATGTAAAGGAGTTTACAGGTATTACACAAGCCCTCTTACATTGTTCCTTACTTACTCGTGGAAATGTATAGATTGGCAGAATACCTTTGAAGGCTCACTTGTAATTACCCTGAAGAGATTGCAAGTCAGCTGAAATAACATTTTGATTTCATACAACCCATTAACATAACCTGAAATGATTTCTTTACAATGCAGTATATAAAACATTTAAACACTCATCCATTTCCAAAATAAGATAATCATAAATGTTAAAGGAGTCATTTTCTGACCAATCATGCAGTTTCTGTTCTGTTTCAATAAATAATTGGGGAATAACCTATTTATCATCTGGCCAAGAAGTGTGTACATTAGCAACAGCCTTTCAGAACTATATACACAATATAAGATTTTACAATATCTATTATAATATCACTTGGTGTGATGGTACTTAAATACTTAGTAGTAACTCAGTTACTACTGAAGAAGAAATCATAAATAAATAGTCGCTACTTAAGGACAGAAGTGTCACTTCATTAACGCTGAACAAACATATCAGTATTTTACATGTGTTATTCATTATTTGTTCCTACAGTACTTCCTTAAGTAGTTCCTTCAGTAGTTCACTAAGATTTACAGAATTAACAGATATAGTAACAAATATCCCACTTGGGATAAAAATTGCATCATGATTAATTAACGATGACATCAGTTTCTAAATAACAATTAACGTTGTAGTTAATTAATACATAAGTAAAGAGTATATTACGACGTTGTGTACCCTCAAATAAAGCGACCGAAAATTTACCAAGAACTTATCAGTGTTATAGTAAAATTCCAAGATCATTCTGAATAATTTTGTCTCAAATTCTTAATCCCACATTCCGTTTTTTAAGACTGAGAAAGACAAAATTTTAAGATGAGGGTTGAATGTCATTAGCTAGGCACATCCTTCAGAGGGTTCCATTTAGCCTAAAGCAGGAAGAAGTAGTGTTCCCACTTCCTATGCCAACACCCCTGTGACACAGTACACTGCATCAAGTCATCCCTTCACTTTCCATTTTGGCCCAACAACAGATTTAGCAGGAAAGACATTTGAATCTTATCGATCAGTTAAAATATTTGGACATAACAGCCATGATTTCGTAAGAGAAAATTTTCCTGTTGATGCAAGAAGATGCGCAAGGATCCAGAAAGGATGAAATTAAAGTCTGGTCAGCTTTTGGCAATCAAAAGATTAGCACAAATGTAGAGTTCATCAAGAATGTATAGAAGTATTATTTCAGTAAGGACTGATTCCAATAATTGGAACCCCGACCTATTCAAAACAATTAATTTATTCCAAACCCACATTCATTACAGTACCAGAAGACTTATATGTCCTATATACAGATACATTTTAGTCTGTTCGATTTTTTAATGATCAGAGTTTGTATTCATGTGTTTGATAGTTCATAGTAATCAACGGCCTCTTTGGGCAAACCGACATGCCCAGATCAAACTATCATACCCAATGAGGGGACAGTAAATGTAAACCACACCCCATAACCAGCTCTTACATTCCCATTGGTTGGTGGTGGTTTCTTTTGTTAAAGAATATGACAAGTTTTTTTGTTATAAATATGACTGAATTTTTGCCACTTATAGAAGTGAAAATGTTCCATTGTGAATAATCAGCCATTCACACAGATTAAAAAAAAAACACATACAAGCACAAATACCCAATTATAAACTTTAGTAGGTGAAATTTAGTTGCCCGGGACAGAGCCTGATATTGACTGACACAAGACACCGGATTGCCAATGTTACCAATGATGTGTCCAAATTGATAAAATTCTCATTATGCTCATATATTAACAAGTTTTATACCTAACAAACTCCATAAACAGTATGTAAAACCTTCAAATGTAAAATGTTAAAAATCCTTATCAGAATGAGTACCACAACATTTTAAATAAAGTAACGGCATCCACATTCACTGGAACAAGTAAATGGATAGGAAAAAAATGTCCTGGAAATTATAACAAAAATAATCATTCCCGTCAAGTGACTCCTTGTCACACACCCTTACATCTATCCCTGACAAACTATTTTCAGTATGTCTCACACCAAGTAAACATGATGGCAGTCAATTCTTTGCCATACCCTGTCTTGGGGAAGTTGAAAATAATGTCATGGGCAATAGCGAGAGCTCAGTCATGCTGACGATGTCCAAGTTCCAGAAAATAATTTCGACATTAATAACACTGAGCCATCACAACCAGACTGACAAATCATCGCGCCTCTGTCTGGAAAAAACACCTCACATATGCAGCTAAATCCTAAAAACTGAGACAGTCGTGTGTTTTTGTAAAAGTGCAAAGGTAAAATGTGTCCCCACGAAGGCAGCTAGCGGCCAGTGTCCAGGTCCCTCATGTAATCCTGCAAGGCTTGCAGACGGGCATCGATTTCCGACAGGTCGGCGCTCTCTAGGGGCACAACAAAAGACCAAAGTTAAGTCAACACTTACACATTTTCAGGGCCAGTAGGTCTTGCCTCGGGCTGAGTATCGGTCAAAAATGTTCAATACTGATTTTTGATACCTATTCCTGAACCAAATGACAAATCAGTTTTTGATACTGGGACAGTATCGAAGCAATTTGGTTGGTGCTATAAAAGTATCAAAGTTCAGCACCCAGCTTTAGTCTTACCCTTGTCCATGGCTCTCATGATGCCGGTTGGGGTGCTACATAACGGCTTCTTGGTGAGGTTTCTCCCTCGGGGCTGGAAGAGTCATTCGGTGAAATGTGGCCATGTATTACTTTGCCAACACAGAAACTCAATACCATAAAATGTATTTCCAGCCATCCCCATAAAAGAACTCTGAAAACAACACTTACCAAGGTAACCGCTGCGGAATTACAGGAAGCCTTTCTGGTCCTGGAAAAAAACAAAACAAGCACATAATATAAACACACATTAAACTAAGATGACAGAAACTAAATGTAAAAGTGAGTCTTCTCGTGCACGCATATATACACCTGAGTCAGAATGTGAGGAGGATTCACTTCTATGCCGGTCATGACTCCAATAATTTGAAATGAAAAATATACCTGGAGGGAAGATGTGATGCGATTTCTGGCATGTCGACCAATGAACTGTCAGAAAAATGGCTGCTCCGCCTACTCTCTATGGAAGAGCTCCGCCCCTGTCGGCCACTCCCTAGTCGGGTGCCTTGTGGCTGCGTGGTCCGGGATCGTGACCGTCCTCTCTCTGTGTTGGTGAGCGGACTCAGCATCGCTCTTCTCACCTTCCTTTGGCTGAAAATCAAGAAAAAAAAATTACAACTATAAAGCCATAAAAGGCTATCATTACAATCATCTCATCCATTTTCACTCAGGTGTCTATTGTCAGCAGACCCAAATAAATCCGCTCTACTAGGTCGGTCCAACTCCAGACTTCAACCACCTTTTCAGTAAAGCACTAGTGCTGACCAACAAATCGCATTTCCATCATCATTGCAACACAAACATGCACGATAAACACATCGCAAAAGACTGCCTGAAATGCGATTGATAAGAAAAGTCTTGCCATGCATTCACGCTGAGCATGCGAACACTTGACATATCAGATGGAACTTTCATGCAAAAAATCCACTGTACAAATTCTTTCCTCCTGTGGTACCTCGATCAGCTGTTTGGCCTATGATGCAATCGTAATGATAAAATCATGAGTTTCAAGTTACCCTGTAAGTTCAGCCGTGCTGCAGCAGCAGGCATTTACGTCAATAAAATACGTTGTGGTACGTGTTTTTTTTTTTTTTTATTAAAAAAAAATAGCTTTGTTACTGACATGTTTTATTCAATTATTAATGTTTATTTAGTAAAAACTCACACTCAGTAAAAACAGTAAAAATTTGTTCCTTTGCTTGTCACTGGGGCTGTACCCTCAAGGGTCTGCCAATCGTACCCTTAACTGTACGTAATTGTACCTTTTAAGGTACAGAAATGGACTCTGATGCATGCTGTTTGTGACTTTGGGATGCTCATCAGAGTCCATTTCTGTACCTTAAAAGGTACAACAAGGGTACAGCCCCAGGGACAAGCAAAATTACAAATTCTTACCCTTTTTTCTGAGAGTGTAGCGACATGTTATTAGTTATGATATGCACACTTCAATATTTGTTTATACAAGTCATATCTTCATCGAAATACTGGACAAATTTATCGCAGATTTTCCTCATATCATGCAGGCCTATAAAGCACAAATGTGTGTCCATGAATGGCTTTGTTCTTAAATCAATGCTAACAGCCACAAGCCCTTAATTCTGATTTCACCTGTATCTCTACCCAGCTTATACACCTGGACCTCATGTCAGCTTCCCACACGGTTATAAAGATTTAACTCTCCTCCCCTAACAGTGTTCGAAAGGCTTGTGACAGAATAGAAGGGACCATCCTCTTTCCTGCTCTCCCCAGTGCGAGGAGGTCTATGGAAAAGATCCTGATAAAGCATGACATAATTCTGCAATTATTTAGTCGAAAGCAATTTAAACAGTGGATTTTGCCATATAATAAAAAGTTGAGCACAATGACAGTATTATGTTCACTTTAAGAATTGCTTTTTGAGATGAGCTTTACAGTCGCCATCTGTTTGAAGAGAATGGTGAGATCTTGGGGGGGGGTGGGGGGGCATACTGACTTTTTGAGTTCTGCCTCTTTCTGCTTGCGCTGGCGATCCTGGATGTAGCCTGTGGGGTCAAACCGCTGTGACTGGGACCCTGGGTGGGAGAAAGGAATACTACTGGTGGATTGCTAACCTGTTTCTCACAAATAGCATCCATCCATCCATTTTCTGAAACCACTTGTCCTATTCCGGGTCGCGGGGGGTCTGGAGCCTATCCTGGAGGCTACGGGCGCAAGGCAGGGATCAACCAAGGATGGGGCACCAACCCATCGCAGGACAAACTCACTCACCATTCACCAACACATGTTCACATCAGGTGATATTCTCACTTACACTGCCAAGCAGACACATGCATAAATGATCGACACCACCATGTACAAAAACAAAAAATAAATGGCGGCATCAGCGATTACCTGACGGGGATGGGGAGGGCCTCGGGATATGGGGGCGTGACCCAGTGGAGCCTGTCCTTTGTGCCACCATGTCAGCCCTTCTGCTTCTGTCCTCCACCCTCTCCCGAGACCCTGAGCGGCCCCTGAGCGCCCCCCCAGTGAGGCCACGATCCCGGGATGCCGACCGCCGCCCCAGGCCCTCCCCCCCGGAGCCGTTCCTGCAGGACGCCAAAGGAGACGCTCTGCTGTATGTAGTAAGCAAGGAATATACAAGGGACAAGACATGAGACGACCTGCCCGGCAGTAATATTAGAGGGGTGCGGGTTAGGGTTAGGGTTAGGGTAACTCACCAGCGCTGCATCAAAGCCAGCTCACTGGTAAGGCTCTTCACTCTAACCCGCAAAGCCCGCTCTGACGCCCGGAGCTCCTCCAGCTGCGAGACAACCGGGGCGAGAACACAGCACACTATCAGTGAGCCAAGTAGATATTCAGTCAGGTTTATGTAGTATCATCTTATGCAAACTCTCCAAAAACAACCTAATTCAGGGCAATACTGAGATGGACAAGTTTTATACCAGGGCTCTTCAAATCTGGACTTCAATTCCAAATCCAGGCCATGTTTTTAGTTCTCCCAGGTAGTTAGTTTTACAATTACTGATTCTGATTGGTCAGAGGCTTCACACCTGGCTCACAGATAAAGGAAAACAATGACGGATATAAAATACAAAACCTGTCAAATCAGAGTTCAGACACTGATAATTCAAATATGGGAGGTTTAAAAAAAGCAGTCATAGCTGAAAACATAAAGCACAAAGATGCATTTCTTATTCAAACAGGACATGCCTATAGAAGGTTTTTAATAATAATAGGGTATTTTTCTGTCAAAACACAACATTAAATAAGAGCTTACACACTCAAAGAGCCAATAGCAAAATCATTAAGAGGAATGCTCGAAGCACCACGAAGCACCACGAAGCACCACGAAGCACCACGAAGCACCTCTTCCAGAAGCAGACGCTTTTCCTGGCTCCGCTTGCTGGCCGAGCGCTGGTTCTTGGCCCTCTCCCTCAGCAGCTGCTCCTCTAGGCTCTGGATGACCTCGCGGAGCCCCCGAGCCCCCCCTCCAGGGGTCTGGCCCACCCCCGCTACCTGCAGCTGATCCAGAGCACGGGCCAGGGCATCCTTCTCCCCCTGTACCCGAGCCAGTCTTTGGGGGAGGGAGGGAAAAATGCAAAGTCATCAAGAGGTGAACTGGGACAAACGAGCAGCAAATGGGATTAAGTAAAGCTAGCTAATTTAAGCATGGACTGACTCTGCACGCAGGCGGTTGGTTTCGGGGTCTTGCCGACTGCGGCCCCCTTGGGCTACGAGGGCAGCCAGTTCCGCCCTGAGAACTCGGATCTCCCTCTGCAGGGCGGCCGGGTCCAGCTTGCCTTGGTAAGGCAGAGGCAGCGGGTAGTGAATCCTGTGTCAGGGGACAGATGCAAGGTAATGGTTTGCACTCCACAGAGAGGGGATAGAGGCACAGAGACACCTTGGATCAGCTGTAACTAGAATGGACTGTGAGAGGAATCTTGAGAACCAGGAGAAACCCCCACAAACAATACAATACAAAACAACCACATTTAAGTCAGAACAATTTGACATATCTATTCTTAACCATTTCACAAGTTTACTTACATAGGTATTTCACACAGAGTACAAAACACTTGTAGGTACTGACCTGTCAAACTCAACAGTATAGACTAGAATGAGGTAGCGCTTGGTACTGAGGGCTGGAGACTGTGGCTGGGACCGGATCTTACTGGGTTGCCCCATCTTTCGATTGCGCAAGAGCTCCAAATCGGAATACGTCAAGAGGTCCAGGGTCACCGCTTCACTAGTCTGTAAAACAATAAAGCAGCGTTCCATGACCTTATAGTCGACACATTCCGAGACAGACATTTTCAAAGCACTGTTGTGAGACTCAACCTAAGGCACCTTATGCAGCATCATGGCTACACATCGCTAATTATGGCACATAAAATCTAAACGTTACTATTCAAAACCAATAACAGTTTGGTGCTCCCACCCTTCTGACAGCGGACTCCAGCATACTGCAAAAGATGGAGAACTGCTTAAAATTGCCCGTCTTGCGAGTGAGGTCCTCAATATCTGAATAGAAATTGGGGGGGTAAAGCAGAAAATCCACTGGTCAGTTATGGTGTGATTATCAATGGCAGCGCATCACATCTGTAAAGAGGTATTTGCAGTGCATACTTACAAGTGGGGTCGAACTCCCCTCTCCACTGCTCAGCGGTCATTAAATCTAAGATCTCCACCATCAGCAGCTCCTCTTCCACCTCGACCCTGACCGTAAACTCCGACCCACGGAAGTCCATGTCGGCTTGCACGGTCTCCATGGCTCCCTGCCTGAGTGAGAACCTGCACCTTGACGAGACACCGGTAATGAATCGCTGACGAACCCATAAAAACAAGATAACAGTACTGGTCCCAGCCAACGTGGTGCCCTAGGCGAGCATCACTGCCGGTGTTCTGTCAAGATGAGCTACTTTGTCGAGTTATGCTACGGTAGTGCTAATTGATAGCCCTGACCCCCTCAAATCCCCCTAAAACCCTTACCTTAACCCTAACCCTAACCCCAAGACGGTGGAACTGCACATGCGCAGAAAGGCTCCATAGCACGTCTCGAAAGGTAGGATGTTTTGTCAGAACACCGGCGCCCCCAGTCCAAGGCAAAGTGAAATTGGCTGGCAAGTCGGCGCCCCCTGAGAAGATGGCGCCCAAGGCAGCCGCCGATGTCGCATATAAGATTGACTGGCCCTGCAACTGAACTTCAAAAGGACAAGACCAAATAATAATAATTATTATTATAATAAGACTTAAAAGATGCAGAGATTTAATAAATAGTAGGTTAACAAGCATTCAATGGATATCACGTCACCTATATAAACTGGACTTAATAATGACCGGCATGATTATGACGCCTGGTACTCAACTTAATTGCTATGAAATGACACGAAGCTCAAGTTTCCGTGATTAAAGTCCTTAGTCAACAAAAACCGCAACTGACGAGCTTATGCTATGGCGAGCAACATGTTTAACGACCACTCACTGTCACATCAGGATGAGTTAAAATAAATTTCCCCGATATAATCCACAAAAACATTAAGCATCAGTCAATCTAGTTCGCGATATGAATAAAGTGGCATGAAATGAAGGGGGAAATTACCCTAATGTACAATTAAAATTAAAACGCTGAGTACTAGCTAAGTTAGCCAGCTTACCCTGTTCGGACGTCCTAAAACAGAATCAGCTTAACTAGCTAGTCCGCCACCTACTCAATTGCAGCTTACTTAGAAGCCATTTACATGTTAATTCAGTTCATATATTTATTGACCATCAATATTAAACAAGCATGCGGGATCTATCACTATTTCAGTTAATATTACACACAGCGGTTCAACAACCGGGAATTTTAAACTACCGCCCATAAACAGTTTCTCCAGAAACTATTGGTGAGAAAAAACTTAACCGGACAATGTAATTGAGCGTACTGTCTGCCAATCACTGTAACGAACCGCCAACCAAAGCTTCCTATTGGAGGGTTTGCTTGAGAATTTCTAAAACTTCATTGGTGCCGGATTATGTCAATTGAGTGAGGTTTTTACGACTTTCATTTCCTATATCCATCCATCCAGTCACTCATCTTCCAAATACTGAAGATAGATATACGTACACACTCAACAGGTGAAAACGTACTTCTCTCATACGCAGGAGTGCATTATTGTTGTTACTCTAAAAAAAGATCGAGTGTGATCTGAGGTAGAACCCCCCAAGAAATATGTATGGAAGAGGTCTGAACCATAATAATGGAGCAGGGTGGCCAGTTAAATACTTAATATTTACATCACTTCTCCTTTATGCACTGTATGGAAGTATATGTTTGAATGGTTTAGAAGAAAGCAAGGTTTTAAACTGTCTAGCACTGCAAGAATTGGAGCATGAATCATAGAGGAGAAGCTGTCCTAACAAAAGCTTATTGGTGACACAGTCCTTCCATTCCTAATTGCCTGCACACCTTGTTCAGCTGGAAGTGCACATATTTGGTATAACATAAACTGAAAATAGAAGCGCGAGGTATTGAGACAGTAACACGTTGCCACGTGCGCATATTCTCGCCTCGGTACTATCAAAAGCACTCTGCTGTATGTTTTGTAGAAAAAAGCATGAAAAGAACTGGGATGTATCGGAAAAGAAATGGTGGAGGAGGGAGAAAGAACAGAAACCAATTAGGCTGGAAGGGAGAATGAGGCTGAGGTGAGAGCATCAGGACCTGCACAGGAACACTGAGGCAGAGCCTCATAGACCAGTGTTTCCCATCCCAGTCCTTGGGGACCCCCAGACAGTTCATCATTTTGTTCTCTCCCTGCTCCCAACTCACCTATGACAGGTATTTGAAGCTCTCGATTGGCTGGAAGCTGGAAGGGAGCAAAAATGTGGACTGTTTGGGGCTCCCCCAAGGACTGGGTTGGCAAACACTGTCATAAACAACTTTAAATGTTCAGCACTCATCAGATGCATACTTAATGTCTTGCATAGTACACTTTTTTAAAATTAGGCTGCATTTCTGCATACTTGATTTATAAATTAAGTTAAGAAATTTGTTGTTGACTTCTGTTACTGTATGAATTATATTTGTTAATATTATCATTCAATGTTAAATATGAAAATATGTGTTTTTATTTCTGTAGAGCAGCGTACCATCCTGAAAAATATTGCAATTTTGTTGCACAAAAAATCTCAGCATTTTTACGTTTCTCGGACAGGCTGCTCATGGTGTTGTAACATAAAGGCCAGTCTGGATCTTGAAAGAAAATAAATTTCACCCCCAAATTTCTAAGGCATTTATTCTATCCTGATCAAGTTTTACATCTTTAATATAACATTTTGTCCCTTTGAAACAGTTTGTTGCATCAGGTTTATCCTTTGTGTGTATATATAACATAAAAAAACTTCAACACAATACTCATCATGACCAGAAGAAAGGCAACGTAACATTTAAAGCAAAAAAAAATGATGCAACCATGACAGGCACTACATGGGCAGCCTGTAAGTGCACTCCGTGGGTCCTTTACCCTCCAACCCAGAACTGATGACAAAAATACAAACACAAGTAGGGTAGCCATATGTCCTCTTTTTCCTGGACTTGTCCTCTTTTTCGGGACCTAAAAATGTCTGGGATTGTGGGTTGTTTCATGTTGACATTTGCTTTCTACAGTCAGAATACTTTCTGCGTACATACTTGCGTTGCTTTGATGACTCTCTGTGTCCTGCCCGTGTCCTCTTTTTTTGCAAAGCAAAATATGATCACCCTAAACTTAAGATAATGCAGTACAAAGACACCGCAATTCAAACAGAAAAGTCAATAACAATGTGAACCCAAAATTATCACTGTGTATGTGCGTATGTTTATATAGGCTTCAGATCATAACAAGGACAATGGTTAGAAGATAAATAAATGTCAATGACACTTGAATAACGCTAGATATCGGAGTAATACAAATTCTGTGCAGCGGGTGGCGCTGGTGTGCAGGCGGTCTCCCGAGGACATGCCGAGGATTGGACTAGACAGACACTCCGCTGGCCAATCACAGGCTAGAAATTTGGGGCGAGTTCCTGCTGTGGCGTTTCATTCATAACAGTGTAAAGCAACGGCCAAGCACTGAGAGGTAAAGGGGTTGCTTTCCAAGAAACAAAGATAATATAAGTTTCTTTTTTCTTGGCAAAAGAGAAAACCTTTACATGTCTAAAAACTAATTCGTATGCTTAATTACCAGTTAAGATCGTTAGGGAAAGCTGTCATTTGCTTGTTTTAAACGCTACTTGAGTGATGTGGCGTCGTGGCTAACAAGGCAATGCTAATTGACTGATACGTTTGATTATTGGAGTGTAATTACAGAAAACGAGATCAAGGAGTCAAGGCCGCTTTTTATTCTCATGTCGTCAACTGAATTAGCTTTTAGCCGAATCGCTGCTAACGTGGTGACGTTGTGGATTTGTTCATAACTACAAATGAAGGAAAATTCATAATGTTTCTTTAGGAAATCATTAAGGATGTAAAGTTGAAATCAGTATTGCAAAACAGTGATTAAATTGGGTTATACTTTAGGTAAACCTCAGGTAAATGGGAGAAGTTACATTTTTCATTTTAGTACTTGTAATACATTTTTGTGTTTGTGTAAATAAAAATGTCTCCTATAAAGAAGATCTTAATTTGTATAGTCATAGTATGGTTATTTGACGCGTGTTGTCTTGGACGGCTGTCTCTTACACCGAGTGGCTTGTTAATTAGGTACACCTAAGTCAGAGGTCTCCAGCTCTGGTCCTGGAGAGCTGCCATCCAGTCGGTTTTCTATCCTCCCTGGCTTCTGATGAGCCACACCTGTTCTCAGGTAAATACCAGGGCCAGGTGTGGCTCATCAGAAGCCAAGTAGGATAGAGAACCTACTGGATAGTAGCTCTCCAGGACTGGAGTTGGAGACCCCTGAGCTAAGTCGTACCAGAAAGGACCTACTTTCGAACCGTGACTAGGTATATCTTCATGATCTCTAGTCTCTGCAAGCTGTTTTCTGCCACTGAAATGCCTTTGGCTGGATGTTCATCTCCATCACAGTATTCTTTGTTACCCGGGGACAGCAGTGCACCAAAATCCCAGGAGAGTGGCTGTTTCTGAGATGCTGGGACCAGCATGTATGTCACCCGTAGTCACACAACGTGTCAAAATGGTGTAGATCAGGCGTCTTAGCTGCTCTGATGTTTAGTCGAAAAGTTAGTGAACATCTTGATTATGTCAGCCATATGATTCACTCTCTTAAAAAGGAGACTGTTTGCATTAATGAGCAGGTGTACCTAATAACTGGCCACTGAGTGTTTGACCTTCAGTATAAAATGATATATATATATATCTATAAATCTCTTTAAGACGTTTAATCGTCCAAATTTGCAAGAGTATAATGAATTACAGAGTTTGCCGTGTATTTGCAGAAACCTCTAACATTGAGTTTATTGCTGCAGTTATTGCAGTGATTGGTGTAGGTTCTATCTATTATGTAATTTAATGCATTGCCTGTTATCATAGTTATATAATGGTTCAGAGTTGGAATTTGGGCCCTGTGTCTTTCAGGTGTTCTGCTGACCAAGTTGCAAGTAGCGAAGTAGCGACTGGCCCGGCTCGCAGTCACCGTTGGACTTGCCTTTGAATTATTAACTGGTCAGGGGACGAGAAGAACTTCAGCGTGACCTACAGATCAAACACAGCCAGGGGTTAGGAAGGCCGTCGAGTTGTTTTCACCCTGTTCCCCTACCCAAGAATGAAACGAGGATTAATGGAAAAGAGGACGCAGCATTAGGAGCCCTGTCACACCAAGTCGTCTCGGTCCCCGCCTGAGTGCAGACCGGCATTAATCAGAGGGCCTCGACCTAATCAGCTCTGCTGTTTACCGGCCCTGTTTTGTGTTCCATTGAAATCATGATAGACACAGAGTACTCTTGAGCAGTGAGGCTGACCGTTGACCCCACTCCTGATTGCGTCATTGTTTCTCATTTATCCAGCTCTGCTCTATATGAATCTTAACACAAAGTTCATAGCCCCCTCGCCGCCGGATAATACCCGTGCTCGAAAAGAGCAGACGGATCTTTTTCAGGGCTGTGCTTCTGTTTTCTGTTCGCCGGTCCTAGCCTCTGCACTACAAAGCACTTTGCTACAGAGGCAGTCATGGGTGCCAAGGGATATGGATATTACCGCACCAGCATTTTCCTGGCAATGTTTGTGGGATACACGCTCTACTACTTCAACAGAAAAACATTCTCCTTTGTGATGCCCTCAGTGATGCAGGAGATCGAACTAGACAAAGATGATCTGGGTGAGCTTGAATTTACCGTACCACATTTACTGTTTTTTTTTTATTTTTAAAAAACATTTTGCTTGTATTCGGCATGCTAGATTCCAGGCCTCGTGTGTGCAGACATGTTAAACTTCATCGTGGCCTGGAATAAGGCGCAGGTTGCTGTAAGCACAGATAGCACTTTGAACCTGAAATCTACCAGCAGCAGAAATACACAGATTGGACATTGCTACTCATTATGCTCATTTTCTTGTAAATTTCTTTGCCAACTGTTCTCATCTGATTGATCTTTATTGAAATTTTGTTGATCGTTTCACACTTAATGTGTACCCTGATCCGCCATAACATTAAAACCATGGAAGAGAAAAACATTTATCTCATTACAATGGCACCTGTCAAGGGTGCCATTATTTCTTAGGAAGTCGATCTGCTGGAAGCAGGAAAAATGGGCAAGAGTAAGGATCTGAGAGACTTTGACAAGGGCCAAATTGTGATGATAAATAACTGGATCAGAGCATCTCCAGAACAGTAGGTCTTGTGGGGTGTTCCCAGGTCCCTACCTACCAAAAGTGGTCTAAGGAAGTCCAACCGGCGAACCAGTGATGGGGTCATGGGCACCCAAGGCTCATTGACGCACATGGGGGATTGAAGGGTCAGTCTGTCTGGTCCGATCCCACAGGAGAGCTACTGTAACACACATTGCTGAAAAAGTTAATACTGGCTATGATAGAAAGGTGTCAGACCACAATGCATCACAGCTTGCTGTGACCGCAGACCGGTCCGAGTGTCCATCCTGACCCCTCTCCACCGCCGACAGCACCTACAATGGGCACGTGAGCATCAGAAGTGGACCATGAAACAATGACATGGATGACCGGGTGTGTGATGCATTGTTTACCTGGTAAAGAGATGACACCAGGGTGCACTATGGGAAGAAGGCAAGCCGGTGGAGGCAGTGTGATGCTCTGAGCAATGTTCTTCTGGGAAACCTTGAGTCCCGTAATGTGGATTGCTTTGACATTGAATCAGAATTTCAGAGAAATACCCCAAGGTCTGTGAGTGACAGACTGACCCACTGACTGCTACACCACCTACATAAACATTGCTACAGACCAAGTATACGATATTCCCCAATGGCAGTGGCCTCTTTCAGCAGGATAATGCTCCCTGCCAAACTGCAAAAATGGTTCAGGAATGGTTTGAGGAACATGGAAAAAGAGTCCAAGGTGTTTATTTGGCCTCCAAATTCCCTAGAACTCAACCCGATCAAGTATCTGTGGGATGCGCTGGACACACAAGTCCGTCTCATGGCGACCCAACCTCACAACTTACAGGACTTTAAAGATCTGTTGCTAATGTCTTGGTGCCAGATACCATGTGTCCTGTTTTGGCAGCACGAGGGGGGGGGGCTACACACTATTAAGCAGGCAGTTTTAACTTTATGGCAGATCAGTGTATAAGAACATTGAAATTTTTGTGATTCTAGTTGAGGTGTCAGTCATGTAGTCTTATGTGGTTTTATCTAATTATGCTTCCATAATTGTTTAAGCTTCCATTTGCAGTGAGATTTTCCTGGTACAGGCTTTTTATATCTTTGTGCTTTGCCTCACAGGCCTGATCACCAGCAGTCAGTCCCTGGCGTACGCCATCAGCAAATTCATCAGTGGTGTGCTGTCAGACCAGATCAGTGCCCGCTGGCTCTTCTCCATCGGCCTCTTCGTAGTGGGTGCCATCAATGTGGCATTCTCCTGGTCCTCTACGGTCGTCGTCTTCGCCGGCCTCTGGTTCCTGAACGGTCTGGGCCAGGGCCTGGGTTGGCCTCCCTGTGGAAAGGTGCTGCGCAAGGTATGTTTGCCGGGCCCAAGTGTCATCGTCGGTTTGCATAATGGTCATAGCCGAAAATGTGCTTTTCAGGTGTAGAAGCTCAGAGAGGGCACCTGCCTGGAAAGGAGCAGGTTCAAAGAGGAGCACCAACGGGCACGTGTCCATCGGCATGGCTGGAAGTGTACGAAAAATAGGCCGACGCAGTCATTCCTCATTCATCTAGTCCAGTGTTTCTCAATCCGTTTGGGAAACGCTGATCTAGTGCCGTCCATTAAAGCATTTCTCGAGGTCTCCACATAGTCCACCCATTGCCTAAACCCATCATGACAAGTGACTAAAAGTGGCTTGGAAAGGTGTACAATGTTAGCGTTTAAGGTTGTATATACAACTGAATGTCATGTGGTCTGTCAATGTTTTTTTTTTTGTTAGCTGTTCTAGGTGTTCCTTGCTTTCAGCTTTTGTTTGTTGGCCAAGCATAAATGAGCCCCAGGCAATTCAAGCCTGTCCGGTCATCTGTACCATTGGGCTTGACTTGCTTGGCTCACGTCCCCCCCCCATTCCTCCATAGTGGTTTGAGCCGTCTCAGTTTGGGACATGGTGGGCGGTGCTGTCCTGCAGCATGAACCTGGCCGGAGGCTTGGGTCCCATCATCGCCACCGTGATGGCCCAGAGCTACAGCTGGAGGACCACCCTGTCCGCGTCTGGCGTTGTCTGTGTAGTCGTGGCCGTGGTCTGCTTGCTGGTCATCAGGAACGAGCCTAATGATGTGGGCTTGCCCAACATCGAACCTGGGACTAAGAAGGGCAAAGGTGGTAAGAAACCGACACCATTATTTCACCTGATGGTCAAATAGACTGTCCTTACATCCTATCTCGGTCGACAAAAAGTGTCTTGTATGTGTATGTATGTTTGCATGTGCATTTGTGTTGTCCAAGCTGTGCTATTCTTTAGAAATGGTCTTTGTAGCCAAAGTACCCTCCGCACGCTCTTTGGTGATCATGTCTGCAGCCTGATCGACCACCGACTGTCCCTCTCACCTCTTGTCCCAGGTGCCTCCAGTGACGACAGCACTCTGAAGGAGTTCCTTCTCTCCCCCTACCTGTGGGTACTGTCCTTTGGCTACCTGGTGGTGTTTGGCGTAAAGACGGCCTGCACTGACTGGGGGCAGCTCTTCCTCATCCAGGACAAGGGCCAGTCCACGCTTATGGGTTAGGCCAAACTCTGTCTGCCTGCACACATGAACTACATCATAACCTATCAGACATTGATGTAGTCCCATATGTCGAGCTCCTTTATCTGTTAAACACATTTTATTGTGCTGTCGTTCCTTTAACCCCCTTAGACGGCGATACCATTTTACTAACTCTTTGAAGGAGGTTTAAGTCAAGCCAGAGGCTTTTTTAGACTTTATATCAAAAGCTAATTTTAAGCATCTAATTGACATAATTTAAACAGTTTTGTAATATTTTATATCTTGTAGTTTTTACTTATTGGGTTATACTCATGTAGCCCTTGGTACTGGCATGGTGCTGAAAGTCTACATAACCAGCTAACCCTTATTTACTGGGAGCAAATAAAAAGTAGCAGTTTGTCATTGTGGAGGAAGTCCTCAGCTGTCAGTGTAGCCTGGAGTCATTTCCTGGTGGTTGGCTTGCTTTTGGGCTGTGGGCCTAACCGGGGGTGTCTCCCACAGGCAGTTCCTACATGAGTGCCCTGGAGATGGGGGGTTTACTGGGCAGCATTGCCGCTGGGTACCTGTCGGACAGGGCCGTGGCTCGGGTGAGTATCTGTAAACGAAGCCTGTGTATTTAACATGAGGAATTCAACAGGGTTCGTTCGGAGACTAAAGTGCGCAGCTTGGCCGCCTGCTATCGGTCAGTTTCAACAGCCTGTAAACACTTTGCCGGAAGAGTGACGTTCTTAGGGGGATGTAGTTTTTGCTATGTTGAGGTGTATTCATAGACCATCTTCCTGCGATGTTTCCATCACCTGTCCAGCAAGGCCTGAGCAGCTATGGTAATCCCCGGCACGGCCTCCTGCTCTCCATGATGTCTGGAATGTTTGTGTCCATGTATCTCTTCCGGGTCACCGTCGCCCCGGATAGTCCCAAGGTAAGCTTGCTGCACTGGCTGAAATGCTGGAATCGCTTGTTTCCAGATAACAGGACAATGTTTTTGTTATCAGATTTAACCTTGTAGACCTCAGCGGAGGACTGTGGTCTGCAGAAATGTGACCCGGTTTGCTGCTTTTAAAATGATCATTTCTGAAGGAGTTTTAATTCAATCAAGACATTCAAGACATTATTGTTACTTTCAAATTGTGTTCTCTTCACATTGCAAAACACACAACCCCTTTATTCTTACAAATATTAACATTCTGTCTTACTTGATGTTTTTGGTGGATTCTGCAGGAACCTGCTTTATGGGTGGTGGCTCTTCACCCTCTTTCTGTCCTCACTGGTTTATCGGAACAAGAGGTTTCTGCTTTTCGCTCTCTCCCCACCCTCCTCCATGCCCCATTCCCTAACATGGATTCTTCCTGTGGTGCCTTTTCTCATTTCATACCCACCTGAACATCTAACTCACTAATCAATTCAAAGACAGTAGCTGAATCTCAATTTGCATACTTGACCATACTTGTGTTCTCGCATACCCGTTTGATGTCACCTTCCATTGCCAAAGACCAATTCCAATGCTAAGAACACAAGTACAGAGGATAGTTATAACCCCAGAATGTTGGTCTTGCTCCGCCCCAAATATCAAGGATAGATTGGTTGCATCCTCACCAAATGATGACCATGATTCATTGCGCCCGAAGTTCACTCTTGGAAGGCAAATTTGCAAGACCACAAGTACGGTCTTTGCATTCTTGGTATTGAGATTCACTGAGTCTGTTTCGATCATAATATAGTGTAGTGTATGTGTTGCAAATCACATTGCATTTCTAAATGAATGATTTGTTGGGTTATTTTTTTCAGTGCCTTTTGTCTTCAGTAATGTGTTCCTTTTCAATCTAGATCTGGATTCTGACTCTGGGAGCAGTGTTTGGATTTTCTTCATATGGACCAATAGCATTGTTTGGTGTAATAGCCAATGAGAGTGCTCCTTCAAACTACTGTGGAACGTCACATGCTATTGTGGCTTTGATGGCCAATGGTAAGTCACTTACTGTGACATACAGTTTTGATATGTATCTTGCTTATTAGCTAAAAACAATCATTTTTTAATAAAATGTAATTAATGTTAGCTGATCACTGTCATGACTCATAATGCAGTTAATGGACTTGTTCAAAGTGTTTTACTAGCCTGTAGCTGCCAATAGCTTATCTATTACGACCATGAGTTTTGCTTCAGTACACTTTGTTGAAAGGCGTTTCATTGTGGAATTCCTCCGTTACAGTCGGCGGGTTTCTGTCCGGGCTGCCGTTCAGCACCATTGCCAAGCATTACAGCTGGAACACAGCATTCTGGGTAGCTGAAGTAACGTGTGCTGCGACGACCATCGGCTTCTTTCTGTTACGCAACATCCGCACCAAGATGGGCCGCGTGCCTAAGAAGCACGACTAGGGTGATAGTGTGGGGGTGGGTGGCTGAGTCTCTGAAATTCTCACATTCAATGCTGTTCTCAAAGGGTATATGCACTTTATACCTTTATCAAAGGGTATATGCACTTTATACCTTTTATCCTGACATTCATTTTCACTCAACAGTGTATTTTTTTAAAAATCTACAAAATGACAAAGTATGAGCCATATTAAATTTAAAGTATTAAATAAGAACTTTTTCATACTACTACTCTTATTTTAAGGAATAACCTCGGAATATTTTTTTCTTGTAGGAGAAATGTACAACTTGTATAAAGATTACCATGGTGTAACATTTAGATTTCATTGGTGAAAATGATACTTTTAGAAATGATAAAAATTGTAATTACATTTAAATATATGGTATTTGGGGAGGTTGAATACTGTCTGTTAGCTTATAACTAATCAAAGCACAGTCATTAGTATGTTATACACAGTACATGATGGTCTCAGAAATGCTTGAGTCACTAATTTGTGATACATCTGAATTTTGCAATGTCATAACGACCTCTTTGTGTGCACCACCAAGTGTGTGCGGTGTTAAACTAGGAAAAAAATGCACATTTGAGATGAATGGTGCTGCTCATGCTTCTAATCAAATTATTTAGTTTGTGTTTGATTTTAATGTACATATACTCAGTGTGTGAGGTCCAGAACACATGATACTATTTTCTAAATGACTGGTGTTTTAAGTTTGAAGCCAGACCTACGATGTACAACCCTGTGTTGTGTTACATCGACGTTACAGTATCTTTTTTTGTGTAGATTCACCACTATCAACTGGCGGCCAGTATGACCCTGGGGTTTCAGTCCACTGGGTGGAATCGGTAGTTATAGGGTGTGCCATTTTATTTGTGGCCAAATGCTGCACGTCATACCATTGAGAAATGCTTTGTGGATTACCTACATTTTATATTTTGAATCAGCCTTCATTGCAATGGAATGTTTGTTTTATATCTGTATTTTCATTCAGCAATCAAGCACAGATAGTTTGAAAAGGTCTGAAGGTGATTTAAGGTGTCACCACTGGATCGAGTGTTCCACTGCTATTTATATATATACTGTAATTTTTGTAGTGATCGTATTAAATGATGTAATTTTGGAAATTTAACATGCTAAACTTGACTTTAATAACCAAGCTAGTGCAGATTCTTTCCATTACAATTTGAATTGATGTATCTCGCCTTTATGAGAGTGTAAATGGATTTAATTTGTAAATATGGTCAGAAGGTTTCTGAGGGTGACATGGGTTGAGGGCAGACATTTCAGGTCCAGAAAGTACAAATACAAACCAGGTTTCAACCAACCAGTTGAGCATAAAGAGTGAATCACAGAGTACTCAACTGGTTGGTTGACACAAAATCCTGGTTTGAATTTTTACAATCTGGACCTGAAATGTCCACCTCTGGTTGAGGCACTGAATCACACTTCTGCTCTGTGTGTGGGGGGTGTTTCTGGAGTTTTCTTGTTCTTTTCGTCTTGTATGGATGTACTCTCTCTATTCCCAGTTTTCATCCCATGGCCCATGCAGTTACACTATTTGGCATCTCTAAGCTCTAGCTATGGAGCATGATTGTGTGTCCTGTGATTGGCTGGCATCCTGTCCAGGGTGTATCCTAGCTCATGATACTAACCAGTATGGTTAGAAGACTGATAAATTAAAGGAATTCTATAAACATTACATGTACAGGTTTATTTTAGTATGTAACTGATAGCAAAACATTCTTTTTTTCTTTGTTGCAAGAACTTCCAAAAATTAAAAAGAACAGTTTTACTCATTCCATACATTTTAGGGAATAATGCCATTTTAATGAGGGAATGATCCGTTTAAAAAAATCACTAAAAACAATTGCAGACTGACCAATTTCACTCTTAAACATTCAGAAAAATAATTCAACTGTAAACCTGATTTTTAGCCCCCCCCCACGTATTTTCGTATATATATTAGAATATATTCTAATTCTTTTTCCCCATAGTTAAGTGTGAAGACTTAATTTCATTGATGAACTTAGTATGAAGGAAATTACATATGATGCAAAGAAAGACATTCAGAAATGTATTTATACATTATATACAAATTTTTTTTCACACAAATGTGCCAGTATGGTAATATTTACACCATGGATATTATTTCAAGGTCATGCATTCTCCTCACAGAAGTGCACCACAGTAACCATTGTCTTCTGATTAGTTTTTGCAAAGCAGAGCATACTGACTAATCAAAAACATTCCGAGAACTTCATTTTTTGACTGATCCCTTGATGTCACCTGGCTTGGTTCAAATCCACACTCATTCCTGTTTTACTAAAAGCACAATGAATGCAAAGATTTTGTTATTAAGTAATTGCACACAGATTCTATATTGTCCACCAATTGCAGAAGTGAACCACGTCAGAATGACTGAACCTTCACACCCAGTGTGAAGACTCAAGGGCCAGGTCCAAAAGTGCCAGCTTTTTCTGCTATCTCCAAGGCGCTTTTCAGATTCTGGTCGAAGAGCTCACATCTGAAAAAAAGAACACAATACAAATGAAATATTTCATTCATACATTAAACTTCATTGTCCGTTACTGGCCTTACTGAAAGTGAAGAGCTGGAGGCCTGCAACTCACATACCACAGGCAAGAAAATCACAAGGTACCTTATTGGCATCTCCAAGGAGTAGAAGGGATTCTTAAGCGCAAAGTCAGAGTATATCTCATACATCTTCCGAAGGAGTGCATCAATACCAGCTTGCCGTGGGTCAGCCAACACAATGAACTTAATACCTAGAAAAACAAGTTAACCAACCACTGTTAACTAGGAACTGCAACTAATTTGCAGGTTTCCCACCATACAAAAGTTTTTTTAATAATAAAAAAAAACCCTGAATACAATATTTACCTGTGAGCGTTTGAAAACAGTGCAGCTTAAATGTATCAGTCTCCAGCATTTCAATGCCAGAACTCCCAGATTCCGGTGATAACTGAGAACCAATCGCAAACAGTCTGGGGCGACGAAAAAGTTAACATTAACTTTTTTAATCTGCACAACGAGCAACAAAACACATGCTCATGTTTTATTTAGTACCAAGGCCTGTCCAAAATTTACATTATTAATTTAACTAATAAATTGGAATTCTTGCATATACTGTGATATTAAAGGTACATACGAATGAAACATTGATGCAAGCATAAGCTTTTCGTTAGAAGTCAGGCGAGCCCTGCCGAATCTTATGGAAACCGGATAGTTTGTGGCCTCCTTCAGGTATTCAATGATCTCCTTTCCCTCAGCTGTGTACTTTCCGTTTACGTCCACGCCATTGATAGACAAAACAGCATGGCCCACTGTACAAGACAAAAAAGATTGTGTCATTTTAATATGTGGCCTATATGCGCAAAAAAATGCTTTGGTAATGGGCTTGTATAAGTCACACCATAGAGAAGCATATCCGCTCCAAAACTCACCTCGAATGCCATCTCGCTGCCCAAATGATACAACCACTTTTTCGTCGTGGATCTTCAACACCAAATCCAGAGGAAAGCTAAACGTTTTCTCAACTTCTGCTCGGGGAACATAGTTATCATACTGGTAAATGAGCCCACCGGCTTTATTTACCACATATACACTAAATATCGCCATGTTTACCCAGAATGCGACACCCACCCAGCTGACCGACGCTGGGAGTTAAAATGGTCACATGACATGGGTAGGAAGGCGCTGAAGAATTAAGCAGCATTTAATAATCTACCAAGTAATACAAAATATATTACTTATAGTATACTGTTAGTTATAATATTGTATATATAACAATTGTCTTTTTGGATTTGAATGATGGGTTTCTTCCTGTCGCGTAAACTACATTTCCCATATATCCTTACGACGGAGGGCCCTCTAGTTGCCCGGATGTACGGGTTGTCTTGGGGCCACATGCAGGGGTTTAACTTCCTTTCTGTCCGACATCTTGAAGCTGCGGCAACATGGTGAGCTCTGCACATATGCATTTAGTGGAATAAAACTAAATTTGCTGGATAATTAAGTGATTAAATTCTCCCGCCTTGTTCCAAAAGTATTTATTTTTGTTTTCTGAATACCGCGAAAGCGTTTCATAAACGATGTTGGACTTTATGGAAGGCCACATGTTTCGGTTCATGTCAATGCACCGTTCACGTTGCCTGCCGTATGGTACTTGATTGTGTCACCAATAAACGATGTATTGTCTTTTTACTTCTTTGTAGTCCGTAAATACCTTTTAAAACTTGTTTTTTTTAGCTGTTGCTTTTTCATAGTTATTTGCGCATTGTAACTGCTGAGGATAAGTGAACTCTAGTTCTCGGATTCTGGGTTGTGAATAAGTGCACATTTATTTAAAAAATATTTTTTCTTTTTATTTCTTACATTTCGTGATTTTCTTACTTCCCAGTTATCCCTTTTCAGGCTTCTACCGTGAAACTTAGGTTGCGTGTGCTTCTTGGCTTATTATCATTCTCCACTAGGTGAATGTTAGTAATAGGCTTTCTTCTGTTACTGTAGCCTCCCAAAGACGATAAGAAAAAGAAAGACTCTGGAAAGGTCAAGAAGGACAAAGACCCAGTCAACAAGTCTGGAGGCAAAGCAAAGAAGAAGGTAGGTTGACAGTTAATGGTAGTTTGTTTTTGTTGTATGTCTTTAACCGATGAAACCCTTAATCGTCATGTATATGGGCTTTTTCCCAAGTAGAAGTGGTCCAAGGGGAAGGTGAGGGACAAGCTCAACAACCTGGTCCTCTTTGACAAGGCCACCTACGACAAGCTGTGCAAAGAAGTGCCCAACTACAAGCTCATCACGCCCGCTGTCGTTTCTGAAAGGCTAAAGATTCGGGGCTCTCTGGCTAGAGCCGCTCTTCAGGAGCTGCTTGGTAAAGGTAGGACTGAGATATAATTTATTGCTCTGCTTCTGTTTTCAAAGCCTTACTTAACTGTTCATCTCTGTCTGTCGTACTTAACCCCAAAAATGCATTGGATAGTACAGGAAGTGTTTGGTAATATATGTGAATGTGTATTGCTTGGTTCAAGACCATGTTCATATAACAGACCGGTTGGCTGTGTTGCTTATTCTTTGTTTGTTCAAATGTGCTTCAGTTTTAGTATTGATGCACTTGAAATTTTCACAGTGTGTCTCCAGCACAGTCCTGACCATTTTGTTTTCTTTATTAAGGCTTGATCAAGTTGGTGTCCAAGCACAGAGCGCAAATCATCTACACACGTAATACCAAGGGTGGCGATGAAGCTGTAGCTGAAAAGGAAGCATAAACAGGTGATTGTGTAATAACTAAATATTGGCCACTTGTTTGCCTCCTGCTTTTGATTACTGCTCTATTCCCAGTTGTTATCATTGTGTGGAAGGAATGCCAGTTATTCCTATATTCTTATTCCTAATGGTCTTAACTCTATCGTAGATGCATTCCAACTGGTAATAATAAATGTACTGATCCTGGCTGTTCTTTGTTTTTCAGGTCATCCTGATGAGATTCCTTTAGTCATAAGATGGGTTTGTAAAATGTAAAGCCAATAAACACAACTTTTGAAACTTGGCTGCTTGGTTTTGAAGTTTTGGATTGCTGTGATTCTGGTGTTAAGGGAAGAAAATGTTGAGTTCACACCTTGTAGAGCATCTATTCTATGAGTAACGCACATTAGCATAACAGCAGTAAGGTATCGTGGTAAATGCTATGCAATTCGAGGCCCGAGCGCTGCAGATATTCCGGCCTGCCTTCACCTGTGAGCTTCTGTGTGAAGCCTCTGGCCAGTCAGAATCAGTAATTATTTAACTGTTTGGGAGAACTTATGCTGCGTTCCATTTGAAGTCGTAACTTACAAATTCCAAGTTCTTAGTTGGAAATTTCAACTGGAAGGCCCCCTCAGGTCGGAATTATGACTCCTGAACTTGGAGGATCGACACAACCCCAAGCTCAGAATCCAAGATGGCTTTGGCCTTTATAAACAAGTTACAGCTGTAGTATTATACTCTGTATTAGCATGTATGTTTTATTTGTGGCTCATTAAATTGGCTGTACACACAGTACTGTCCAACTTCTGTCTGTGGACGTGTTGCTATGGAGTTTTATATGCCAGACGCCACGTAATGTCATCAACTGATACTGCTAGCAATTAACTGGTCTACAACTGGATTTCTTGCAGTCGGATTCAAGGTGGTCCGCACCAAATGTAAGCGAACGAAGATAAAACTCATTTAAACTGAGGTACCTTAAATCCGACAAGTTGTCCGGCTAAGCAAGAAATCTTGCTTTTTGAAACTGATCCCCCGGTACTGCTAAATGGCTTTCCGACTTGCTGTACTGAAACGCTGTTAATTCATGTGATGTCATTCAGAGTTCTGACCTCCAAGGCAAATGGAGCATAAAAACACAGCCTGGGTTTGGAATCGAGATCCAGAATTGAGTAGCCAGGCTGTAAGTTGTGTACTCTGGGAACGCTGCCTAGTATAAATACTAGTCTGTATGGCATATGCTCTCAACTTCTTCGACACTCTGACTGGTGGAAGTATTACTCTTAATTATTTCTGCTGACACACAGGTTCAAAACACATATCTTCTTAGTTCCTTGTCCCCCATAGAAATTTACCATCTATCATTGTCAGGTGTTTTAGGCATTTTCCCTCTCAAATATTAATGTGTGCTAAATTTTACTTTTTGTTTTGAACATAAAACCTGAAAAAAGCTGTTGGCTGTTTTCACACATTTGTTTCACAACTTAGTGCTTGCATGTAACTAATCGCCTCCATACAGCAGAGAGACACTGGCATGTCTTAAGTGACACAGCATGTCATATATGTAATGGGTCATGTTTAGAATTTAATGTTCTTGCTCAGTAAGTGTGTGTTAAACATTAAATGCATGACCTACCTATATAAAATAGTGAATTAGAGTAAATCTAGCCGGTTTTGTAATTTTACAACATCTTCTAGAACAAGTAGTTGCATGAGGGTGAATGTTAATTTAGCTTTGAGAGACATTTAATAGAAGATTTTAAAATTTATTTACACTTAAGGCAGTGTTTCTCCAGATCATCTAGAACCAGGGCTGGAATAACACCTATTATTTAAACCTGTCCTTTAAATGTTTGGGTTGACTGAACACATGGGTTAGAAAACCCAGATTTAAGAGTGGCTTTGTTTAATCCTCTAGAACACAAAGGTCTCAAACTCACTTCCTTGAGTCTGTGTGGATGCAGTCTTTTGCTCCAACCTTCCACTTTGATGAATTAGCTTGGTACTTTTTTTGACGTGCTTTTAAATGTTGCGGCCTGAGCCTCAAGATTACTGTTGCTTTCCAGTGTCTTCAGGAAATGTATGTAAATTATTTTTTTTTAACCGTCATTTGTCTCAACTGTATGGATATATGGGATGACTGTAGGTTAATGGGGTAGAAAAAGCCCCAGAAAAACACAGTGAATGAGTCTGCATTTCAGATCCTTTCTTTAGTGATGGATCACTATAGCCTCAAGGCTGTAAGTTGTGCTGAAGATTTTCTAAGTGCAAATCTCTTCTAATGTGTTCTTAACATGAAACTGCTATAGGAGGCTTATCAGGAGGTTTTCCAGTGGACTTTGATCATTTACGTCCAAGGAAGACAAATTCATCTCTTCCTGAACGATATTGCAACTTTGGGAGGAAATTCAGCAAAGATCCACAAGAATGAATTAGTGTTTACACTTCCTCAGGATGAATGGCGATGTAGGAAATTAACATGTATTTTATCTACTACATGCTTTTATTTAAAGCAACACAAGTGAAGCAAAAGCATACAATGAATATAAAGCTTTTAAGGAATGAGCCAGCCGTAAGTGCAGCGGGGCTGAACTTCTGATGAATGGCCAATTGCGCGCGTAAGCAGTTGTAGAAAGAGCGATGCAAAGATTGGGGACCTTAAGTAATCTCGGTTTATCTAGTTAACTGGAGATTATCCTTAGGGAGCATCACCTGTAATCGGTAATATTTTACCAATACTTAATACAAAAAGAACACAAGTCAGAAGCTACCTTGGGGTGTCCTCATAAAATGGAAGCTGCCTTGATTATGATTACATTATTATATGAATAAATGTGCAGATCTGTTCCACTTAAAGTATGTCTTTCATTTGCATAATAGATGGATGTCTATGATTTTCTTTTTTACTTTTGATGAACTGAATTTGTTGTAAAATGAGGTCCAGAAATCCCTGAGTATTATGCCTCTCTACTGATGCAGAGTATAGAAAATACACTGCAAATAGCTCAGATTAAATATTAAAACCGATATTGGGCTTTTTCAGAAGACGCAGTCACGCTGGGGTTCTTGGGCATTTCTTTAGTCTATGGTGAAACACATGTTTTGAAATTCTGGTGGCATGCTTTAGAGGTAGTGCAAATCCTCGAAGACCCTCTCATAGCATCCCTTTAAGGCTCCTTAGGTGTGTTGTATTCAGTTGGATCCAGTGCATTGATTTATAATGAAGTCCGAGAAGTCATTGCAGTATTTGAGTTGAAATCGTGGGGCATGAAACACCGGGTGCCATCCTGGCGGTCGGCCCGCATTTACACGAGGCGCAGTTCAGTGAAAATATTCAAATGCTATAGTTCCCTGCACCACTAGAGGACAGTAGTTGTTGAAGGACGCCTTAAGCGTGAAGACTTGCCATAACATACGTATTGACAATCTGTTTTGTAATTAGACGGCGACTATTCACATATCATACATATTAAACATAGATAAAACTGGAATTAAGTATCGCATATGTTATTTATGTAACTCAAAGCTGGTTCTTCCTCTTAGCATGTTCGAGGTAAACCTTAACCCTGTCATGGACAAACTACATCATATGTGCAAAGGACTTTATAAAAAGTCACACCATTATATTTTTACGAGGTGGATTAAGATCCACATTGCATGGACATAATTTTCAACTTATGCATATTTGATGCGGACACCCGCATGATTTCTGCAATGGATTACACATTTGCTGGAAAAGTGTTCTTTACTCAATTGTGTAATAATTTATTGGGCCTATTTTATTAAATAATAAAATGTTAAGCTTTTTTCCCCTTGAATGATGATCCTCATCTGGAAAATGAATTAAGTTATTCAAAGTAAGTATATTCTAAAGAATAATTAAAAAAAAAACATTAGCCAAATATAATAAACTGCATAGGCAGATTATGTGGTATTATGATCTCCGTATGTCACATTCAAGCCCATAAAACAGCACAGACAAACGTCTCGCGAATTCGGACTTCATATGCGTGCGCTGATACCAAGGGGGACAAAGGCCAGCAATGACAGCATAACTTTGTTTTCCCTGCTTATGAGAAGCATTTTGGCAGGAGGATGAGGGACGGTGCTGTTGATCGATGCTGTCAGCTGCTACTTTTGTCACTGCACAGCGTTACCTTGCGCAGAGGATTAAGAAGCAGCCGGCGGATTCGCACTTTGACAGATGCGTAGCCGTTTTCCGCTCAGTTCACCTGGCATTGTGCCTCATTACAGACGACTGTTCTTCGGTATCTCGGCAAAAAGAAAAGTCGACATTTTGCCATTTTAATCGTCTTTTTGTGAATATATGGCTACATTATTGGTAGTTCCAGCAGAAATTTCAAGTGCTTTCAACTAAAATAGATCGATCTGCTTTACTAATTAGTCATTTGGTATATAAATAGCGGTCGTTTTGTAGTAGGCATAGTGTATTTAACAGGAGACATTCCATTGAGTAAGGCAGACCAGTTTAGCTGGCGGAAAATTCATCTGAAACCAATTTACAAGATCTGCTGGTCTCAACGGGATTTTCCACGAGAGAATCGACAGTATGTGAACTCCAAATGCGTGCACGCGCATCGAAGCGCTCGCTCATTCAACTTTCCGTAATAGTAAACTTGTGAAATGCTTCTGTCTCTGGGATGTCCTGAAGATGCATATTAGCTGACATTAATGTTAACAGTATAGCTATTGAATTTAAGTCATTCTGCATTGTGTTGGACGCCTCTTAATCATCTTCAGTGTTTTTCGGATATCTTTCTTTGTATTGATGATAATACTGTTATACAGTGTTGATATTCTATTATTTATTGCCTTATTGCAGAAGAGATACTCTGAGAAGCCTCGCTAGCGCCGCTTTTTGAATTTAATCAGTCCCAAAACACAGTGTCTGTAAGAACAGCAATATTTCCAGATTTTTTTTGTAAATACAAGATTTATAGAAATATGACAATATACTGGATGTTGTGCGTGTGTTAACGCAATATGTTTTTCTTTACGAAAAAGAAAAAAACGTAAAAGACAAGGTCAGCCGCTATTCACTCGTATTATAGCAATTACGGTACCTTCATTCCCCTGCCATAAAGCCTTATCCAGTGCGTTTCTGCTAAAGTCATTAGTTATGTCCGCTCTAGTTTCAAGCAAGAGAAGTGTTTCGGTTTAAACAGAAATGTTATGTTAGCTAACACAGGGAAATGATCGAGTCCACATCCGATGGGGTAAAACAAATAACCAGTGACGATTTTTCCTTTTTTAAACCGATGATTAAGACTCCTAGGAATTCATATATTGGAGTACCATTCAAGCGTTTTGTTTCCTTTTTTTGGGAAACTGTTTCCAGTCTTTTTCCTGTAACTTTAATACCGGAAAATCGTTTGGTTCTTGATTAAAAGAACTAATAGAACAAACAACTGCAATTTACGGAAGTATTAGTCTTACAGTCCGAATGGTCAGGTAAGATCGGGTCATGCTTTTAATTAAACTGTCAAAAGTGTTACTTGAATAGTCCACCAAGAATGCAGATTTTCTCGGAATACGTCGGCTTGTTTAACAAGTAATTGAAGTTTTCCAGTCCCCATTGCAGTGTGTAGGACCATGTAATAAAATAAAAAGAATGGAACAAAAGATAATCCCGTTGTAGGCGTACTTAATGACTGTTTTGTTTGTGTATATAGAAGGCTTGTTCTTTAAAGATGCCAGGACAAACACTGCGCCATGGTTTGTACATTAAGATTAATGTAATTTGTCATTTATAATAATTCGGTAGTGAATATTTCATTAGTAATATTACATAATGTTAAGTATTAGTTATGAAAATAGTTCTAACAAAAGGAAATCACACCTTTTAACCAACCATCTGTGAACATTTATCTCAGGAAAAAGATTTTTTTTTCTTCTTGAGCGCTGTGTACCCTCTACCGATGACAAAATACTGGGCTGACGATATTGTTAATTGTTTGTATAGGTTCGAGGTAAAGGGTGTAATACAAAGGTGGGGATTCGTCACTGACTGGCGACTCGACTGGGACTCAAAGTCACAAATTTGATGACTCGACTCAGCAAAACTAATGGAAAGACTTGGACTCGACTTGGACCCCATGACTCGAGAAGCCTTGAGGTTATAGTCTCCCCTCTGGATACCATACCGTTAATTTTATAATTTCGGTCTACATTAATTCTCTGCTCTCTGCATTTCCATTTGACTGAATGAAAGGTCTCCTGAGATAGTTTGTTGGAAAGATGCATCACTCTGTGCATACACACAGACATAAAAACTGTGTGAGGGCATGGTGAATGAGAGTCAGGGTTAGAAGAATAATTGTATTGTGTTTTTTTGTTTTTGAGTAAACATAAGTTGCAAATATGTCAGTGTATTAAAAGGCAATGTTACCCTGTTTCCTCCTACTTTTTAGCTTTAGAAAGTGCACTGTATATATCATAGTGTCCATGCCTATACAAAAAGAAAATATAAAATAAAAATCAAAACAGAGAACAGGAAATTATAGGGGAACCTTTACAGACTTGTCCTATGCTTCAGCTAAAAGAAATGGGTGTATTTTTTAATTTGTTGGACTGCATTTATGAAGATAGAATTTCCTTGCAATTTTTTTGATGCCAGCAACCCCAAATACAATGTCAGCTGCACAATCACTCTAGGAATGTTCCTCCAAAGCAAGTGGCCTTTGATTATGTTCAAAGGAATATTAGAAGTTCTGGATCAGTTGCCATGGTGTTCCTTCTGCTCCTTGGTCAGTCATGCGTCCTCGTAATTATGTTTGCCTCCCCTCCAACCCCTTCAGGATCAGTCTGGTCACGGCAGGTTCTGTTAAATGTTGTGCAGTCTATGGACGTTTCATGCTGCGAAGAACATGATGTGTTTACCTCAGGGGATGCTATTGTGTTGTTGTGATTTGCCAACACTGGAAAATTGGATGCGAAGGTGGAGCAGACTGGTGGACCTGCCCCTTCATGGAGGGCTTGCGTTCCATACAGACGGCACAAATCTGGCTGTTTATGACACGCCCGCATTTACTGACGTTAATTTGGTCACCGTTTTTCTGTTTTTAGAGTCCTTAAAAATAGCTTTTGCCGTCTCACTACTTGCTTATTTGGAGCTCTCCCATTTTTGTGTCGGTAAAACCATAGAGTATGAAGGCATGAAGTAATGGACTGCAGTGCTTCTGAAGTCAAGGCAGTAAGCCTCAAATTAGAAGAGACTTAATGCTTCAGGAATGACTCCATGCTGCTGTGACTCACTTTCAAAATGGGGCTGTGTATTATGTTATTTATAAATTGTGGTGCTGGAAACTTTCTACTACGGGCGACTTTACAAGTCTCTAAGTAAAGGTTCTGTTTGTACTGTCATAGATGGCGTCTATCTTTCTGGATATATAATGGGAGAGGAGACAGAGGACCTACATAAGCGTGGACTGGAAGTAGAGTGGGGGGGGGGGCTTCTTCCAGTGATTTGCTCAGCCCTGTGCAGGGCTAGATTTATGGCACACAGCTGTTGAACGCCTGACAGACGTCTGAGGACTCGAGTGCGGCCACACGGAAGCTAGCTTTGCCATTGCAGAAGAAGCAGTACTCGGCCAACAAGCAAGGGTAGGCAAGCCAGACTCCGAAAATGCTGACTTGATGCTGCTTTTCAGGCAGTCGGGGTGGCAGATTATAACTCTCGTGCCTTTACTTTGCCGTCAGAGTGCACTTATTTCAAGCCCTTACACTGCGCTGAATGACATTTGACCTGAGTTTTGAATTTAGATTTAGTTTTCTTTTACAATTTTTAAATTTTATTTTCTATTCATTGGTATAATAAGGCATGTAAACAAAATAAGAAATTAAATTATTAGTACTTGGTTTGAATTCATTATTAAATTTCTATGAAATTAAAAAGACTAGAGAATTATGAATTTCTAATGAGATATTGTAGGGACAATACCTCTACATCTGGTAAAATCAAGAATTTTATTGATCGTTTTTGGTTGCCCTTTGGTACAGATTAAAGTGAGTAAGGAATACCAAGCACTATATTTAGGGGGGAGGGGGCATGACAGCAGGGTGAGATTGTGAACAGTGGACTTCAGTGTAGGGGAGTGTGGTGCAGCCATTGGTTCACTGTCCCGACGACCAGCATTTATGTTTTCGAAATGAGGTAATGTTAGGATGCAAAGAGCTGCTCTGACCATGCGGTTTCACTATGGGGCTTCACAAGTCTTTTTATTTAATTTCGGTAAAAGCAGCAACTTGAAACAACAGTGGTGTTGATGATTCTTCCTTCTGACACATATTGAGTTGAGATAAAAAAAATCCATTGAGGTTACCTGAGTTACCTGATTCTGGAGGGGCATCGCAGTGGTAAAACCAAATTTATTGTGATTAGATGTCATAAATAACATCTCAATAAGCACAGAGGCTGGTTTTACCGTGTAGGACACCTAATGAGCATTTAACTTCGTAAAATAAATTAGAAACGGATTCCTCCCCAGGCTTTAAAATCCAATGGCGAGGCTGTTTGAAGAATGTTTATTTGGGTTACTATAGTACATTTGGTTTGTGGCCTGGCTGGAGGGCAGCAACTGGAGCTGTGGATTTTACGGAAATTCGGACTCAAGCTGGTCAAACCCACGTTGATCTGTTGCTATGTACCCGACAATTCCCTGATGCCGTCAGTGCAAGGGGGTGATAGATTGCTGAACAAGCTTGGCTTCTGTGTTGACTACGAAGTGTGAGATTGTGGTAACTTTCATTTATGTGTTTAATAAATATAAATGAATGCTGTAAATGAAATACAGTAATGCTGTTACTAGATCTTACAAAATGGGAATGGTCCCATTTAGGGGAGGAAAAAAACGTATCGATAGCCTGTAAAAAAATCTATCCTGTGACACCTAGAGGTTTGTTCATTAATCTATCTTATAACACACACACACACACACACACATTTTTTTCTATGGGCATAAGTCTAACCTTTACCCATCCCTAACATTAACCATAAGTAACCAAACAAAATGGACAACTTTTGGCATTTTTAGTTTTTTAATTGCAGTCACAGATTTTTTTGTAAAATTGAGATTGTCCTTGTGGGGACCTGAAAAATGAAATCTGGTCCCCACAATGTAATAATTACAAACACGTGCACACACACACACACACAAAATCATGCACTATGGGGAATTTAGAGAGCCCAGTTATGAGTTGAATGAGTGAATGAATCAAAGAAAGTTACATTTATATAGCGCTTTTTCAAACACCCAAAAAGCTTTTACAGAACCAGTGGGGAGCCACTTCAACCACCACTACTATATAGCCCCCACCTGGATGATGCGACAGCAGCCATTCTGCACCAGTACGCTCACCATACAGTAGCTAAAGTGGTGAAGGGGCAGGACAGAATTCACCAGTTAGATATAGGGGATGATTAGGAGGCCAGATTTAATAGTGCCACAGTGGGCAATTTTAGCCAGAATATCGGGGTATGGCCCCCCCAACTCAATTTGGAGTACAGGATGACCCCAGAGAACCTGGAGGGGTACAGTGCAAAACTGGGGGGGGGGGGGGGATGTACAATCTGCCCACATTTGAACCCTCAACCTTGGGGGTGTGAGGCAACAGTGCTGCCCCCTAGATGTTTGTGCACTCATTAAAAAATTCTGATGATAAAGGATTAGAGAATATTTCTCTCTGGGTTTTTGCAAAGCTGCAGTTGATTTCTTAGGTTTATGTGAAGCGTTTTGTCTGCAACACAGTTAAGGCATCTCAAAGTCTACCAGGGTGTTTTTATTTTAACCTTATGCATGTATCTTAATCTAAATTTTTGACACTGTTTTAATAATGATTTTATATTGGTGTGATATAGACTAAATTGCCAGCCTAGCCCTTCAAGGTGGTCCTTATTGTGCCCTCGCGATGTCCACTCACACTAGCGTTTTGGGCTAATGTGTTTTGTGTTATAAAATAGGGGCCATTCATCATTCCTGGGCTGCAGAGCCCGTGTGTCACGGAGCGTGAAAGGGTGGCTCTGGCTCGCTGGAGATACTCAGTATCAATTACTCCAACATATTTGATTCTTGTGTTTGGCTGCACCATTTGAAAATGAGATGTCCGTTTCAGGCAAAGATGAGAATCCTGTGATTCTGATTGGTGTTTGTCTTATGATGCATACAAACTTTCAGTGTAATAATTTAAAAACTCCCTGTTTTCCTTTGGAGAAATATAAGAGTATAGAACAGTGCCAGGTTTATTTGTATGTAATGCACATCCTAGATATTTCCAAGCAAGACATTCTGTAGCCTAAGGGCCAGCAGGGAGGAAGCAGGATTTTAAAGCAAGTTGTACAAACCCAAAAGCAAAATCTTTTTTTGACTTTGTAACCATTGTGGTTCCATGCAATCCAGAAACTTGTAAATTAATAAGCTAATTCATGCCTGAGAATTCAAGGGCTGATTTCTAGATACAGCAAAAAAAAGCCTGAGCTTCTGTGCATTGGCACATTGCACAACATGCACCATGCATAGCAAAGAATTCAGTAATATCATTATTTGCATCATTTATTTGGAGAAGAGAAACAGCCCTAGTGTTGTTTTAGGAAACACTGCAGGTTTTCCAGTTGTTATTGAGCTGGGTAAAGGCATTTTATGAAACCCATGTCATTTCCTTCTTGACTAATTAGAATAACATTAAGTGAACTCAACAGGAGGCCCAGAAGAACCAGCCATAAATTACAGCTTTCAGAAAACTGCAGCGCTCATTAGAAGTTCTTTTGTCGCTCTGTCAAGTGTAGTTTCTGTGCTGTGTTCAGAGTGGGAATCAGATTTTATGTATTTTTTATTTTGAGTAGCAATCGTTTAATGAAAACCCAATTTATTACTGAAATCCTAACAGGACGAGATGTTCTGAGAGTAGATAGTTTTTGAGAAAGTGGGGTTCTTAGTCAATTGTATAGAGGGAGTCCTTTAAATGAGGAGGAACTGTCCCGACAGCAAAACAGCTATTTATGGTTTTGGAAATGTCATTACAATGTCATTTCAATTTCGTTTAATATAATTTAATTTCATATCATTTGGTAATATCTTTATAAGCCACCTGTTTGTAAGAATATCAAGCGAGTTACAGAAGTCATATGTCAACCACCGTCCCTGACATCTGCTACCATGGTATGATATTGAAATTTATGACATTTTAGTGCATTTTGGGTAAATCTGTATCCAGCCTGTGGTGCTGGATCATAATTCTGATGTTGCAAATCCTTTTGATGAAACTCCCATTTTTAGGTGATCTGACAAGATCTTTGAGAGTCTGATGATTTGGTCAGTAGTACTGAACATGATCATGAAACCACCATATTTCCGATTCCGTTGCATGATAAATGATAATTATTCTTTATACACAACCTTGTCCCTAAGGTAGCTAAGTTTCTTCCCTAAACTAGCCAGTGACTGATATTAGCTAAAAGTCATGTGTTGCGCCTGATTCTGTGGCTCTGCTAGCTTATTATACTTAATTATATGGCTTCTGTATGGTCTGGCTGTTGGAGTTTTGTCTTTAATCGGAGGTGTTAGAAACCAGACTTTTCACTACAATATGAAGAACCTCAAGTGTGTGTGTGTGTGTGTGTGGTCATGTATGTATGGTATTACATGTCCCCACACTGTGATGGAAACCTGTTATTTTGACCATGTGCGGACATTTATTCAGTTCCCACAATGGGAAAATCAATTACATAAAAATCTAAAAACTAAGAATGCCAAAAGTCTTGTTATTGTTATCGTTAAGGGTAGAGCTGGGTAGGCGTTAACATGGTCATTGTTAGGATTAGGGTTATGTCCAAGGAAATGAATGGAGAGTCCCCACAAAGATATAGATACCTAATTGTGTGTGTGTGTGTGTGTGTGTGTGTGTGTGATTATTACATTGTGGGGACCAGATTTCCCCACAACGTGATAAAAACCTGTTACTTTTTACCTTGTGGGGACAACCTCAATTTTATAAAAAAAATCTGTGACTGCAATCAAAAAACTGTACTCATCTCCTAATCATCCCCTGTGTGTTTGCAATTATCACTGTAGCTGTTCTTGAGGCCAATAGCTTATTGTTTGTTACGAGACCACATTTAAAAAATACTGCTGTGGAGTGTATCTTTGTAACATCCACGATGACCATTAAAGATATTTGGTCTTATAATTAAAAAAAATAGAAACAGAGGTAATATGAATATTGTTAGGGGACTTCAGCATGAAAATGACCTTTACTGTTTTTGTGGTGGTATAATTTTGTAAATCATAATGTAGGCATGATATGTTCGGTGGCTTTTGGAGATGGCATTTGAGATATATGTTCAATTCAGTTAAATTTTATTTATATGGCGCATTTTCACAACATTACATTGTTTCAAAGTGCCTTACACTTCCTGGATTGAATAATCCTGTAGAGGACATACCATGTTTGTCTGACAGCTCACTGGAGAGCTCTCTAAAGGTGAATAATGTGCTTGTGGTTGGGATGGATGTCCCACTGACTAGGAGGATAGATATTAATTGGTTCCTAATTGAGGCGATACACTGCCCAAATAATCTCTTCAAATAAAGCAATTAAGGGCTCAGTTTGGGAGAGGACCAGGGTGCACTGTTGCTCATTGTGCCGTAGATCTTTGCTGTGGCGTCCTGCCAGCTGTCAGAGAAAAGGTATCAGATGCACTTTGGTTTCCATGGTGACTATACAACATGGGGATGGAAGAGAAGTTTTTTTTTCTTAGGGCTGCAAAAAAAGTATTTTTTCTGGGGAGGAAATTCGTTAAGGCAACAAAGCAATTAAAACGGACTGGCGTGTCAGGGGTAAAAGAGGTCAACAGCACATTAACTCTCGGGACAACCAATGAGTTTGTGGTCAAGGATATTGGGGAAGGGAGAGAAAAACAAACTCCTTCCTGGGACAGCTTTAGGCCCCAAGCCAATACAGATGCTATGCTATGACACTGTTGAATTCTCCAATCTGATTGGTCAGAAGGGTATTAATCGATTTTCTATAGTGGGAGCCAGGCAAATCACAGTATAAAATTGATAGGCAAATAAAACCTTATATTTGAATCAATGTATATTTAATGTATATAGTGTACTGATTATGCTTTTGTTGTATTCTGTAGCAAGGTGCTTAATCAGAGTTTGGACAATACAAAGCCAGTTTGGGTCTAAGTGTAGCGTCTGCTTTTTTGATTTTGGTCAATGGGGGGTGTCGAAGTGAGTAAAAGATGCCTGTGTACTTGAGTGGATTCTCTGTGTTGGTTGAGCCAATTTTCAAAATGTATTAAATCCATCTAGGTGTCAACAACATCGAGGTGTCGCCTTATTGTATGTAGCTTCTGGAAATGAATCACATTTCAGACTAAGTTCTTCATCGCTTATTCTCTAATGCATTGTACACTGTGTACAACTGTGCACAAAAAAATCTGTGAGCATGTTATAATTTCAGCATTCAGTTTGAGTGATCATTTGTTCTACAAAAGCAGTATAAGGTATACTATTCATTTGTGAATGTGCTTGTGAAGCAGTTGCTTGGAAGAGGTGCTGCAGGCCGGGGCTCGAACCAGCAATATTCCAGGCACAGGAAGCCCACGGAGCTATTGATCACCCCTTAGAGTTTTTTTAATGACATGTCGCTGTACTTTTTAGGATAAAAGCATTGATTGAGCACACAAATAATATCTAGCGAGGGTTTAGCCTTTCTGACGTGCCGCCTTTTCCTGCACTGTAGATGGTCCGACAGGAGTACCTGTCCATGTCGCAGGGCGGCGCCGTCCCGAGTACCAGCTCCGACATCTACAAGATTGGCATCTACGGGTGGAGGAAGCGATGCCTCTATCTCTTCGTGCTGGTCTTACTGGCCGTCCTGGTTGTGAACCTGGCACTGGCCATCTGGATTCTCCGAGTCATGTGGTTCAACTCTGTACGCAAGTGTTCAAGGAGAAGCACCCCCCGGAGCTTACGGCATGCGTTTGCATGTACACAAATACACGCACACACGAACACACGCAACAAGCGAAGAAAGTAGGACAGGAGATGTAATGCTAAGCAAAAGGTTCCCCGTCGTACTTGGCTATTTTATCAAGATACTCAACTTGCCATATTTCATTAAAAAAAAAAATCAAACCATACAAAAGAAAAAAGGAGTCAATCTGTGAACTTCTTTTAAACAACAAATCACAACTGTAATTATCACTTTTTTGGATCATACTAACTGATGCTTAGAAACAACAGTGCATGTCTTGTTCTGTTTTTTACTCAGAATGACATCATTTGGTATTCGGACACGTAGGTTCTAGCATCTGGAATGCTCGATTGCAAAACGATACTTTTTAACAAATGATAATATGTACCGACTTCTCGCGGTGTTCTGTCTGAGCTGTCATTCCTAAAGAGGGCCGATTCTGGTCAATCTCAGCGGGGTTGGCTGCTTATCTTAGACACAGCTACTCGAAACGCTGCTGCTACCAGGCCAGGTCCGCCATCTCTAGTTACTATTTCTTCTGTCACAAAGCCCATGACAGGTATTTGGTCAGTCAAACCCAAATCTGCTGACCTGTGTCTCAGAACCACCCCAGTCTGTGGATTTCTTTAAATCAGTGTGTTGCTTTTGTGCAGTGTAACTCTCATAGTTGGGTTGCGATACAAGAAAGACTTAAAAATAATTTTAAAGATTTCATCATTTAGAATAAGACTAACAGGACTACAATCTTAATTAGGTAATATGTTTCATCCTCGCACTCTGCATGTGCAGCAAATTGGCCTCAGTAATCTGCACATTCATAATAAAATATAAGGAACACACTATCATTTGTTTGTTTGTTTGTTTGTATGTTTGTTTGTTTGTTTTGTATTTCCGACGCTCCTGGGCAGGAGCGCTCTGCCTGCAGGATAATTGAGGTGATTAGCCATTTCTCTTTACGCCATTTCTTTCCCCTCTTTACTGTTATTTTTAGGAAGGGATGGGGCTGTTACAAGTGACAGCAGATGGTGTGAGACTGGAGGGTGAATCTGAATTTCTGTTTCCACTCTATGCCCAGGAGATTCACTCAAGAGAGGTAAGCTATCTTCTTGGAGCTTTTGTCTCATTAACCTGCCAAAGGCTGCTTTTTAGCACATTAAAGCTTAATAAAAGTCTTCACCGATTCGGTTGAGCTCTCTGGGATCCATAACCAGTCGGGTTACAGGTGGACTGCACTGTTTCTTGAATTATACCTCATTCCCTGCAATCTCAGTGTAATTGCATTTCTGTGTGTGTGTGTGTGGATTTTTTTATTGCATGTCTAATAGGTTGGTTATTTTAATATGCTTCAGTTTAGCATCTAGGATATTATGCTAAGTAGCATTGACTTTGATCATCTCTGTTAAAATGCTGCAGGCAGTGTTTCCGTCTTCTGCTAGCTGGTACGGGGTAACCAATCAGCAGTCATTATTGTTTTGACCTTTGAGTGTTATGTGTTTTCTGCTTGTTTGAATTGCCTTTTTGTTTCCTGTATATTCAGTACTGTGCAAAAGGCTTAGGCAGGCAACTGAGGTTTAAATGATCTTCAGGTTGATGTGAAATGATGATATTATGTCTGTAAAAATGCGTTAGCTGGACCATTTGAAAACCTCTGCAAAAGTCACCCAGTACTTGCAGTGAACATCCTATACACCTATGTATTTTTTGACTGGACCAATTGCACGCCTCATATGACTAATTAATACCTCACAGAGTTTTAAAAATGAATTAAATAAATTAATTGAGCTGGTTGTGAAATGTCATGAGTACACAGAATGGCTGCAGTGCCCTTGTGTAGCCATCCATGTAGTTATCCATGTAGCCATCCATGTAGTTATCCATGTAGCTATCCATGTAGTTATCCATGTAGCTATCCATGTAGTTATCCATGTAGCTATCCATGTAGTTATCCATGTAGCTATCCATGTAGCTATCCATGTAGTTATCCAACAAGATATCAGTAACTTTTTGGCTGAACAGAAGAAATTTCTTTTCGCTTTTATTGGGTTACAATTAATTTGCATAAATAAGTTTTAATTTTCTGATTTAAATTTAATTCTTTGTTGGCCCAGTCTTTGTTGATTCAAATATTATGTAACCATGCAGTTTTTTTTCTCCAGAAGTCTCTTATTTATGTAATTCATCCTTTATTTTTATGTTGTCATGGCAAAATTATCAAGTGGTTAAAAAGCTACCACTCATAACTCGGGTCATTCCTCAAGTTCACCTGTCATATTTGTGCTTTAGTAGCTCATAATTTGTCTTCCTTTTAAAACTAAATGACACTATAATTTACTGTATCCAGTAATTTAAAATAAAGTCAGATAATACATACAGCTGTGAAATTTATGACCAATATTCTTGATTACAATGATTAAAGATCGGTCCACTTAATCCTGGTCTCACCATAAACTGTGTTTCATTATAATCTTATTGTAGAACAGGAAACTACCCCAGTATATGTGTCAATATCTGTGCCTCGTCAAGAAGACCGAATGTATTTACTGTTGCGAGCTCATGGTGGTTTGGATGGAACAGCTGACGGTTTCACCGGAAGTCCCGCCTTTATTATACTGACCAGTGCCAAGGATTCTCACGTAACGGTTACACAGACAGAGGGAGACGGCTACACAGACAGAGGGAGACGGCTACGTGCATAACACGCACATTTGGGGTGACTCATTAACGAAACACATGCACTTTGCAAATGGTCGATACGCAGCGCGACACATAAGCATAACATACGTACATAACGACAACATAAAATACGTGGAATACACAGGGACACACATTGTCACACACATTATAACACACTAACGGCCAGTAACCTGCTAATTAAACCCCAACTGTCCGTCCCCGCGGCATCACAAAATGACATGCTAATGAGATCATGATAAATGACAGCCATGCTCAGTAAAGATTTTGTCCCCTTTCCTTGTACTGTCTAGTTCAGTTTTTACATCTGTATTGTACCACAGAAAAACGATTTACTCTTGATTACAGCTGACTTGTAATTTATTCCGTCTTGTTTTCAGATTAATTCCACCACTCTTATACTTTGAATTTATGCATTACTTTTGAGTGTGGGATTCAGATCATTTTTTCTTTAGTGCCATTATGGATCTGAAAGCTTGCTAACCCTCCGTTAATATATTTAGTTGCCTTTGGCCTTATGTCAGCCTTGAAAAAATAGCATCTTCTGTCTATGCAACGGCAAAGGAGTTTTCCAGGGAAATGTCAGAGATCATTCCTAAGTTTCTTTGCATCAACAGGCCATTTTTCTTTCTTTTCCTTCAGATGAAATTCCTTATATCAATAAGTCTATCTATCCTAAGAAACGGCTGTGTTTCAGATTACGAGGTGGCTGCTTATCAGAAACATTCACCATAATCTGCTCCTCTTTTTAAATCCACATGAATACAGAGACTCGGCTGAAGGGCAGTGTTTTAAACATCACATTTCTTTTCCTCAATGCTCATCATCTGCAGGATTCGTCTCTTCTTCTGCACTCATCTCAGAATGTCACCCTCAATGTCCGTAATGACAACGGAGATGTGAGCGGCAGACTGACTGTAGGTGAGCAGGCTTTTACACTCTGGCCTTATGTTACCTTGTTTACTGCAGCTCTGTATTCTAACACTTTTAGAAAGATTTAAAAGGCTCTATCACAAAAGACCTGAACAGCATTCATCCGCATTTTATGTGGACTATCTGCCTTTCAAAGCAGACTCAGGTATGTTCAGAGACAACAGCGCCATGACAGTGCATGGGTACAAATTCTGAATGCACTGGCCAAACATCAGTCTACTAGCTAGTCAAAATATACAAATTATACTTTCTAGTATAACCGTACAAGCAAAAGCCAGCCTCAGTAATAGCAAAAATACCTCTAATATAAATTGATTTCCTTTTATTTAGCATAATTTCCAGTGAAATCATTTAGCTGAATTCCCTTTTGCCAAAAGTAACTTGCATTCATCACTTCAAAACCCAGAAGTCCATTGAAGCTGTTATTTTGTTCCTTTTAATCTGTGGACTATGGGTTTTGCAAAAAAAAAAAAAAGGAATGCAATTAGGGAGAGGACAGCTGGAAAAATATTATTTGATTATTTCATTTATTATGCATCCTTCATCATTGCACTATGTGGGATGTTAGATCTATTTATTTGGCCTGTCTTTGAATAAAGCTTAAAGGCATTAGTTGATAACTCCCCTTAACGAAAACAAAGATGGATCAGTTTCCCATGATGCTCAGCAGGATTTTTATTACTTTTAACAGAACAGTTTTAAAGGAGACCTATCATGCTCATTTTCACTGCTCATAATTTTGTTTTTGAATGCCTACTATGATAGATTTATACGCTTAGATGTTCCAAAACACATTATTTATCTTATACTGTACATCTCTATTCACACTCTGTCTGAAACGCTCTGTTAGAGATTTAAAGTCCCACCCCTGATGGATTTTAAGACTGATACAGTGGCACAACACATGCTTAACATCGAACTAACACACGACAAGCGGAACTTTAAGGCTTGAAACTGAGGAGCTATTTGAGGGCTTTCACTGGCTTCTTTCCATTTAGGGCCTGGAATGGTGAAGGTACAGGAGGAGAGCTTTGAGGTCACCTCGGACAAAGGCGACATGCTGTTCTCCGCTGATGGGAACAAGGTGGCTCTGGGGGTGGAGAAGTTGCGTGTCACGGGTATGTATCACGTTCATGTTTCTAAAGAAGTAACTTGCTAGAAAGTGGATTAGCTACATACTGACTTCACCGAGATGGTGAAACATTTAAATGATCACGTGGTGGTGGGGAGGATCCAGCAATAGAGATGTTTCGTTCAAAGAAATATGAATAAATACTCTACTAGTGCATTTTAACAAATAACGAGTAATAGAAATATTGTAGAAATGTACTCAAAGTGTTGTTTTAGTTTTTTCTAACTTTGGTTAAATAGTTGGTTTTCCTTTGTCCAAACCCTCCCCCAATGCAGCTTTTCTGGCTTGTTTGAGTCTAAATTAAAAGAGGAATAAAAAGTGGGCTGTTGTGCTTGTGGGCGGATGTGATGTTACATGACCTTGGTGTCTTGGTTTATCGTACCTGCATGGCCGCTGTCCGCTCAGTGTTTCTGGTGAACCCTGGCTAACGGAGGTAACTCAGTTTGTGTGCTGTTTGAATCTGCTTATGGGTGGTGGTCAGTGGCTATCCCACCTGTGCAGTGGGGCTTGGTGGGGGGGCATTCGAATGGACATGGCAGTGAGCTCCAGACAACATAGTTTATTGGCATTAAAAGCCAATAAACTATTTTCCTGATTTCAAAAATATTTCTGTTTAAATAGACCAAGCAAGAATAAGAATAAGAATCTTTATTGTCATTGTCACTTGACAACGAAATTGAGAATGTGCAGGCGACTCAATGTGAGGCATAAGAATGATTAAAGAATATATTACAAAATATACAAAATTGCACTAACTATACAATTGCACTGACTATACAAATTGCAATGGATACACAAATTGCACTTATGAAATATAAAAATTAACAGTTCTGTTTTGAGTTTAAGGCCATGATTGCTTTCGGATAAAAACTGTTTTTTACGCAGTTTGTCCTGATTTTCATTGTTCTGTATCAAATGCAAACAAATGCATGTGGGTACTTTGTCACCTCTTTCATTCTTATTGTTATACAATTGCTCTGTAGTTATGACTGAAAACAAACTGAGCCCTGGGTAAAAGCCGTACTGCTAGCTTTCCAATCCATTCCCACTTACACAACATCCCCAGCTGTTTCCACTTGGCAAAGCAGATGCATACACCTATTCCGACTGACTTTATTTCAACCTCGTACCGATAGTCATCTTCTGGCATATTTGAATGAGAATGGACAAACCCCAATACAAAAAAATTTCAATGCCAGTATTTGTTTCCACGATGTGTTAGCACATTAGCCTCCCAGATCCACCTGTGCTGCAGAAGCACTGATACCATTGTGGTTTAAATGCTTACAGGATGTTGAAGGGTGTTCATGTCTTTCAGGACCAGAAGGTGCTCTATTTCAGCATTCTGTAGAAACCCCACTGGTCAAAAGTGATCCCTTAAAAGACTTGAGGTAAGTACAAATTTTGCTGCATGGTGGAACCAACGCCTAATCTACCTTGCCTCAGCTGTTGGCACATTCATTCCCATCAGGTTTCCCATGTTTGTGGAGAGTTCTGCAAGCTCTTTGTAAGGTTCATGTTTACCTTCAAGCCATAATATAAAGTTATATTATTAGATATTCAAACAGCAGGCTGCAGGTTGCACAGCGGACCCCATGAGAATGTGTGCTGTGCTAACCAGCTTTAGGAACTGTGTAGAGTCTAGGTAGCCTGAAGCTAAATTAAGTGATTCTATGTTTAGACCAATCTTCCAAACAGAAGGGGTTAGGTTCACCATCATGCCTAAGATGGTTTCCCTTATAGCTCAGACTCAAGTCTCCATCATGGCATGTATGGGTAACTAGCCCAAGTATTGATGCTGGTTTGCTTAATAATCACATGACAAAACATGGGCATTGGTCACTCAAGGATAGAACTTGTAGTTATACAGTCCTAGTCAATAGTCTGGACACACCACTGAAAATCTACTGTCAGTCCCCAACCTGACCCCATATAGAGCTGGTTTGGGATGTTTGATCACGAGCAAGGCAACTAACTTGTGCCCAGAACTTGTGGAAACTCCTTCAACACTGTTGGAGAAGCATTCCGGATGGCTACATCTGGAAGCTGGTTGAAAGAATACCAAGAGTCTGCAAAGCTGTTATCGAAGCAAAAAGAGGCATTCTGAAGTAGCTAAAATTTGAGAACATTGTGAAATGTTGAAAGTGTCTTTTAGTCGATGCAATATTTGTATAACTTCATCACCTTGAAGCCTTTTACTATAAGGTGAATAACAAAATAAACAAATTAATTAAAAGCAGGTAGGTCCAGACTTTTGTCTGATACTGTTCATGTAGATTTTATAGGGCCTCATCCATTTTTCAGCTCATTTATTTCATAAAGCATTTAGCTTTCATAAATGTTTTTAATAAATAGAAAACATTTTTTGTATCCTGCCGTTTTTTTTCACCTGTATATATTTTTCAGTTGAGCATTAAAAACGTAGCTAGTTGCTGCCACCTGGTGGCTGGTTCTTAAAACAATATGGCAAATCACCAGCACTTCCCTTGAAACCCTGCCCCTCCAGATGCCTCATCAGTTGGTTTGGCGCTTTTGGTACCGGAACTTTTGGTACTGGTATTCGAATGGAAGTCAATGGAAAAGCGAAAGCACCAAAAGTACGAAACTTGGTGCAGTGGAAAAGCACCTATTGACTGAGACCCTCTGTTTCTGACTACAGGCTGGAGTCGCCCACCAGGTCTTTAAGGATGGATGCTCCCAAAGGTGTCCACATCAAAGCAGCAGGGGGCAACACTGAAGCTGCATCCAACCTTGACATTATCCTGCACACAAGTGAAGGAATGGTGGGATAAATGCTCACTGGTCCTTTCCGATTCACCACTGCACAGAAAAGAGCTCATAAAACCTTAAATTTGCAGTTATTGATTTACAGTTTTTAAGGAAATCGTCTCGAGCATGTCGTCATATTATTAAATATTAAAAATAATAATAATAATTAAATTTTGTAACTTAAAAATGTTCCATATTTTCCTGCTTCATCTGAAGCAAGCTTCATCTGAAGCAAGCTTCATCTGAAGCAAGCTTCATCATGCATGCTGTCACTATGGATTTTAATACACAGAACCTTTTGACGCACAAACGCTTGTGCTGACACAATTTCGCTTTCTCCCCGCAGCTGATCCTCGATGCAGAAACAGTACGGCTGCCCAAGCTGCCCAAGGGCGTTGGAGGTTTGCCAAGGGTTACCAACACAGTTTATGAGGTGTGCGTCTGCCCCAGCGGCAAACTGTATTTCACCTGGGCTGCTTTAACCTCAACGTGCTATGACAGGCAGGACTGCTAGAGGCCCTCCAGGCCTGCAGGTGGCGTATGCTATTTGGAAGGATTCTTACCTTGTCTGTTTAATCAGTATTACATTATTTAATTGCATTGCAGATTTTTTTCTTGCAGCTGATACTGTATGTACACTATACCCATTTATTACACTGTAGATAATTAGAATGGATGCATATATTATGTTAAATCAGAGAAATCAAAACTGGCACACTTACTCGTTCTTGAGAAAAAGTCCTAGTTCTAGTGTGACTCCACTGGTAACATGACATTTGTCAGATATGGAGAATGAACTGGAAAAAATATAATTCACACAATTTTTTTCCACAAATGAGTGTGACACTTTTATAAAACTGTTTATGTGGTTTACTTTGTTGTTTTTTGTATATAATTTATGAGAGCTGGGCAATGAAGGGCTGGTAACAGCTTGCATTCTATGCAATGTTTTTAAAGAGTAATAATGCAAGTATCTCCTGGCCTTTCATTTCAAGTTTAATCTGCAAATATACTCAAGTCGTGTGTATGTAGGTGTTCTGGCTAAGAACAGAATATACTGCCACAGGGAAGGTTTGTCACTGTAGATTCAGAATAATATTTCAGATTTGTAAAGTGAAAATGTTTGGATTTTTGGTGGGCTGAATGAATAAAACCTGCTTTAACTATGAAATTGTTTGGTAGTAGGTATGCATATGGCTGCTCATCTCACCTGTGCTGCTGCTACCGTCAAACACGTTTCTGTATTCCTAGTCAGTCCAACACGTTTCTGTATTCCTAGTCAGTCCAACACGTTTCTGTATTCCTAGTCAGTCAGTTGTCATCTGTATTTTCTCAGGTACTTGTGAGTTAAACTGGTGGTTCAATATGTGTCTACACTTTGCTATTTACTAAACGCATATAAAGAAAAATCTTAAAATAATTTTTAATAAATCCATGTGGTGTTGTTTATAATCCTAAGTGGATAATGTTTTGAAATTGAAATATAGCTATACAGTTGTATACATAGACATTGCATGCTCCGAGGATCTAGATTTGCAATTTTATGTTTTACGCCAAGAATGTTTGGTATTTACTTATTAGCAGTTATTACTGCTTCAGCTGCATTTATATTAATGGGGTGGCACAGTGGTTAGCACTGTTGCTCACACCTCTGGGACCTGGGTTCGAGTCTCTGCCATGGTTCCATGTGTGTGGAGTTAGCATGTTCTCCCTGTGTTGTCATGGGGTTTCCTCTGGTTACTCTGGTCCCCCCCCAGTCTAAAAACATGCTGGGGTTAAGTGGAGTTGCTAAATTGCCCATTGGTGTGTGTGAATGTGCCCCTGTGATAGATCAGTGACTCATCCTAGCCAACCCCCCATGACCCTGAATAGGGTAAGTATTTCCAGAAGATGTATGGTGATATTAACAAAGGACGTTGATTACTGACTGTTTTGTCATGTGTTTTAAGTTTATGAAACTTTATTGATCCCATGGGAAAGTCTTTGTTTACTTACTTCATTTGGCTCCCCATGACACAATGATAGGTGAGAGCAAGTTGGGCAGAAACAGGCAGCCGCCTGCAGTGGCACGCATGGGGGTGGGGATTAAGGGCCTTCCTCAAGGACCCACAGATGCAACTATTCTGCCAAGGCTGGGCTTGAACCAGCAACCTTCTGATGACAGGCACAGAGGCTTAGCCCACTGAGCCACACACAACCTTTCAGCTAAACACCTCTCTACATGCTATAAAGTATTCCTGATTCAATAGCTAATCTATTTCCACTACCTATTTCTATATTCAGCCTACTGAATTATATTTCACAGTAATTAAACTGCGAAGAGTGACTAATATTTTTGTCAAACATTACCAAGCATTAAAGGGGGTTCTGACGACTACAGCACTATGTACATCAGCAGGAAAACCCATTGCTGAGAGGAAAGGCCATACTCGGATTTTTCGAGTCTGCCAGCACTGAAGAATTAATAAGAATTAATCAGACTTCTAAATAAAAATACACACATTACACAAGAAAAATAACAGCCCACTTCATTGCCAGTGTTTAATATTGTAGTCCCAATAAACATTCATTGAAAATGTACTAAATTAAAATACAACAATAAGGACAGTCGGTTCAAAATGAGCACCATATGTGTATGTCAGATAACCTGCATGTTTGATTATAATGACGAAGATTGCAGCAGAACTTAAGAATCAGCTTAAACACAGCATAGGATGCTGCATTGTAGAAAAGATGAAATACTGTATTCCAGTTTGTTTCACAGGCCAAGATAGATCTACCCCAAACTACACAAACCTGCTAACATTTTGCATAAACAATCTATTTCCCACTTAATTTGGTCATCTGGTTTTAGCATAATATCCCAATGTGAGCACTCAAAGATCGCTCGTTCTCACAGAGACGTATGCGAGACTATGGTATAAAGTTACAGTATATTATTTAGTATTATGCGATTGTGCTCCAGTAGAGACGACACTGAAGAAATACATTTCCCGGGCGACAAAGAAACAAGTAAGCTGGATGCCAGAAGGTCAACAAACTTGTAACAAATGAACAATGAAAATTAAAAATAAACAGTATATGAGTAACCTTGTGACATTCATAACTGTGTTTCATACGCAAATTCTCCCAGACTTGAGACACAGGAGTGCAAGTGCAAAAAAAGTGTTTTGAGAAAGTGCTTTATCTGATTCATTTACAAGTGATAAAATATGGTACACAGACATTACAACATATCAAGACCCTTAGAACCAAAACAAGTAAAACAACAGAAACCAACCTATATATAAAAAAACAACATATTTATTCAGTTGGTTTGTATTCATGTCCTGCCAATACAATTCCTGCCTTTTGATGGTAAGAAATCTACAGACGACCGATGTTTTATGACAGGAAAATGCATTTTTATAAAATTTGAAAGTAAAAAAAGCAGCATATTTATATTTATATTCAAGAGGAAAAAATATATCATGGGACTTTGGTTTAAAAAAAGTATTGCTGGGCTTCTCGTATGTACAGCGATCTAACTAGAAGATTAACTGTGATTTTTAAAAGGTAAAGTCTCAGTAACTCATTGTCAGGTTCAGACAGCTTCGTTTCACATGAAGCAGCCATATACTTAAATACTGTACCAATATCAATACTGCATATCTAAGCTGCCAGCTGTATACATGTTTTTGCCTTGACACGACGATATATTTATCAACATTGCACACAGCCGCTAGGTTTCTATTGGCTAGGGAATCTATGCACACGGTCGTATTTAATTGGACAGTTACATTTACAGGAAAATGAGTTATATTTTTTGTTGCACAAAAGTCTCGAGTTTTATGATGATACGTGCTGTGCATTCCATCACTCTCATAGCCACCTCGGATGTGTATCTGTCATTGGGGATCTGGGGGAAAGGCAGGAGGTCGGGATAGCGAGTTCTCAAACTGTCCACACCGTAACCCTCCAGAATCTGCACATCCTTAGCGAGCCCTGCAAGCTGCGAGCTGTACTCCTCCACCTTCTGCGCCAGGGCCGTGGGTTTCACGTCCTTGTCGGACTTCCCTCGGACGGCGTAGTCCGCTGCTATCAAAGCTAACTTAGTCGCCAGGTAGCACTTGAAGCACACCCACTCGTTGGCGTTTTTGTGGAGGTCGTTCCTTGCTGCAGAGAAGTTGGCCCTTGCTTGCCTTAGCCACCTCCGCGCCTCCACAGGGTTCCCCACGGATTTGAAGGATGGCGGCACAAAATAACGGTTAGAATGCGATGAGCCCGCAAAGGTTGGGTACTGCTCCCGGAACTGCTGCCTCTCAGATTTATGGCTTGTAGCTTCCTGGTTCCACGACGTGTAGAACCTTTGGAATGAAAACTTTTCAGACTGGAAGCGAGTGGAAGACGTCGAGAAAGGCCTCCTGGATGCTCGGTCTGCAGTCTGTTCTGCCAGGGACTGCTTCTCCATTCTGCTAATCTCATTCTGCAAGTGCTTAAAGACTTCAGTAGCTATTTCCAGATTATCTGCATTTTTGTCTGGATGCCACTTCAGGTAGAGTCTCCTTATAATCTTCTTTCGTTCAGATTCTGGCAGTTTCCAAGCTTGCTCTATCACTAAGGTCACTTCTTTCAGTATTTCTGGTAATGCACTCACTCTTAAATTTTTGGGGCATTGCTTCGAAGGTAGAGCTCTATGATTATCCTTTCCAGGAAAAAGATGAGGTCCTAATCGTGGACTGGAAGGAGGACATTCTGAGGGGCTTGTAGGTGTGGATGGGGCACTGTCTCGGATGTGAGTGCTTTCATCTTGTCTGGAGAATTTATACAAATCAAGGGAACTCACAATTTTGTATTCACTGTATCCAATATCAATCTGGAAGCATTTCCCCAGGAAACTTGAGTTATCTTCCTCTTCTCTTTCCACCTCTTGAACTATGATGGCATAGGTATAGGTTGGTTGGTAGGAGCCATACATGTCTCCTCCCTCAGAATCAACAAGGTATCCCACATACTCTCCGGGGTAAAACACATTCATGGGATCCATGAGTAGAATATGGTGTATTTCTGCAGGTATAGGTGTTCCTGGAAGAGGAAGCTCAAGTTTTGAGGGTTCAGTGGAGTCATACTTGACACCCAGGTTGTCCAGCTTCTCTGTGATGCGATAGATGTCATTGCACCCCAGCATAGCAATGAGATATGAGGTGTCAGATATTAAATTGTCGGTTGCAGATTTAAGTGTCATAGCCAGTGCTAACAGGAAGTTGATGTCTTTGCTGTCAGAGTGCTGAATGTAGAGATGGATCACTGCTGTGCCATATCTTTTTAGAAAGGCCAAAGTTTCACTTTTGCTGTTTGGAATAGGGCTGCTACCTTTCACACGCAGTGTTGTCTGCAATTTTTCAAAGCAAGAAACTTTTAAACCCTCACAAAGAGCCTTGCATAAGCGAATGGCTTTTTCCTCATTCACTAGGAATGCATTGTCATTTTCATGCTTCATTATGCGAATTAGCCCTGTGATAAACTGTTCTGAGGACAGAAGCAACTGCAGACGACCCTGAAGAGAACAAAGAGCTCCAAACTGGCACATTTTTGGACACTCTTCATCCAGCTGTTCCTCTAAAATGCTACTCAGAAGTCTGGGTCGAAGCTTCTGGGGTAGCAACATAATTAGTTTGGTATGGAAAGCATGGTCTTTACCAAGGTAACACTGACTCATGTCTACAAGCATTTGTACCCCAACATTACCCTGGATTCTGCTTTTATAGTGCGGGGCATCATCAAAAACTAAAACAGTTGATTTCGCTAGTCTGCCATCATGGCTAGGCAGATAAAAAGTCAAATCTCTGAGGCTTTCCAAGTCTTTGCGAACCTGCACTGGATCGTTTTGAAGACTTTTAAATAGTCCTGAAACAGCTCTCTTCACTGTCCTCATTTCATTTGGGTCGAGCTGCTTACCTTCTGAATTTCTGTAAATGCGGTAAAGGACTTCCAAATATTGTTTTGTTGATACGATGTCTTCAGTCCCCAGAAGTTTAAACAGCTGATGAAACGTGCCAAGTTCTAAAGGAAGTTTGTACAGGTAGGGCTTGAAATCTGATTCATGGTCTAGATTTATAACGACTTCCTCTGGTTTTAGAAGTTTCCATCCCTCCTCAACCATGACAAAAGATACGCCTCGTAGCTGAAATCTAAACTCCCTCTTATCTGCATTTAAAAACTCATAAGTGCATCTGAGGACTTTGTTTCTTGTTTTCACCACGTCATCATCTAGGTTTGATATATTACAGATATTCTTGCAGTTGCTTATCACTTTATCCAATGGTGGATCCAAGTTGACATTTAACATAGTCAAAACTAGATCAAGTTGCTCTTGGCCCACATGCGTACTGCCTTCTTGGTCTTTTATGCTAGCTGGAGTGGCTTTTTCTGGAAGAATGGGGCAAGATGTCCAGAGCAGTTGGATTATATCAGTTTGCTTGAACTTCGGGTTTACCTGAGACCCATTGAAGCGAATTAGAGGGAGAGTGCCACTCATCTCTTGGTGTTGAGCATGAAGCTTAACAAGTTCAGCAGGAGCACGTTCTGGGCACAAAAATGGTATCATCGACAATTCTTTGAGAAAGGTGCCCCCAAAAAGATCAGTTCTTTCATTGAAAATGTGAACGAGGAGAACATCAACCATGGTTTGTGTTTTTTCTTTATTCCAGTTCTCAGTCTGAGCCTTGATGCTGATCTCTTTTGCAAACTGCAGTACCTGCTGTTGGGAAACAACATACTTCAATCCAATGTTCCTAAGAAATGTGATCCACGAGGGAAGAAATGATGTCCCATTCTTTGGCTTTGATGCTTGTTCAATTTTCTTGAAGAAATCAGTGGGTATAAAGGATTTTGCAGGAAGCATTACCTCAAAAACCTTCACAGTTTGATCATAGAATGCTTTTGCTGATTTCAGTCTGTTTGTTGAGTCATATATGAATGACAGACTTTCCAGTTTTTCATACAACTGGTCTTTAATCCCACAAGGCTCCTCCATGCTCAGAAGTCTTTCTTTCAGGTATATCAGATGCTCAATTTTTGCATCATGGGACAAGCTGTCAAACTTTGGCAGGAGATGCTTCAAGTAGACTTCTAAATCATCAATGGGTATACACCCAAGGAAACTATGGAGTTCCCTCAATTGTGGGTTATCAACCAGAAAAGCAGAGGATGTTGTGTGTGCCCATTTTTCCATATCTGCGGATGGGATGCTTTTTGTGAGGACATAGCAGGCCCCAAAGTTGGAGACACTGATGAATCTACCACTAACTGATTTGTAACATGGGAGCAATTTCAGACTCTGTACATCCTCTGGTGACAAGTTTATTAAATTGCAGTTGAAGTACAAAAGAAGTGCTTCAAAGTCTTTGTCAGTCAAGCCACTTGTTTTGAAGGCAGATGTCTGAATCATGTACTCCAAAGCTTTCAGGATGCTAGAGGGATTTTCTATGTTTGCTGTATGTTGTGCCAAAAGTGGCACCACAGGATTCTCCTTGGAGCAGATTTTGTTCACTGCCAGCTGAATACATCCTCCTTTCATGAGAGTGTGAAAGACTTTGTCATTCTGGGCATTTGGAAATATTGCTACATGGATCAAACTTAAAGGCAACAGAACATCATACTCAGGTACCACAAGCTTATTGGTGGACACCATAAATTTGATCCCAGGTAGCAAAGCCCAGTCCTTCAAAATGTCCAGAACAGTTTCAAATTTAGGTTTCATGTCTGTCTGATCATCTCTGATGCCAATATTTTCACTGATGAAGTGCCATACACTTTTCAGCCAGGATTCACTGGCATAGTTGTCTCGCCACTTCACAGACGTTCTTGTTCGATACTCACGAGGCAGGACGGCTCCCAGCAATTCCCCAAAACTGCTGATGTCAAAGACTTTTGCCACATTGTATTTCATGAGAACGCTGGTATATCTCATGTACATTGTGTTCATGAACTGCTCTTTTCTGGAAGAAATGAGCTCATGGTGTGTTGTTAAAAACTTTGGTCGTTTCGATTCAAAAACCTGCAGCATGTTGTCCATTGTTATCAGCAGGGGTAGCCCCTCTATTCTGATTTCATTTTCCTCAACATCCTTGAAGCAATAGTCAACTAGAAGTTTGAGGCTGTGGAAAAGTTTGAAATTGGATTGTTGAAGCCGACAGGGCAGCTTTCCCACCTGGCAGGTTGAGTCTGGGGATGAAAATGTCAGAAGGAAGTTGCGTACATCTTCTGGGGTCACATAGCTCACTGGAATCCCTGCATCCTGTAGGCAGAAGTACAAGCTGCTGGTCTCATCGCAGCTATAGACTAAGTTAAATCCAATATCCAAGAGCAAAGCCTTCAGCCTGTACACATTTTCAGCAATTGTTTTTCTTGTGCTTATGTTGTATTCTGTGTTTTTCAAATGCTGCAGTTCATCTTGAAGAAGGTTGTCAAAGTATGCTCTGCCCTTATTTGCAGTAGATGTGTTAACCCAGGAGATGTATATTGCTGAGTGCATGTCTGTGTTGTCAAGATGCAGGGCCCTTACAACAGGTAGAAGACGCTTTAGGTCAGCATGAATGCAGTTGTAGACGGCTTTGACAAGACAATACCAGTCTGGTTGAATTTCAATCCTATTGACAGGAAAGAAGAACAAAAACTTCCTGAGAGTGTCTTTGACAACATGAATAGGTGTACCTTGCAACACAGTCATAGTGGGATCTGGTCCTGGAAAGAACCGTCTCTTCAGCTGAATCAGCAGTTCCACATATGCAGGTGCGATCAAAGTAGTCATTAGATTGTTGTTCCAGTCACTTCTGACGCCAACACCATTGTCATCTCTCCATAGGTTTCTTCTGGCAGAATCCAAAGCAAAATGCCCATTGACATGAAATGGGAGACCTGTTTCTAATGAAAGAGGTAGGAAGCAGAAAGCTCTGTGTGGTTTTTTGTAGTTATGGCTGATACACGCAGCTACCCCACCACGTGGAAAGAGGGTTATGTCCTCATTCTTATGTGCTGAGATTACACTCTTGGAAACTTTCTCAATATTGGAGAAACCAGATCGGTTGCAAACCAGCCATGTTGTTAAATTTCCATCTGAGTCTTCTATGTCCATTGTGTAAGTTATCTGCTGGACAGGGATTTGAGTCAGCTGTTTTTTCTTCAGCACACTGTCTACAACAGATGCATGAAACTGCTTTCGCTTTAAACGATCTCCATCAGTAATTTTAGCTGTAACTGAGTACAGAACTCTTAGGTCTCCTGTACTCATGTCTATTTCACAGATGGAAATTTTCTCCATGTGATTCAAGAACATAAGAAGTTCAGCTCCATCTGTTCTCAGCTTATCAAGCAGATTTTGTACCATTCTGTCTGAGGCGGGAACCGTGCTGATCTCCGAGATCTTGGCCATGTCTGTTGTGCGTATTGGAAACCGAAACATTGTGGAGCGTTCCAGCTTGAAGTGAGCTCCCAAGTACAAACTTAAAACATCAGAAAACTGAGTCCTAAAATCAGAGTCCAAGTCTCTAAACATCCTTCCAGGACTAACAGAAGTTGCACCTGGAGCGTAACGAGCATGGGGGTCAAATATGCAAAGAATGTCATTATTTGAAATGAAAGAGGGGCAGTCGGTAATGTGATAAACCGAGTTGAATCCTATTCCATACTGTCCAGTTTTTCCTGGATTGGCTTCCTTTGTCCCTCGGCCAAGGTTCTGTATTCCTCGCACATCATCTTCGGTGAACGGCTGATTATTGTAGACGCAAAGGGAAGGTCCCTGCATGGGAATCCATCGGTCATCAAAGATTCTGTCTGTGGAATGGCTCCTTGGATCAAACACGAAATAAATTTCTGTAGCTTTAGCATCATCTGCATTTTGAAGAAGCTCTTTCAGCATTTCCTTTTCTGATGGGTAAGCGTTGAGGATACTTTTAATCCTGCTCGTAAGCTTCTCTTTCTGCCCAAACTCGCTTCCCAGGGTTGTGAAGCATATGTTTGACGCGTACCTCTCCAAGGCCTTGTGTCGTTTTGGCACAGCTCCTAATTTCACTGCCACCTCTCTGGGAATGTCAGCATGGCAATATTTCACTGTTGAGTCTCTGACCTTAATCCAAGGACAGTCATTGTAACACAGAGACTTTGATGGCTGCAGTGTTAAACTGGTATCTGGCAAGAGTATTTCTCCATAGGTGCTTTGACAGTATTCTTGATTTTTGTCTCTTATCAAACTCCATATGCCTTCACTGATTATTCTACGACACAGCTGAAAATTGTCCTCTGACAGTGGCTTCCTTCCACATTCCTTTTTCACAATTTCGAGAACTGCTGCAAAATTCTCAATGGTAAAGTTTGACAGAACCCCTACATTCTCAAAAAGCTCACGGCAGCTATTTCGGTACTTATTCGGAAGCTGGTATAAATGAGGGGCCGAGTCAAAATTCAGGTGGAAAGCCACTTTTGATGGCTCAACATATGTGTTTTCCACAAGGATGGAGTTGAACGTTCCGAGCTGTTTTACAATTTGTTTCTTCCCAGCATCATTTTGCAACATCTCTTCATGTAGATACTTATAGCATGCATTGGTTATGTTTTCTTGATACAATGTCACACCATCAAATGATTTAGAGAGCTCCTTTAGCTGGCTGATTACAAGTTCAACTGTTGGCTTTTTTATCAGTCCCAGAAAGTCTTTTACAGCTAATGTGATTGGGCCACATCCTTTGAAAGATGGTGAGTTCTCATTGAGGATTGGTTTCATCAAGCAGACAGTGTCCTGGTGGTCAGTAGTGTACAGATCAGTGGCAGCAAACATAGCTGAAGGCAGAAAATTGTTTCCATACCACGGAAGTGAAAAACCAGCTGGCTTGGTCAAAAATGGAAGGAAGCGAATGCTTTGAAGCTTTCCCAAGTGTTCACTAGATTTTGTGTCTCGAAGTTTTAGTTTTTCATCAACCAGACTCAACAATATACTGCTTCGCAGACATGCCGCTGAGTGGTCACTTTCATTCAGGATTGCCACTGATTCAGCACGTTCAATGAGGTCTTCCCAAGAAAGATCATCCTTTACCATTCCCAGCTGCACCAATTTGACTAAACATACTGGGTTTAAGTAGTCTTTTGATGTTCCCTCTGGGAATCTCCCATCATCATTATTGTACAGCTTAGCTACTCTCCCATCTGGATGTATAAGTCGGGAAGGGAGAACAAGCTGCTGAGACTGACCAGAGCATGGAATGCATGGAGTTTCTTTTAGGATGCTTGAAAATTCATCCAGTTTTTCATTGAGAACATAGAGCATTAGAGGGTCACGGAGTGCTTTATCAATGTCCTGAATGTGTGGGAAAAACACATCTGAGAAGAACTGTTTTTCCGTCAAGGTATTCTCCATAAGCTTACCCTTGCAGCCAGCGTCATCAAAGCCTTCCTTAACCCAGTCTGGCAAATCAACTGCACAGAGATCCTGGGAACCACTCTTCCGGAGGTATTTTAAGAATATTTTGAAGGCAGCAGGACCAATGTCAGGCCTGCAGAGCAGGGAGTCATCCAGAAACCTTACATACTTAATTGAAACCCAGATTTTGCCATCCGAGAACAACTTTGCATGGTCACCCTCACCACCCTTAGCTATTTCCTGGTATACTCCTTGACTGATCAATGCAAAGTCATCATGAACAAGGCTTGGATCAGGCCATGCTGCATAGTAATTGTATTTGACCAGTTCTCCACTTTCTGCCATGGAACGCATCATGCTGAGAGCTGCTAAGTATGCTTTGACAATCACGTGCCGCATGAAAACTGAGTTCCAGTTTCCTTTTGTGTCCGTTTTCCAGATTTCTTTACGATTTGATGTTACAGCAAAACAGCCATTAATGTGCACAGGTAATCCTGTTTTGATCCTTAGAGGTAAATAGCAAAAGATCTCTCCAATTGGGGTAGGATTCGTCTTCACTGTCCATGTTCGATTCTCGCCCTCTGAAAGCAATACTGCAACACCCCCACATGGGACAAGTCCAAGGCGTTTTCCACTTTCACTCAGTGAGAATTTGAGGGCTTCGCTCACATCCATACATGAACAAATCAACCAATTAGTGAGGTCAACTGCTTTTTGAGGCATTTCATCTGCAAGCCTTTTGATTTGACCACCTTTGGCAGCGGTCTCAAAGTAGGAAGATGGATCATCATCTGGACCCCTGAAGAGTGGTGAATGGAGATCAACGATACGTCGAAACACATTGTGGAACTCTTCAACCACAATCCTTATGATGCTGCCAGATTTAGGGATGTCAGCAGGTACTCTGTTAGTGCTTGCGACCTTTTTCATGACTTTTGCTGCTGCTTTTAAGATGCTTAAAGGTCCATATGATGCCTTAGATGACCAGACACTTTTGTTGATAGTGACAACATCTTGTGCACTTGCAGGGTTGGGTTCTTCATATTTCAGGTACTTCAGGACCATGGAGCCAACATGTTGTGTGAAAAGGATGAGACGATGTCCGCAAATACTGAACTCATCAACGAGTGAATAAATATCTGTAGTGTTGTAATAAACACTACTGATTTCACTCACTGATGCTTCTTGCTCTGTTCTAAAGGGAAGTCTAAATAGAGTCCCATTATACTTGTATGGTGACTCTTGGGAAAGAGGTAGCTGACAGTTGAAAACATTGAGGAATGGTTTGAACTGATTTGGAAACTTCCTTAATCGTTTTTGCTGTTTACTCCAATTGATCTTGATTCCAGGGTTTGATTTGTCCCTAATATGTTTGCTAATGTGGTTGATGTTAGGATCAAACATGATCATGAACTCCCTGCTCATGATTATGGGGATGTCAGTCACATGGTAGACTGAGTTAAAGCCAAGTCCAAATTTCCCTACTTTGTCAGCCTCACATCTCTTCATTGACCCTCCTAGTCTGGTGATGTTTAGAAAATCAGTATCTGAGAAGACAGAGTTGTTGAATGACCACAATGAAGGCCCATGGCTCACAGTCATGCCAGGGTCAAGCAGGTTCTCTCTTATGTCAAGATTTTTCCGCATGTCAATCAGAAAGCTGCATTCTGTGGCATTAGCATCATCTGCGTTCTGTAGTAGCTCTTTGAAGATATCAGAGACTGATGGGTACTCCTCTAAAATGTTTTTAATCCTCACAGTAAGAGGTTCTCGCTGGCCTGATTGTTCAAATCCAAGGTTTTCTGGATTTATCAGTCTTGTACTCAAACATGGTACTTTCAGCCATTCAGCAGTCTTCATTGGAATGTCATCGTGCACTAAAATGATAGGTTCTGACACGTCTTCAAGCAAGTCATTTAGGTCATCAACTTTGATGTCACAGTAGCTGCATTCATGTATTGGTTTCATTGCTAGTTTGCTTGGGACTTTGTAGTTGAGTATGGGCACATACATGTCAATATCTACAGCAATCTGGCTGCTGTATAGCCATCGCAGTATGTTTATCAGAAGAAGAAGATTGTGTTTACTTTCATCTTTTGTCATTTCCTTTTCAGACCTTTGTCTGATAGTGTTGATCACCTCAAACACGTGACTTGGGACAACTTCTTCAACTGAGCCACAATACTGAAACAGTCCTTGAAACTTTGTCATAGTTTTTGGTAAGGAGTACAAGTAAGGCTGCAAATCTAGTTCAGGAATGGGTCTTAAGACTGTCTGACTGGGGGAAGAGAATGTTTTTCCAGTCCAGACCCAATCAAATGGCAGTGATTTCATTGCCTCTCTGGCCTCTTCAAGATGTGCTTGCATGAAATCATAAATTTCAAAAAGTATCTGCTGAAACTGATACCAGTCTTCTGTAGTAAATGCTTGAGACCTGTGCCAGTCATTTACTGCTTTTAAATGTTGCAGAACTTGATCTACCTGAGGGTCTGTTGATAACTTTAGAGCCTTCTTCATTCCTGCAGATGTACGCTCCACAAGAGCAACTGAGGAACCTACCAAAACAGCATAAGATATATCACACATCTCCAAAAATGAACAAATGTTGTAGGAATCTCCCATCCAAGCCAATGATTTTGGGTAATTTAAGGGTCGATCTTTACAGACTGCCACCCATTTTAGCTTCTGAAGTAAAGTCTGAGCTTCTGAAGACTTTACTAACTTGGTCTGCTTGTTTAGAATTGTTAGCAATGTTTTAGATTTCTTCATTAAGGGCTCCCAGTCTGGCTCTTTACTGCTACATAAAACTTCAATTCTATGTGCTATTTGGATCACGTCTTTTTCAGTGAGCTGAACTTCATTTTTAAGTCCCAATTGTCTAAGAGAATGGAGGATATCAGGGGATGAAGTATATGTACTTGGAGGAAACCTAGTCTTCTCTTCCATGTAAAAAAGGTCCTGTAAAATTTCAAGCTCTGGATCAAAGAGGTCTGTGGCTGAAACAGGCTGTTCTTCATTAGCATAAATGAACTTCAGAGAGGAAAGGCAATGAATTACCGAAGGATCCTCATTTTTCAAAAACAACAAATGCTTGAGCACCCAGAGCATAATTTGGGCAACTTCTTCTTTGGAGTAAAACCCCTTCTCAATGTCTTGAACAATCACCTTTGAACACTCTGCACTTTTCAGCTGCTCAATATTCAGCATTTTTATCAGACGGATGGTGGCCTCATCACTACTGTCAATCACACTGAAGGACAACTGGACATCTGATGGAACTTTGGCCTTGTGATGCAAAGCTTTGGCTCCCCTTAATGCTATGAACATTGGTGTGCCTTTCGCAGTACAGGGCCCTATTTTTTCAAAGATTGCAAGGTCCTGAAGAATACGTTTTTCTTTCTCTGTAACATCTGATAAGCCAGCTAAGAAGCTTCTTAGTGCAACCTTCTGCTTGTCAGTGAAAGATGAAACTTGGCTGGCCAACTTCTGTGTTGAGGATCTATCCATTATTTGGAGTAACAAGCTGGGACATGACTGGTGGATATAGTTTTTTAGAAGGGGGTGTTGCAAACACGGATCAACCTTTTTCATAACGACTCCACCCAGCTTTTTCATGATCTCTTGCAGGCTCTCTGAAATCGGAGCCTCTTCCTCATCTACAAGAATGATAGGGGAAGGAGTTTTGAGGCGTAGGAGCTCTACAGAGACCATGTTGTCCTCCAGTGGTACAATCGGAATCAAAGGCATCTCTTCCAAAATACTAAGGTCGTCGGGAAAGTTGATGTAAAGATGTTTCCACACCATCTTTAACCAGGGAAGGACAGGATGTTTCTTCTCTCGATTCCCCGGGTTCCACTCAACACTAAAATCTCTAGAGGGCCATACAGTCATGAGAATCTCCTTGATAAGACGAGCAGATCGCTCTGGTGTAAGTTCTTGCACCTGGGTACATGGTCTTCCTGTGGATAAATAAGAAATGTTTTTATTAAAACTAGTTTAACAAAAATGTGTTGTAAGAGTATAATAAATTCAGATCTTGTCGTTGTTCTACATCAGTGAACTACAATTCATGCTGAATCAAGCCTCGCATTATACATTACAATTAGAATTACAAATAATGGTCCATAAGCATTTCATGCTTTGCACCCTTAAAAATGTATTACTTGAGAAATATATTAACTCACTAAAAGAAAGTGAAAACTGTTCCAAAAAAAAATCGTACACAATTGCAATGAAATACTTTTTAAATTATATGTAATGCTTTTGCAAGCATTATAACCAAGTACTGATTTAAATAGAGCCTTCAAAAATACTATATAAGTGTTAATATTTAAACTCTTTTTAGTAAGGTAAATCATAAAAATCTGCTTTTCAAAATATACACATTTGTAAGTATGTGTAATTTTGGGGTATTTATTCTATGCTTAATTTACTAATTGTGCTAGATCACTGATGGTGATGATACCTTTAGACTTTACTATCTTTTCTACTTGCTGCGAGAGCCATTTGGACAAAACACTAACACCAAAACACACATTGCACACACATTACACACACATTACACACACATTACGACTTCATGCAATGCATGCATTAGACATCGGATTTAAAGGAGCAAACCACTCCTTTAACCTTGTCTTGTCATGTTTCATGTTATAGTAAAACAGTCACAATAAACCAATTCACACCAAAACCATGCAGTCTGGTCATCAACTGTTTATATATAGGCTGTATAGATAGCATTATAAATTATTACAATTATATATAATTTTAATTTAAGTTGGCTGACCCCTCTGTACATAAATTCAAAATAACTGCAGTTTATGTAAATATTGGTGGACAGTTCAGGTCCAGAAAGTAATCCAAGTCCAAGATTTTGTTTCAACCAACACACTGGGTACTCTGTGACTGTGATAATTAACTTGTTGGTTGAAATAAAATCTTGGTCTGGATTTTTACTTTCTGGACCCGAACTTTCCACCTCTGTAATTATTCTGTCAGAATTCGGTACACAAGTTCATTCATTTATTATATGACAGTGTCTGCCTGAAGGTACAGCAGATGTCCTGTCAAACAGTTTGCTGTAGTGAACTATCAGCTCTGGGGAAAAGAAGGTTAAAAAATGCTTCACTGGTAATCGCTTGTCCTTATGACAGAATAGTTTTACAAAGGTGAACAAGAGCAGTAAGACAGTAAGATTCCCAGATACATGTAAGGAAACGCGTTAAAGGTAATGTTTTAAAGGAAAACCAAATATATTCACACCATAAATCACCTCCTTAGAGTACATACAGTGCGCTATGAAATCACTACGGTGACAAAAAAGTGTGGGGAAAATGTAATTAAATTAAACTGGGAGCCATATAAAATGAGAATATAACCACATTTTATCTTGAACACAAGGCCACTAATAAAAATGTTAGGTATCATAAATTAGTTTTACTTTTAATAAATGATAATTTGGTATTCTTCTTTCCAAAATAAGAATGTTCAGGGCCTTTCCCATGTTCCCCAAAGCAGAGATTTCATAGTTTCGCTGTTGGGTTGTGCACTGATTTCAAAGTCAGTCAATTCCAAGCACAAAGCACTTGCTACCGTTAAACCTACCCGAATAGCCCCAGAACAACCGCTGCACTGCAATTTAATTTAAACAGAAGTCATGTAAAAAAAACGAGGTCACAATAAAACAAAGCGCATAGTTACATTTTTACCAAAGGGTAGGTGAGAGATACAGCAGGAAATAGGCTAGGCTTCCTTGCCAAAAAGAACCAAAAATATAGGTCATAATATACTATTCATCATTTTAATCCTGCCACTTTTGAAATGGGTACCATACTTACTGTATAATGTTTATAACCTCCTAAATTTAACTTAAGTTGTATACTAGAAGGCCCATGTGGAATGTTGACACATGAACGCGATCTGACAGCTAGAGAAGAAAACCCAAAGCAACTAACGGACATGTGGAGGTGACTAGTGCACCAAAATGGTGGATGCTAGGCACGCTGAAATTAGTAGAACAAGGTTGTTAATTCTCCAGAAAGTTCCGTTTGTATAACAGCTTGTGGTTGCATGGTTCCTGCACACTGCAATGTCCTTGAGATCGTGCTCCGTCTGACTAAGCGCTGGGTGGATGCCGTGTGCCCGTGCCCCCTCCCCCTCCCCGACACACTCAGTGACAGGAAGTGGGCAGCAGATGAGCCAATGGCCTGCATGCATGTTAAAATAGGTTCTGACTGTGACAGACTGCCCTGCTGGCTACAGAGAGAGGGCACCACATGCAATCTCAGGTATTCTGTAGGTGGAAAAAGGGTGGGGTGGGAACAAGTGGTGTGCTGCAGACGCGACTGAGATCTGAGCGACGCCACTGTGGATCCTGTAGCGTGAGCACCGCGACCTGAATTGTGCACAGCCGCCGTGACAACAGGAAGTGTACGTCACAGAATAACCCAGCGGCAAAAATCTGAAACAGACAATCGCTCTATGTGTACAGGAAAATGAAAAGAACACTCAGGTATTGAAATCCTGTGGTTTTTTTTTGGAATTCAATCAGTTAGTGATAGTTCAAAATTAAAGTCAGATTATATTGTGGAGCAGAATTCTAGATCCCGGATTCCAGAATAGGCGTTAAAAAAAAACAGTTCACAAAATACACAGGATACGAGCCAGTATGACAGATCCACTTGAAGATCTATTTTTTTTTTTTAACAAACAGAAGGAACGTCTCAGGAAAGTAGCAAACGTAGCATCTAACACAAAGAACCTTCCCACAGCAAATGATGATCGCTGGTGCCACAGTGGGTTAAGAGGAAGTGAAGAAATGGTCTTTGGATCAGTTGCAAACAAAAGACATTAAAAAAATGTCCTGTCAAATAAGGGACATTCAAACGAACTATCAAGGTTTGATGGTCGGGTTCTGCTGGCAGAGGCTACACTGAGGCGCTTCTTCCAGGCTCACAGTTGTTTCAGACAGTAGGACACAAGAACAAGGTGAAGCGGGAGACACTGGCTATAACAAAACAAAAAAAAAAAACAGCCAGGAGGTAGAACCAAGTTTCTAATGCCAGAAATGACCATCAAATGGGAAACGTCAATTCATGTGAAGTGCACTGCTATGACAGTTAGGACTGCCAGGACTCCTAGAAGCCCTTAAAGACCCATAAAGCATGGAAGAAATCCTTCATCAATGAGAAGCACAGAAGAGCCAGACAGGAGTTTGTATGTAAAAATGTATATTTTACACAGGCAGAAATGAAACTGAACATTTTGCTGTGACTTCAATTTTTTTCCAGAGCTGAAAACCTACAGCCATTCCTTTGTAATAATAAATCTGACCTGACAATCAATGTTGGACTCAAAGCCCGACACAGAATCTGTTTTCCAGTTGTTTTGGGTTTTCACCATAGAAACTCCTGTCTGGATCGTTTTCTCTACACAAATGGCATTAGAGGGCAGAACACAGCACATGCTGTGGGGTAAAGGACAGGGCAGGACAGAAAACAGCTGTTCCCTTTGCCTCATGCTCAACCCTAGAGTCTCACCATGGTGAGTCAGGGCTTTTCTCTACCTCAGCTGAGCTCAGTACTAATTAACCATTTCGACCCGCATAAATGGGGAAGCTAGCTTGCAGGGCTAAGGCGTTTGGGCTAATAGAGCTTTGACAAAGGTTTCGCTCTTGCTGATGCTGTGAGCCAAGGCTAAGAATTACCAGAAGGTGATCAGGGCAAGCATGGAGCCATGTTTTTATGTTCTGTAGCAGGCATTCAAGCGTTCCAACAAATAGACCAATTTCTTCAGCGTTTTTCAGCTGAATCTCATCCTTCTGGCAAATTTACAGCTAGGTATGGGACAGAACATGTCCAGGATAGCCGCATGTGGAATGCGAAGCCCCGAAAAAAAGATACTCAAATAAACCTGCTCATAAACGCACACAGCAGTCATAAATTATCTATCAGCAGTGAGACTGGGTCTAACACCCAGTTCTAATGCACTTCCCTGCCCGTAGCCTGCTACTGTGTTCCTCAACAAAAAATATCATCTCTACCTCAGCACGTTACCCACAAACTGTACAACTGTTTTGCAAGCCTCTCTGTAAGAGAAAGAAAACCATCTTTAACAGATATGACCCCTAAAAAGTTGTATGTCAAGACTGAGAAAGCGGAGATAAAAACTAAGCCATAAAGTAAATCACAGCATAGCCTTTGGGAAATCCCTGTAACAGACAGAGAGTAGGGATTTACCTCTGCTTTTGGAAGCATCCTTTAGGCTCGTCAACACAGATGGTTTTATGCTTTCAAGTACAAACCGTCCCTCAAGTCCAGGGTACAGGGACCTGGAGGACAAACAAGATTCTCTTTTAGGAGAGGAGATTCAACAGCAAACTCACCAAGGAAATGTCTGAGGTGTCATGACGCATGAGCCATTTGCGAGGCAAATTTGTTTCATTTTTACTCTTAATCCTCACCAGCGTCTTTTTGAATATAGGAATTTGTCAGCTCATGTATCGGCGTTGCACCAGTTTTTACCTGCAAATCATTTGATTATACCTGGAGGCACAGTCTAAAGTGACACTTTTATATCTGTATAACCTATATAGAATGCTAAATATCATGCAGCTGGTATTGCAGTCAAGCCTAATTTCTGACCGAAACATTTTACAAAACATCCATAACTTTAATAAAATCTCTATTGCCATCTTTGTATTGATTTTACAAGGCCTTTTAGTTAAATGAAGTGAGAAACGTGCTGCAGAGTTGCAAATTCTTAGTGTCTCTGATAAATGTTTTTTTTTCACTGATTGATCAAAAATTTCACTTTAAGATACAATATGACGGATGAGAAAATGCCCGACAGGCATGGCTTTGGTCGCAAATGGGCTATACCTGGGAAAGTCCTCGCTTGTTATATACACTGCGTCCTTGTCATTCACCGATGAGGAAAAGGCGATAAACGTGTCATTCTGCAGAGGAAGCAGTTCCAGGCCAATAAGATCATTGTAACAGGCATCGCTGAGGACAAATTCCAGAAGGACGAGTTTCTCCTGGGAGGACCCCTTGTGCTTGGCCTTCCGCAGCACTTGGCGTACCAAAGCAGGGGTCACTTTTTTCACATCTCTGGGTGCAGTGATATACCCCGTTAACACGATGTCCATAGCTGCTGGAACTCTGGCCACCTGAACCCCTGAGCTCTGGAGGTAGCCAATGATAACCTCCGTGCTCTTCTCACCCTCATCCAGCTCAGAGAACACAACATCATCTACTGTCATCCAGACGTCACTCAGGGAGTAAATGACTGGCTGCTGAAGCAGGTCCTGGAAGAGAGGTTCAAGGATGGGCCTCCAGCGTGGCCGGATCTTACCGGGGTCTGGCCAGGCCCCGTAGGTTCCCCTGGTTGAAAGGGGGAACTCCTGATCTTCCTTAGCCTGAACACGCTTAATGGCTTCCATGATAAGCGTGAAGTAGGCTCTGGGGATGACGGTGACAATGAGGAGCTCATTCCACAGCGCCGCAGGGTCCCTCCACTGGTCCACCTCCCTCCACTTGATGCTCCGCCGGTTGTCGGTCAGGCCGAAAAATCCACTGATATGAACCGGCAATCCTGTCATGCTCTCCTCTCCAGGCGGCAGCGGGAGGAAACAAAAGGCCCTCCCCGAGAATCCTGACGTAGCCCCCTTATCCACGTCAATCAGGGTCAGCGGTAGGGCAATGCCAATAGTTGGAATAAACTTCAGGTCATCGGCTAGTGAGTCGAGCTCACAGCACATCCCACGACCCCCCACTCCATTGCAAACAAGCCAGGTGGTCCTCTGTGTCTCCTTTGTGGTTTCATCCTGTGTCTCGATGTTCACCTGGTAGGTGGCGCATGTCACCGTGTCACACGGTACGCCATTGCTGTAGCTGTCAATGCCCAGCGCAAGAGACTTGAGTGAGTTGGGCCGTTCCATCTTCAGGTCGGCATTCTCGCTGGCGGTCACCCGGAAGAGGACCCGTTCCGTGCCGTCTGACTCACGCACGTGCAGGGATACCTCCTGCACGCTTTTCAGGAAAAGCAGCACCGTGTCAGCATCCGCCTTGAAGGACTCAAAGAGTTCCAGAACCTTCTCCTTGTTGTAGATGTTGCTGCTGAGCTGGGAGGGCTTCACACGGAGTGGAAAGCGGAAGAGCGTCCCAGGGAAGCTCCCATCCTTGACAGTATTTTTCGAAGTCCCAAATAACCCAATGTAGGGTGCGAACTGGTCGGAAAGCTCTGTAATTTCTTTGAGGTCTGATTTTAAGTTCCAGCATTGTCCAGACTCGTGGGGTCCAAACAGGGTTTGATGTGGATCCAGCATGCCGATTTGATCGCCACTGAAAATACTAGGGACATCTAAAAAAAATACAAAAATAAAAATGGACACGGCTAAATTTCCAGAAAACTCTATTAAATTTTCATTGCATGTACAATTATAAACCCACATCATTTTCATATCTTATTTAGTGTGACACAACAATATCCCAATAAATACCCTTTACTCCTTACCTGTTATATGGTACACAGAATTGAATCCAATTCCAAATCTACCAACTTTAAGGGGATCATCTCTCTTTCTGCTCCTGGCAATCTCCTGAATGCCATTCCAGTCCTCAGTCGTGAAAACAGCATTATTGTATACATACAAAGCTGTCCCTGTCAGGAAATCAAGGCGCAAAGATCCGTAAATTACAGCCAGTCACCTCAAATCTAATTAAACTTTCAGTCATTTGAAAACCGATGCTCAGTGTTATAATCCAGTTAAAATCTTTACATTACATTATATTGGTCTATTTTCCTATGACTTGATCCTTATTCTAAATCTAAAACCAGATTAGCTCTTGTTAAGTATCAAGAAATCCATAGGTGGAACATATTTAACCCCCAGTTGTTGTATTCTACACACCTTGATGTTGTGCCATGGCTTCGGACCAAAGTGACTCACGCCCATATTCGGTCTCATCATACATAAACTTGACCTCTGTAGCTCCGGCATCTTCTGCATTCTGGATGAGTTCCTAAAAGTTCATCAGCGGACCATTATACCTTTGACCATTTCCCAGAATACCCTATTAGACTGTCTACAAGGTGATGCATGCGAGTGTATGCAAAATGCTAATATGCTAAAATGCTAATACGCCTTTGTTTACTTAGAAGCTAGCCAAAATATCGAAAACCCTGTGGAACTGACAAGTGGACCTTCTTGGGGCTGAAATGCAGCACAAAGCACTCTGGTGGTAATTGAAGATATGCCAACAAATTGAGCTTTGTGCTGCCGTTATGTTATCGATAAAAGGGCACCTAGCCTGAGTGCCTGTGCTTTTCCTCTTGCTCGTTATTGTCTAAAAGGAATCGCAGCGTGGGTCATACTTTTAGAATCTGTCCCCCTTCAGGATACCGCCGCAGGATATCTTTCAGAAACTCCACCAAGGGGGGCGTCGTTTGGCCAAATCTCCCTAGAAAACAAGAAACATGTCAAAACTAGCAGTGACATTGATAAAGACATCAATTGTCCAAGAATTTTCTATTTGGAATTTCTATCCAATTTTGATCTGGCCTCCAACCACTTCAGAGCTGTAGGCTGTGGTCTCGACAGGAAGCACAGGCTGCACATTAGCCGAGATGCCAGTTCAACACAGGCCATCCATTTAAAATTTCCTACTTCAATTTTCCATTTCATTACCTAAGCATACAAATCATTAATATCTCATGCCAGTTTTCCATTTAAGTGTCTAAGAAGATTGCGTCAAGACGTTGGCAAATGAAAGAAAAAAATACTAGTGGAAGTTCTCTATGAAAATTATACATCTGTTTACCTTGAACTCCCTTCATATATCCCAGATCCCAGGGCAGGGCATTAAACACACACTGATACACATGCACAGGATCAACATTTTATCTTTCCGCACGAAAGCTACCCGATTTAGAACCCATGCGGCCTATTTGAGACAAAAGCAAAAAAAAAACAAAACAATTCAAAATGCAAAATAATGCCTGCATGACCATATCCTCATTAATACTCAAATCCAGATTATCCAAACAAATCATCACTATAAAAACTACAGTCAATATTTCGACTGATGAGGAACATTAATCAGGGCCTGTGTATGAACACTGTGCTCTGAATACTGTCTAAGGATGACTAATTAGCACATCAGAATTCTTTTGGGCATCATGTAGACTTGGAAAACTTTAAGCCTTCCTAGTATTAAAATAATACTTGTAATTACGCTAAAATACTGCAGTTACAAGGTACCTAATGACCTCCCCAGAGGATTTCTTACCTCCCCCTCGGAGACCCCTTCCTTGCAGGGTCATGAATATCTCATGGCTTCCAGCTGGCAGAAGGGCCTCCATCTGCTCCCCGTCACGCAGCTGGAGGGAAGACAAGAGAATGTGCCGCGAGGGAAAGTTAGCATTTATGCTAAATGAGAGGCTTCATTAATGCTGGATGGCCTAAGGGGAGAGGCAAAGAATCCAGAGTGGAAGACATTCATTATCAGGGACGATTTTGGATTTTCACTACAAGCCGAGCCTTGTTCTACATATGCAACCAAAGACTGAACTAAGTCTGAACAGCAATGTTAGGAAGACCTCTATCTACATTACAAGGCAAAATTTAGAGTTGTGGCTGTACCACCAGTGAGGCTAAAAGCTTCAGGCCTGACACTTTCAAATGAATGACAGTAATAGGCAGTCATCTCACTGCGCTATTCCGGATGGATAGTCAGCAGTCTGGCCCGGGCACCAAGAGGGGAGCGGTGCTGTGCGTCAAAGCCCCTCCTCTGCCCATGCATTCTGCTGGCACGGCAGACGCACCAGCCTGCAATAAGGCTGCACAGATACTGAGGTGACCTCCTCTGGCACGCTGACCTCAGGAAGGCTTCCGAGTCTGTACGATGTACGATGTACGATGTAACAACCCCAGTCTGACCCCTGCTACAATGTCTGGGATCCTGTTAATTATGCTTCCTTCCTGAACAGTGGTAAATATTTGAGAGCGGCAACAAAGTGCTTAGCAACAAAAGTTGCCTTTGGATCGTCCTTCATAGGCTTTTTAAAACCAATCTCTGGCGCTGCAAAATCAACAGGAAGTAAAAAAAAAAAAAAATGCGCAAATTAAACCAGTTAAGTACACTGGCATATTTCAAGCTCCTTCATCATTTGATGATTTCTATAATGATATCAATCAATCAATGACACAATTAATCAATCAATATGACACCAAGCAATAGATATTGTCCCCAATAAACACAGCACAGTGAGGTGTTACTATGCTGTTGGGTAATTCACTATTCTGCCCAATGCAGCATTGACCCAGCTATGCAGCTGAATGTTTTAGCTATTTATGGCCACACACCTTCCTCACAGAGGAATCGCTGGGGTCCGGACACCCCCTTTCTTAATCACGGCACTATAGTATGTCTCTCAGCTACTCCCGTTACATGCCGCCATCACTCAAGGTCACCATGGCACTCAAGTGATGCAGTAAACTTGCTTAGTATCCCAGCCTCAGTGTCTCACTTTACTCTCCAACTCACCACTAAACCTCTCCAGATAAAGCATTTTGCAGTTCGGGATCCCAGCAGTGAAATTCAAAGAAGCTCGGACATTTACTGCAAACATTAGTATTAATAATTCTGCTGAGGGTACATCAGACACAAGGTATATATACCTCGCAGAAGTTCTCAGAAGTTCAATGAGTGACTTTAATGGATGGCAAACGCTGAAAATAGCTTAAAGGTTCAATGGCAACAACTATAATTATTCATTAGTTTTGGTGCAGTTACGTAACCAATAACAACCAGGGGCTTCTTATTTTTAGTTATTTTTCATATTTGGAGAATCAGATGACTCAAAATGCTCGAGGAGAAGCCGCTGAGGTTAAACTTATGTCTTTCTTCTGAGAGCAGAGACTCCCAAGCTAGTGAGGGTATTATCTCTTTAGATATTAGCTTCTTAATCAGCTTTTTAAACTCATTAGATATCAGCTTTTTCAATGTAATAAAACAGAGAAAGGTTTGCCTAAGATGTCAGTTTGTAACAAGCGTGACATGTCGGAAAAGTGACCCTCGTAGGCAGGACACATGTTCCATACTGAAGTCGCGATGCCTGTAATGTGATCGCTCTAAACCGGTCAAGGGCGCTCTGCAGGTGACAAGTTCTTCATAATGCTCAGTCACATTTAAAAGTACCGTCAGGGACAGCTTCATCAAACGGGCGGCATTCTCAGTGAGCAGCTGATCACGGTAGATTAGGGGCCTCAATTTGCGCTGGCTAATTTCTGACGGTGACATCATTTGGGCTGGTGAGAAATGGGCCAGCTGGTGACCTTAGAAAAAGGAGTTCAGGCCCCCAGACCAGCTTAGCCGCTTCCAGCCATTGCCGACTTCTTAAAACAATGTGAACACCAACCTTCAATCCAACAAAATAAAAGTCCGTCAAGACAGTGGAGCATCGCAAATAAAAACCAGGCTCATAATAGTCTTTTTAAAAAGGGATAATGAGGTTACTTCATCAAGAATGGGTCTTTTATTATGAAGCATTTCTGAAGATTACTCACATAACATTTGCCATGAGCTAACAGTACACAACCCTGTGTGACTCCTTGGATATCGTGTTCACACTTAAGAAGGGACTCCATTTTCAATGGACATATTTGGCTAATCACAGTTACTGCATTCCACTGGCTTGACAGAATAAATGTGTTTTATATAGTGTAAAAAGTAACTCACTAACAAAACTAAAAAAAATTTAATAAGCAAAACCATCACAGTTAATTTCAGGTACAAATTGATTAAGATTACTCTTGCAAAGTGCGTAATTAGATTATTAATCTTTAGCAACATTTAATTATGCCTTAGTGATTACTCAGATGGTTCAAACGTCTTCCAGTGGCTTTGAAGCACAAGCAGGGTACCAGAGATCACACAAAAGGATTTTGTCATGGAAATCACCCAACTAAGTTACATATTGATCAGCCTATCAGTCATTTTGCTGAAGAACACTCAAGGGAGCTATGAGTGCTAAAGAAATGTATAAACTGTTTCAGACGCCATATGTTCAAGCTTGCCAATCCCCCAGGATCCTGCTGTCACTCTACTATCACTCACTTTACTACAAGCCCATATTCTCCAGGTCCAAACGCACCTCTGCAAGCGGTATGTAGGCTTGTTGAATCCTGCTCTGAAAATCCGAGTTACCCCCCCGACTTGCTGAACCGACATAACACGGATAAGGGCAGACGCAAAGAGGATTCATGAAAACGAGGCATAATTATCTCAGTTTACATAACCTCTGCTGAGGTTTGCATTAATTGCAGAGCATCTGCTACAAAAAAATCCTTTAACACCCGTGGAAAAAGATGTGCAGTTATGGCAATTTAAAAACTTTGTTTAAAAAATATCACTGGCATTATGGAGAAAGACGGACCAGTTATGAATAAGACCCACCCATTCATCCATCCATCCATCCATCCATCTAACTCATGTTTGTCCTGGGCAAGGTTTTGCTGGTCTGCAAACCTATTAAACCTATGATTAATGCTTTAGCCTAGGCAAGACACCAGTCCACTGCAGTGCACATCCATTCTATATAAAACATGGGAAAAGGAAATGTTATAGTATATTTTTTCTAAAGAAAAGAAAGCTTTTTACAGGACTGACCCTAATAAAGACAACAGTACAAGGGACATTTAGTACACTAGTACTGTACCATGATAAATTTAGCAATCATTCTTTTCTGTGATTAGCCTCTTTTATAAATAGGGCTATTCAGCTGAGGAGGCAACTGCAGCTCTAAAGGGATTTATGGCACCATAGTGAACAATAACTACCTACGTACTTCAGCTTCATCCCAGAGCTCAAACACATTTAGCCTGAATCCAACGACAAATGGAAGCAGCAAAAAGAATCATGGCTCCAGGATCATTGGTCGAGGACGGCACTGGATCAAGGTCTAAATGCCAACCCTGCAGGGCAGGGCTAGAAGCGAGATGTCAGGTGCCATAATGTTAGGGGTGTGGTCAAAATGAAGTTCTTTATCCGCAGTCCTGTTGTGGGGGGGCATGGAGCCTATCCCAACGGCACAGGAGACAAGGACGGGGCACACCCTGGGCGGGACGCCAGTCCATCATCTACCCCCCACCTCGAGATGCGAAGCAACAATGCTACCCACTAAGCCACTATGCTACATAATGATGACGATAACATAACAATAATAATAATATCCTATTCGTTTTTTTTTCCTATAGTAGTAGTACATGAAATAAAATTCACAAAAAAAGTTATTCAAAGTCTTTCTTGATAAAAATAATGCATGTTGATATTCAGACTATTGTAGGCCTAGCAGCAGTGTTCTAACCATCTGCTTTCCAGAGTCGCGTATCCAATACCGGGTCACGGTGCGCCTGGATCCTGTCCCAGGCACTGCAGAGCACGAGGCTGGGGGCGCCTTGGATGGTGTCCATCGCAGATACCACACAGTAACACCATGGGAAATCTTTGAGACTAAAACTTGCATGTCCAGGCGTTTCTGAAAAACCGCGGTACCCTGGGCTAACCTGCATAATCATGGGGAATACCCGGGGGGGGGGCTCCCTATCGCACAGGCGTGAGGTCACAGGGATAACCACTGAGCCACCATCTGATCACCACTCATATAAGCTCCATCAGACCGTAACCATTCCCCTCCCCTGCCCTGCCGGGCTTCATTTTCCAGCTTTTTCTTTATGCTGAAGTCAAACCACCTAAATGTTTATATCTGTATCTCCATTTTAAACACCCGTGTCGACTCCAGCACCGAAATAAAGTTCACGTGCCTCCCTTCCATCCAACCACGTTTTGGGATGACATACCATTATAGTATAATTAAAAGCAAACAGATGTATATGAAAATACCTTTAATGATATGAAGGCATACAAGACGCAGATACGAGAAGCGTGCACGCATTTCAACCATCATTGACCACCAGCAGCTGCGATGACACAAACACCAGAGACGTCTCGACAGTGATGAGTCATCGCAGCCCTCTGCGTCCAGTAAACACAGCGAGGACCAAAACTCTGACATAGAGTGCTGACAGAGTGACCGTATCAGATCACGTTCTGCTACGTTTTGTCTGGTACAGTAGGTCAATTCATGCTCCAGTTCCTGTCATATAATCTATTTATGCAAGATAAATTAGGAAAAACATGAGACATGGTCTTTTTACAAAATCACTGTACTAAAAACAATGCAGTGAACACTGGATAATTTATCTAACACGCAATGAACCCCAAACAGAATTAATAGCTTTCCTGGACTGGAGAATCTTTGAATCACTGCGATGGCTTTTTGATGACACACAGATGACAGAAGATCAAATAGTACTAAAAGTACTAAAAGTACTCATTACACAGAAGAAGGACAAAAGAGATCAAAAAGTCTGCAAACTTTGCCATTCTGAATTTTTTGTGTATGTGGGGCAGGGCTTCAAAATCATTTAAAAATTAATTACTATTTCTTGTCAATCATTCGGCTCAGCATAATTAACAGCTTAGCCTAAAATGTCGCCGGGTTTCTGTTCTACGGTAATAAGCAAGCTAACTGAAGAGTCATTACCGCTTTCCCGTGATGGAAGAGCAGCTGCTCTGCAACGGGTACGTCTGCCTCCTCATAAATGAGCTGTTTGACGTCTCTGACAGTCGTACCGGGAGAAACCAGAAAGACTCTGTGTCCAATGTACTCGTGAAGGACAGTCACCCGCGGCAACCTGAAAAAACAAACAAAACAAGCTTAATTCAACCAATGCAGTCCCCAGTAATGCACTGAAGATCTTGTAGGGTTCATGGTGAATATACGGCGGAGCATGCAAGTCATTATTGTTTATCTTTCAGTATGTTTAAATTTATTCTTCAGGCTGTTCTTTCAGAGAACCCTTTAATGGGAAATAACACAGGTCATGGACTGAATTGTCTCTAACTCAAGTCATGATGTATTTAAAAATGATGACACTAAAGAGAGAATTTCACTTTGAACTGGGAGACAGACTTTTCCACCAATGTCAGAATATCTGTCTTCTGTTTAAAACAAACACACTTAAAGGTCTGACAAACAGCCGGACAAACATTGTGTTCCACTTTGAAGACTGAGCCACATATCTGTAGGAAACCAGGTTGTAAGATTTTGAATGGTATCTATATTCTGAGAATCAGTTGTAAATCACACAATATTCTGCCCAAATACACTAGGAAAATCTTAACTTACTTTTTCTAGTTTTAAGAGAAATTTCTCATTTTTGTTTTTCTGCCAATTAAATTTAAACATGAGATGGGTTTTTTCTTATTGCTAAAAATATCTGTAAACATTTATTACTTTAGTTGACACACAGTAGCACTTCTTAAACAGATATTTATTGGGTTAAATACCAGAATTGCCCCACACCTTTGTCCAGTAGGGGAGTTCGGCCCATCGAAGCCTAAAGCCTCAAATTTGCTCTCCCTCAACTCATAACTACTAATGACGCAATTAATGATATACTTGCAAACCTAACATTCCTGGGGTAACCCTATGGCTAATGGAAAGGTAACCCAAAGGCCTGAAGTTAACATGCAGGGCTGCCAGCTCTCACGAAGCTGCCGTGACACTTTCTGACTCTCACGCTCACCAAGAAATCTTACAGCAAATCTATATTATTCCATTATAAACCTAGATTTAGCTACATCAAAAGCGTCGGAGTAGTTTGCAAACCCCACAGACTATATACAATGTAATAAAACCATTACATACATGTAAATGCGTGTGCAGACTTGCCCCGAATTGAAAATTTCATGCCAGCCAGCTGACCGAAGTTGGCAACCCTGAGTATGTCCATCTATAGGGTCCCCATCCTTGGTTCTACAGGACAATTTCTCCTTAAGACAGGGTTCCACACGCAGATAGCAGGAGTTCAACAACAATTAAATTTTTCATGGATAACTAATACAAATTTCTAGTCACTAGCAGGACTGGTCTGCTAAGGAGAACAATGGGTTTACATCAGGGATGTTAAGGATAGCAGCCATTGATCGCAGGGAAACATGAGAACTAAAGGCAGGTCAATTCTGATTGATTAGTGTCCCAGTTAGTGTTACATCAGTCTGTCACAAGACTGTGCACTGGGGTAACTTCTTCCTACTTTCAAAATCGAGCAATTTGCAGATTAATGCATAGTCCTTGAGTGCCTTAATCCACTAATTCCAGGGCTCATCAACTGAGTGGAATTTTAATTATCAGGGACCTCCCTTCAGCAAGAGCAACGCACAACCACACACATCGTGCCCATCATGTGATGTAAATCTCATCAAATCTGTTCTATCGTTATTTTACTTTTACAATTGCAGTACGGCGCTTAATGGGCTATAATCTGCAAACGCCATAAACGACATGACAGTATTAAACATTCATCGGCAATGTATTCTCTGTTCAATGACACCAGCTGCAACGTCCGGATACTATTTGTCTTGAGGATGGGTGGGGCGATCAAAAGGATGTCAGGTATCATTTGAAAAATATACATACTGTATATACTGTATGCAACACATTGATGGGAGAAAGGTATTCATATAGCCGGGCTATCGCCGATCTGCTGATTGTGAATCTCAAAAGATATTGAATGTACATATACTGTAGAAGTCACTTACAATAAACTGAAAAATTACGCTTGTTTACACCGCTAATGATGCTTACTTGAAGGAGCCACATAAAAAATACTGCAGAAGAGCACGGCGCAGTACCAGCAATAAAACAACACTGCAGCAGGTCTTCCACGCGTATTTTGCACCACTTACATCGCAGTTCAGCATGACAGAATCTAGGCATGACCGTTCAAAAGGAAAGTTTTCATCACACTGACATTTCATGCATCCCCTATCATCCGCCACTCTTTACTCTTGCTACTCATAATTTTACTCCCAGCTTTAACTCACCTTGGTTTCTGATCGCCTGCCATGATCCTCGATCTTTCTCCCCGCTATGCAATCCGGGTTTACATTCATTCGGCTTCTTTCTTCTGCATAGACCGTATCATTCAACTCCACCCGTAAATATATATATATATATATATGTATCAGTCTATTACACCCTGCGGACCGTTAGTTTCTACAGGACACTTTTCGCTGTTTATCCTGTGGCTGAATATCATCCCATGTTGGTGTCCGTCTAACGGCTCTTGTTTAACCTCATTATTTCTCTTATGTCTGCCCCAAACTGAATCACTGCAGTCATGGATCTCGCCACCCTATCCACCTTGTTCAGTTACTCAGGTCTTCCGTAGGTCCCAGATATTTTCTTCATTGTCTCCTTTATAAGAATACCGCTTTTTCCAAATGCGAGGCAGGTTCCCCGCAGCCCTGTAACACAGCGAATAGAAAAGTGGTGAGAGGCACACAGGATCACTTCCTACATGGTAAATCCCTCAAAGAGGCTGTTACTAATAATGTACCAGCACATGTGATAGCTGCGGCTATTTCTCCTGCTGCGTTGAATTCTGGTAGATGTAGTCGTCATAGGACAGTAAAACACGGATATCACCAGAGGCGGATGAGAGAGCAGTAATAAGTCATATTTTAAAACACCGTTCAAAAATAAGTGCATCTTGTTTAGTCGTTAGCCATGCATTTATTTGCCAAAAACCACATATTTAAAACATATTCATTCAATAAGAATGGATTCGACCTCAATTATAAATAAACCTTAAACTGCTGTGCACTTTAATAATAGACTACGTGTTCCATTTTCGGTATTCATTCCATTTTTTTTTCATCTTAACCAAAAGTACACATATTTCTCTTTGCCCATTTTAACTTACTCGTGTGCAACACTGATCCACTGCAATAAGAACAGGCCTGCTATTCTTTTTTTATTGTATTTTATAGTAGCACGAGATAAACAGGAAAACGTCTTCAGTTAGTTTATTTCGGTAAATAACCCCTGTGCTTAAGTTTACTGTGAGTACACGCTTATGGTTTTATTTTTTCACTCTTTTATACAATATAAACGCAGCCACCTTTGGTGCAATGTAATAGCTATATACCACCGCCAGAGTAATGCAATGCAAGACGATGACGTCATCCACCGTCGCAAAATGACTCTGCAATGTTCGCTTCATTTCTTTATTTGTGACTAGAAGATAGGTAGGCAAGTGGTGAAAATGCGCCGTTTTACAGAAACGAAACAAATTTTACTGAATCCAAAACGACATCAAAAATAAATTCATCCTCAGCCGTTGTCTTCACATATCAAAAAAACATAACATAGCCTAGTTTTATTAACGCAATAGACCATCAGTGTACTTACATCGGATCGAACAAGTTGTGTCCGACCGCATCTTATTAATTTCGTGTGTTTTTCGGTCTCTTTTCCTCCATCATCCTTTTCACCCCAGGGGTACACTGGGTGTTTTACATGGGTAAAGGCCACACTGGCATCAGTATCGGGTGCTCAGAGGAATGATCATGTATTACTCAATGATATATTAGTTCACCTTATCATCTTCGAACAAGTCCGATACTGCAGAGATCCCTTAATTATCAAATCAACATAATATGATTACGTTATCTGAAGAAAAAATATTTTAAGAAATGTTAAAAAAAAAACTCTGGACTGGATTCAAGAAAACGTGTTATAAAAGAATAGTAAATAGACTGGTAAATCATCAATTTTCTATTTAATCTCATATCTTTTACCTGTGTCGATTTTAATGGGAGTATGAAAATTTAGATAAATACTCAATATAATTTAATACATGCCTATGTGAATGAACTATAAGCGCGCGCGCACACACACAGAAGCAATTAAAACTGGAATAAGTTTGTGAAATTATTCAAGGTATGAACAACCTGTATTGTGGCGTTTCGTCCACCGCAGTATTTCATCAACACTGAAATGCTAAACTTTTGACATAATATATTTCTTGTCGTTATAAAGTGAAATCCTTACATAATACAGTAAAGTGAGTGAATCAGGTCATCACAACCATATGACAGTGTGCAACCAACCTCTCACGCTACTTAGCATGGCTGGATAAATATAATCAATCTATGTATAACAGGATATCTAGGGCTGGCAGTAGAAAGAGGCGGGCGACCGCAGGCCGAATGTGGGCTGCAGCTAATTGCAAAGGGAAAATAGCACAGAAAACAGCTACTGAAAACGACAGACTCATAAAATGTGTGTAAAGCTAGGGAGAGATAATTCCCTGTTTGGAGTGAGAGACACACTGCAATATTATCCAGCAGCAGGACAGCATTTGCAAACTTGCCATAAAACAAAGCACAATGGTCAGTTATAAGGCTAACTGTCATATGTCGTGATTCTTCAATCTTCACCAACAGTCTAATCATGTATTGTATTAATTGTATTAATGTATTAATATGTTACATATACAATTAGCTGTGAATTAAAAACAGTATAAATGTAATGTATATTATATAAGCAATTGTTTAATTGTGGAAGATGGCTTTTTGTGTCCACGCTCACCAGTGTCTAAGACAACTCCGACACTATCCAGCAATATTGCTACTGCGAAGTTATTTTTTAAGCTAGTGAGAAGATAGGCATCATAACTGAACTTCTATTACGGGATGGATGGATGGATGGATATTTGAACCTTCTTCAATAAGCACGTGATTTAAAAGGGGTTGTTATAATGACGCTTTTCCACTAGATGGCGCAGAAGTACGGCACAAAATATTTACACAAAACCCACATGATGACGGTCGTTTACAAATTCTGGTGATGTAAAGGTGATTATTAATTTTTTGCAAATAATTTAGGCCTTTATATATAATAATAATAATAATACTCCAATGAATACAACACTTATTGGCGCTATGTAAATATGAATCATGGCGTCCTTTGAAAAAATGTTCTCCATGACGATCATGAGACAATAACTTTGACTTGTTATATATGTTCGCGTCTATATTAATTTAATAATAATAATATGAGATTTCAGGGCAATCGCTCAACTCGAGTACCTTAGCCTCTATTTTTGGGTTCGAGACTTTGGGGCTGAACTTAGTGAATGACACATATAAATTATAAATGGTCAGATAAAAAGGTCACTGGGATCTGGCGTGATTAGCGAAAACCATTAATGCACTAGGTGGCGGCCATTCCCAACAATTAATAATGATTTCAATAAAGACGTTCACTGATTTGATTCAAACGTTTAGCTTTCGACCTATAAACAGAAAATGCAAAATATGCAATATATAATATATAGGCTATATTATATATTTACTTTGGTGGTGGGGGGGCAAACAATGGTGTTTAAAATTTAACAATGAGGTGTACTTGTCACCCTCCCATTCCCTTGGTTCCTGCACCCCCAGATTCCAGGACCAACTTTTAATCCCAGTCCAGCCTCGGATAGAGTATGTAATATTCTTGAGGTTATATAATGTAAAATTTCACACGTATCTCAATCGTGCATGCAATTCAGTATATAAATAACCCTACTCCCATGTAGGATGTTCTGACTAGGTGCTTTCCCTTTAGTGGACTGTAGTGCCCCCTCCCTCCAGATAACTGAATTTATGCTAGTTGTAATATTGCTTGTAGCCAAGTACTGTGCTTCAAATCAAAATCTCTTGTTGGGATGTTTGTAATCCGTGACTCCTTCTGAATGAATACTTAAATATTATCTCGTATTTCTAATTCATAGATAACATTTTACGTACCTTTTTTTAACTGTGGAAACTTCAGAAATCCAACCATCCATTTCCTGAAACCACTTATCTTGTTCAGAGTCACAGGGAGTCTGGAACCTATCCCAGGCTACAGGCACAATGCAAGGAGCAACCCAGGATGGGGCACCAACCCATCACCAGCTGCATGCGCACACACACAATGTGGTAACTCCAATTAGCCTCAGCATGTTTATAGACTGAAAGGGGAAAACAGAGTACCCAGTGGAAACCCCATGAGAACACAGGGAGAACATGGAAAACCTACGAGAACACAGGGAGAACATGGAAAGCCCATGAGAACACAGGGAGAACATGGAAACCCCATGAGAACACAGGGAGAACATGTAAACCCCATGAGAACACAGGGAGAACATGAAAACCCAATGAGGACACTGGGAGAACATGGAAACCCCATGAGAACACAGGGAGAACATGGAAACTCCTCAGGCAGGAAACCCAAAGCCAGGTCCCCAAGGTGTGAGACAACAGTATTAACCACCATGCTACCCTGCTTCGGAAATCATCAACACATTCCATTAGTTGGTTTTTTAAAGATTTTTTTTTTTTACATGTCACAGGCACTTAGTGTTGTAAAGGAAGGGAAAGTTAGGATGATGATAGGGGCCCCTGAGTGACAGGGAGCCTACAAAATTCAGAACACACTTGGATTGGTCTGGGTTTGGGGTCCAATATGATGCACTTTCATGGGGTGTGATATCTCCAGAGGCTCCCGGCTTGCTCTTTTCATGGTGTTTTTTCACTTTTCTGGAATAATGAATGACTTTGGGTAATTTGTAGACAGGCTTCTTTGCTAGTGCAAATTGTTCACTAAGTTAGAGCCAATATTCAACTTACCATGGAAGAATCATCACTAGCTGTGATGCACTAGAACAGTGTTTCCCAATCTGGTCCTCGGGGACCCACAGACAGTCCAGGTTTTTGCCCTACATGGAGCTGGGAGGGAGCAAAAATGTGGACCGGCTGTGGGTCCCCAAGGACTGGATTGGGAAACACTGCACTGGAAACACATTGTTCCTTTCTTATGTGTATAGGATATGGACCATAAGGCATTGGGCAGCATGGAGATGCAGCAGCTAGCAATGTTGCATAACACCTCTGGGACCAGGGTTCGAGTGTCCACCAGGGTTCCATGTGTGTGCAGTTTGCATGTTCTCCACGTGTTGTCATGGGGTTTCCTCCAGGTACTCCGGTTTCCTGGCTAATTGTTGCCAAACTGTCCATAGGTGTACATGCGTGAGTGTGCCCTATGATGGGTCAGCACCCCACCCTGAGTGGTTCCCCTGCCTCGTGCCTGTAGCCTCTGGAATAGGCTCCAGACCCCCCGTGACCCGGAATAGGATAAGTGGTTTCAGAAAATGGGTGGATTGATACAAGGCATTACTTAACAGCCATGCAACAGGTCTTGTAGAAGCGATGACATTATTCCTTAAGTGTGTTAGTTTTATAAATACAGTATTTCAGTGAAAAGGCCTGATCCTTTAAGCCTGGTATAAAATGTTGAAAAATAAGTCCAGCTGTCCTCAACGATTCCAGCTGTGCGTTACATCTGGAGTCTGGCCCCACTAATCCTCTGTCCGTCTCTCTTCATCCCTTTACTGGTGAGTGAAAAAAAATTTTGCTTAGTGATTATAAATCTCCCAAATGGCTTTCGCTGCATTTACAGAGAAGCAAAAAAAAAATTCACTCTCAGTCCCTCTGATTGATTTGGATTTAGTCTATAACCTGGTATAATATTGCTTCTCTTACGCCATGCAAAAATGGGTTTTGTCGTTTAGCGGCAAAGGTGGCACGCTTATCGAAACAGACCACCAAGGCGCTGGAGCTCTGCTTACCTTGGAGCTTGTTAACTTACTGGCGCAAGTACCGCTGGAGGCTCCGGTCAAACCGGGCCAGCCAATCAGAGAGCGAAGGGGTGACGTCAAGTCATCTGCAGCTCATTGAGATGAAAGGGGAACGCTGAGACTGGGCAAGGCTTCAAACCACGGTCTAGCATTAAACGCCGAGCCCAATGATAAACCTAACAAACAGACAGGATCGCACGGGGGGTGGTGACACTGGAAGCGGGAGGGTTTGTGATTTTAAAAGAGAATAAAAGTTATCTTCCCGCTTTCTGTTCCGAGTTTTTTTCTTTTCTATTTCCTAATGATTTCAAATGGTTTATGCATCACCGATAATACTTTGTGACCGAATGGACGTGTTTTAAAGTGCTGGTGTCTGACCACTGCTGGTTAAGCTTTGATGTGCACGCCGATCACAGATCAGATTACACGGCTTTGATCGCGACCATCCCCTGCCTTTGATCTACGTGCAGATTTTGTCCTCGATCTGCTGGTTTGTCTGAGTCGCGCAGGCGAGCCCAGCAGAACAAGAGCAATGCTTTTGAACCTCGTGCAGAAGTTAGTGGAGAGAAACGTCGATTTTCCCGACATACAGTAAACAAGTCGAACTTCTTGAACTAAATCAATCTCATTTTCTGGTAAGAAATACGTTTTTTCCTCCTTTTTTTTTGCTATGTGATTTACATTCTCTCCTGTTTCATGCTTACGCTCTGTTGACTTAACAGCAGAAACATTTTTTTATACAGAAGTAGTTAGCTACTAACTTACACAAATTACTTGTAACAGACATGTAATTACATTGTTAAGTTTTGCTGGATAATTTGAAGCTGTATTATAGATGCGCAATGTATACTCCGCTTATGACTGAGTATATATCCAATGCATATTAGCTTTAAAATACAACAATCTTTAGACATAAGTACGTGAAACCGGTATATATGTGAATATATATATACGCAAAACAATTTGGGTGTCTTGGTTATCTGAGAGGAGTCCGATTTCAAATATTTTATACAGTCAGACTGGAACAGAGGTTAAGCAGTAAACAGTTTCGTATTAAAATTCCAAGTAAATCCATGTTTTTGTAGTCAAATGAATTGAGATTAATGTATTACGCACTTTCGCCTTAAATACAGAAAACTTTAAGCAGCGAAATCACATCATATTAAGTCTTGTATTCGCCGGTACCTTCAAATCTGACTGAGCAGTACTATCTGGAAAATGTTGGTTTAAGATACGAACTGCGCGCAGTTGATGATTTAAGTAGGTGTCTGTTCTCATAATCACAGTTTATTTTTTTTTTGTTGTTGTGATGAAGTCAACCATTTTGGAAATAGGGAGTAAAACCACTGTGTGGAAGACGAGCAGAAATCTTTCAGCCTCTTAGTTTATTTAATTCTGCCCCTTGTTTGACATTTATCATTTATGATTTAAGAATAAAAAGTTTAAAGGACATGCTAAATTTAAAACGCTAAAGTTCCTACTTGTCACTGATATATGAAATCATTTGTTGTAGTTCAAAGTTGTAAAGTGAAGGCTAACCTAGTGTTTTAACAATAAACGTGAATCAAAACCCCTTACTAGCGGGCTATTATTTGGCTGGGCTAAGTTTCAGAAAGATGAATACAACAGAATGTGATGATATATCGCCCACGTCCTCGTATCCTAAACAACCTACTAAAAATGATCCATGTTCTCTGTCAGCTGGAAGCACAGTTGTGTGGTCCAGCCTATGTTGGATGTCTTCGATGTCCTTAGCAGATGTGTCTCTCAGTCACACACATTTAAAAGTGAGGATCCGTGTTGCTTTAGTAGTCTTCAAAATCTTGTTTTTGGTGAATCGTTGGTAAATCGATATTCTATACACCTAAGGCAATCAATCAAACAAGAACCTCAAAGTTAAAAATGGATTGTGTTTTGTTCTAAACAATACAGGATGCACAATAGCCATATATAATTCATCCATTAATAAACATCTATGGTGAAGTAATCATGTAATGTGTTTTTATTAAAGTATTTAAAGTATTTCTTTATCATAATCTCCCCCAAATAGGGAATATGGGCTTACATTTAAATTGTGCACCCCCCAATATCAAACTCATTCCTATCCCACTGCGTGTAGGCGTAGATTATGAATTCTCTGTTTAACAGTCTCCTTTCCTTAACAGCGTGGATAAGCTAGACCCACCCCCCACCCACCCAGTGCAGATCCACAAATGGCCAGGAGACTCCAGCATGGTGGGGTGTCTCTGCTGGACCTGCTGATAGTCTGCTCGCTCCTGGTGAGTTGGCCTTCAGAAGGTGACGCGCAATAATGTCCGTCGCCATCATCTCAGGCCTTCACGGCGAGTTGGACGCCTCAAGTACTGAGGACATTGTCCCTCTGTGAATAGGGTTTATGGTGCTCTTCGTGATGAAGAACGTCATCGCAGAACAATCGTAAGCGATACGCTGACCCTGGCGTACATTGTCCCTCAAAGCGGTCTGGAACTCCAGGGCTCTGAAATGCAAAGATGACATTGTGGCCTGATTTGATAACCTGCTTTCTATGTACTTTTTATGATAATCTCGGTATGTATCAAGACAAGGTTAACAAGTTCATCATGAAATGTGTGTGGGGGGTGCAAGACTTAAATTTGGGTACAAGGTCTGAGATGTCTATCTGTTCCAGGGTCTGGGAACAGCTGAGGAACTACGGGAATGCAGGGAACAGGAGTACAAGGACCAGTCTGGGAGGTGCATAGCCTGCAGGCAGTGTGATGCCGGCCAGGAGCTATCAAAGGTATGTAAGCTGTATTGTCGTGCGGCGCAGTCAAGTAATTCAGTTATCCATTGGGTAGTGTGTGGCTGTAATGCTAAGCTAATGCTAACGTGTGCTGTCATTGGTCACTGGAGTCTGCCATTGCTGGGCCTTTTTGATTTGTGAATGGCACTCTGTCAGCACCTTGTTCTGAAGACATGCTGTACAGTGGGTTATAGGTCTTTTCATTTTCCCGAGCGCCGAACAGGTTATTGGCCTGGACTTGCAGTAGGGACAATAGGTCACGTCATGGTTGGTGTGGCAAGTTAGACGATAACAGGTACACAATCTTCTATTGTTTATTTGCTGTTCCTGTGGTTTTTGTTCTGCATTGAGACCTTCCATCCTAATAGACAATGCTAACAGGTGGATGGGCATGCTAATGTGGATGTGGTCACTCTTAAAGCCAAACTTTCAGCCAAATATGGCAAACTCTATGGCTTTTATGCTCAGGTCAGCTTTAAAGGAGTGTACTGTATGAATGGAAGGCTTCAGTAAAGCATATTGGTTCCTATCCAAGTCCTGTATTTAATACTTTCTTTCATGGTGAAAATGGCCAAACCATTATTGGCTTCTGTTGAAATCTGATCTGACATCAGTCACACCCTACCTTCTGACTTTATACTGGAGAGAGTATCATTTTTTTTTTATAAAAAATTGTTTTATAAACTATTGTCCTTCATAGTCACCTTTTGGGAAAGTCACTAACTGCATTAAAGGGATATGACTTTTTTTTTTTTTTTTATTTGCCTGAAACAATATATAGACTCACACCATGATAATCACATGTGCAAATGTATTACAGCTGAACACATAAATATGTAATTTAAACCTAATAACTATTATCATTTCCAAGAAAATAAAAGAAGTTGTGTGAATATCGGATAACTGAATTACACACAGAGATTTAGGCTAGTGTGATTACTTACTAGAACCACAGTCTCGTAATTGACTTACCTTTAAGACTGGATTGCGTGTTTTTTTTTTTGTCCCCACACATATATTCATGCATACCCACAACAGCGATTTATATACCTCATCACAGCTGTTGCTCCTCTGCCGGTTCCTATTGGCCAGGAGGGCGGCGAGCAGGGATCCCCATGGTGCCGGTTAATAATTGTTTCCTTCATTTATGCGAGTGGAAGAGGGGGAGTCACAGAGTCACAGAGCTACCAGGCAGTAGGGAAAGCTGCATTGCAGGAAAGCGGAAGACTCAGCCCAATGCACTGAACCCTGCAATCCATACAGATTCTTTTCTAATAGATTTAAACTAGTTTTACTCTCATTTGGTCCGATTGATTCAAAGCGATGCATTTCCATTCCAGTTTCCCTTATCACTTGATGAGAATCTTTTTTTTCCTTCCTTTTCATTTCCTTACACCCAGAAGAGTGAAGATGATGATAAAGAAGAACATAGTGTCATATATATATATATATAAAAAAAGCACGATAAATAGCTAGATCAGTGAATAACTAAACCTCGGGGGACTATCGCTGTCTTTGTCTGGCCAAAGCGTGGCCCGAAACGGACACAGAAACGTGGGTGCGGCCTGATTACATTCACACATGATGAGCGGCAGCTTCACTTCACGCAGTGCTTTCTGAATAAGAACTTGGAGCAGCCTTTGTACAGAAGGTGGTTAAAGAAAAAAAAAAAAACATTTTGTAGATCTTCAGATTGCATCATTGCCACTATGGAGAAGATCCTGAATTAAACAGTGCAGAAATTCCTTTCCTCGCCACGTGTAAATCTGTGTGTCACTGAGACCCTCCTGTTTTTGTGTACGTGCCGCATCTATGATTTTGACCTCGCTTTTAAAGCTCTCCATCCTAATTCCACGCTTGTGCTTGCACAAAGCCAGCCACGAGTGTGGAGAAGGCAGAAGACAGGAGTCTGAGAGGATACAGTTTTCCCAGCACGGGCCATGCAGTGGCCTGAGTCGCAGGGAATGCGAGATGGCGCAGCGTGTTAACAAACTCGCATTGTTTTCTGGCCCCATGCTTTACTGGATCAGATGACTCGTCGCCCCTAGGGACTCTTCTGATTCCTACTTAATCTCCAAAATATATATCTGCGTCTGAACACGCTTCAGCTTTCCTCAGCACACTCCTCTACCGCGCTTGTCCTGTGTTTTATTTGGCCTTCTCGCTGAAAGTTGATTTGAAGATAGATGGGGGAAATGAGGACTTACATGTACTAACTTCGCCACCAATTCGCTTGGTTAAGCTGCCCTGTTCTCAGCTGAAAGACTCCGTCGGGCAGTGAAAAGTCATCCGGCTCTCAGCACTAAGTGTGCGAAACACGTTTCTGTTCCTCCCCGAGGTTCGCTGGCTCCCTTGAAGTCCTATTTTATACCTGTCTGCTTCACACAAGTCCCGGATGCCTGGACTTTTGTGAAGAGTGTGAACACTGCAGAACGGCGGACCTTAATTTGGTGGCGAAGCGTCCAAGCGCGTTGAGGTCACTCTAACCTCCATAGTAACCGGCCGTTCGCTGAGAGGCCAGGAGAAGCACAGAGGCTTGGGTAGAGTAGAAGCCAAGCCTGCCTCTTCTCTGTGGTTTGTGGTCTCTTTCACCCAAGGGCAGAATGCCCTGTGACCTAAAGTGCCCGGCCTCTCAGTTTCCTATCCTTTATTATGGTGTCTTATGATATTCCTCCCAGCTCTGGTCTGCCCTGCTCTGTTCCCAGCATGGCTTCTTGGCCTGCCTTATATGGAGTACGGACAACAACAGCTGCAGCCCTGCCCTGCCCTGCCCTGGCGGCCAAGCCCCACCCACACGCCCTTTTTAGGGTGGGCCTGACTGGCAGCTCAGTCTCTCCCGGGGAAAGCTGGCAAAGGTCGATGGATTCCTCACCCTCAGAGGTCTCGTCTCTGTGGTGCCATAATTTAATGCCCCCCCCCCCCAACTTTCATTTTTTTTTGTCAGTTTTCTCAACTTTGTTCTATGTAGCCTACATTCCTGGCACAGATGTACAGCCGGCCTGTGAAAGGGGACGCGGTAAAGTGATCCTTCTGAAGTTACCCTCCGTGTTACTGACACACGCAGCCTTTGACACCCTCATTTCTGCTTGGTATGTGGCGTGTTGGACTGTTAAAAGGGCCGTCAGTGATATCAGTTCAGGAGGCCCTGTTTGTGAGGTGTGGATGGCGTGTGTCTTTGTAAACTCCTTAGGTTTCCTGTTTTATAGCTGGCATTCGTTATTGGGCCCATTCGGACTGCTTTCTGGCGGGGGATCGGCTTTAAGGCCAAAGGTTGCCGGCGTTTTGGGGACCAGAGCAATCACATGCTCGTACCTCCCACATGACTGCAATTAGCAGATTATAGATCACATGTGCTGTGTTTCACAACAATGAGAATCCCAGCCGGTTCATTTTGAGGAAAAAAAGAAAACCTTATCCTTGTTTTAAACGCTTGGCAGCATATCTGGAAGACAAAAAAAAAAAAAAATTCCCCACACAACAAAACAGTGGTTTCCACATTCCCTAGACCGAAGCGGAGTTGAAAAGGACGTCCTTTATCTGGGCCCATCTGCACTGGAGCTGAAAGCTCTTCTGAGCTCCAAGGCACAGTGGAACTACTGGAATGTGAAATATGGGATCCGAATCGATTGTTGTTTTCGAATGAGACGATAAAGACTCGCTTACTGCACAAGGGACCGCCTTTTCCAACAGCTATGCCTCAAAAACACTCGTTTTATGGGACTTGATCCCAAATATGTTGCTAAACCCTACGGCTTTGCCGAATGCAATGCAAAGACCCTCCTGAGTACTGTGAGGACACAAAGTCAGAGATGTGCTTTTATGGGCGAGAGGAATAAACAAGTGTTTCCCGAACTCTTACAAGAACCAGATGTGTCCCTTAATGTGAGCCGGCTGCGAGTACTGTGGGCGGATTAGGCCAGCTTGCCAGGCACTGGTCGTACAGCCAGGGCAGTTACTGTGATCTGAATTGCCTAATTGTCAATTTCCAGGCAAGCAGACTCTGTATCACATCACAAATATTTGGTGAGGCATTCAGCTTCATTTCCTGTATTTGGCAAAAAGGCTCCGATACTATAACATAAGTGTAAGTGTAGGGAGACACCGTTGTATGAATGGACGTTTGATTTCAACATTGGTAGGGACCAAATCAGCCCCGAACCCCCCGCCCCCCTAAACACACAGTCCATACTGTCTATGCCCAAATCTATACCCCTGCACTGTTGCCTCACACCTTCACGAATGTTCTACCAGTGCGGGGGGGGGGCATCCTGCTCAGCCGTCTTCCATATGTCCCCTCGGATGACCTCCCCCCCCCCAAGTATAGGCAGTCAGAAGATGGACGGATGTAAAAGTAATGATATACACCATAGCTCATGATATGCATACAAGATTAAATGTCAAAACAGTTTATTGTGAGAGATGTAAATCGGTGCAGCTCTATGTTTGAGTGAAATGGCAGTGGCTTTCCTCTGAAATGGGTCGAGTCGGGCCACAGTGAGGTGTATGTGATGGAACATTGCTGTACGGGGAGTACAAAGGGGGGGGCAATGGGCAGGGGTGATAGTGTGGATTTCCTCTGCATGAGCTGCACGGCAAATCCAGGCATCCGATCTCCCTCTTGGGGTGGCGCCCCCCCCCCCCCCCCCCCCCCCCCCCCCCCACCCCCTCTGACCGCTCCGACTAAAGCTCTCCTTTGTCACACATGGTTCGGTATTGCAGAGCAGCTTGTCTGCTTCGGATCCTGAACATCGGTGGCCTGTCATCCTCTTGTTCTGAAATCGGCAGCAGGCCTCTTGCGGCCCGCGGCTGATTTCTCGCCTGAGACACTGAATGACTAAGTTACCTTTGTAGCCGCTTCAAAAGTATATGAACCGTACGTTTGCCCCTCGCAATTCTGCTGCGTCTGCGAGTCGCTCGCATTCCGCCTAAAACCATCTCCTTGGGTTTTCCGGTTCATCTCTGTAATTTAGAAATCCTCTGAACCAGTTAGCAGCGAGAACCAGTTTTCAGCGATTAAAAAGACAAACGACCACGGGACAGGCTTAAACAAACAGATGCTGATTAATAATCAGGCACGGTTCTGCTACGATGGGGTTCATTGAAGCTGATGATAGCGCTAACAGAGAAGGAGGAGGGACCCGGTGGGGGGGTTTGAGGGAGGGGGGGGGGGGGGGCTGGTTACCGGAAACTTCCATTGTGGGCTGGTCTCCCTGTGCGCCCTCTCGGCCTGAATAGCGTGTGGTGCTTGTGAAGTTCAGGCAGAAGAGGAGATATGCAAGTCTTGGCTCCTTCCCCCGAAATCTCTGGCGCTCCCGCAGCCCCACGGTCGCCTTCAGCACGTCGGCCTGGGCCAAGACTCGCCGCATTCACACAGTCTGTTTAGGAGGAGAAAAATGGAACAATAGAGCCAGCAATAAACTTGTAATAATACAACAGTAGGTGTCCGGGAGTGCTTTTATCATTCAAATGGCCAGCTCGCTGCGGACTATAGCGGAAGGCTCTAGAGGAACGGCGGGAGTAAGGGAGATTATTGCAAGTGGGAAATGGAAGGGGCAGACCTTTTGTGCGCTAGAATTTTGCACGCTGAGATTGTCATTTTATTGAGTTTCCTCCTCCACCCGTTCCCTCTTTCGTATCCTTTCTCCAGACGGTCACCCTCCCCCTCCTCCCCAAAAAAAGCCCCACGCTCCCCTCACCTCTTCATCGGTCGGATATCTCGCGTTAATCCCTGCAGGAATGTGGCTTCGGCTACGGGGAGGATGCCCATTGCGTGCCCTGCAGGCCCAACCGCTTCAAAGAGGACCGTGGGCCACAAAAATGCAAGCCCTGTCTGGACTGTGCCCTCGTCAACCGCTTCCAGAAGAGCAACTGCTCCGGCACCAGCAATGCCGTATGCGGGGACTGCATGCCCGGGTAAGCGGCTCCGCCATCCTAGGGAAGCAGGTATCATCTCATAGTGTCCAGTGCATTAAATTTGCCCCCCCGCCCAAAAAAAATGCAAGACGTAAAAATGATCCAGCAGCAAAAAGTCTTTTGACCAATAAGCTAAACTCATAGTGCAATATACTTGCATAAAGATGCAGAATGTGAATTTTTTGGCTCGAAAAGCATCTGCTTAGAAGTTAAATTATATGTTTGATCTACCATCTCTGATAAAGGGATTCTCTCTTAACGGCAGGGCCAGGAGGCTTGTGGGATAGTTTTACATTGTGCACTAACAAAGAAGAGGGATTGTAGAGTGAAAGACGGCAAATATTAATGGATGACAGGTATAGGGCTATGAAATGCGTAGTTTTCTTGTGATAATAAATTAGCAATTCTGATGCAAAAAAAAAGCCTAAAAAGTACGTTTCAGAATACATTTCTTAATATTGATATTATCTTTTTTTTTTTTTTTTTTTACAGGTTTTACAGGAAGACTAAGTTAAGCGGATTTCAAGACATGGAATGTGTACCATGTGGTGACCCTCCACCTCCATATGAACCTCACTGTAAGTCTTCCAGACCGAGCTGCCTTCTTCTGACTTTATTCCGGGGCCTTTGTGATTGGCTGGAGCCTTTAATGCTCAGCAAAAGGCAAAGTCTGATGGTCCTCTTAGCAAGAAGTGTAAACATTAAGACTTTGCTAGCTGGGCTAAATCGGCACTTAACGTTAAACATTCTCAGTGACTATAAAGCAATTCAGTTCTGCCTTGCATCTGATCCAGAAACGTCAAGTCCGTATCCTTATATAGCTGCGTACCCCATTAGAACAGGCCTCTGCTCCAGTTACATTTACGTTTCCAAACATTGAAGTTAAGTACAACCTGAAGACCAAAGGGCCTCGAGCAGAGAGAATCGGTTAGCAGAGTCACGTATTTGGTCCCCGAGTGTGACTTCCTGGTGGCAGCGGAGATGGCAGCCGCCTACCTCAGGCTTGGCACGCGATGAGTGTGCATGATCGAGCCAGGTCTAGCACCGGCCTGCGAGACACACAGAGACCCCGAATTCTGCTGGAACTTATCAGGCAGCTTGGAAGCCGGAGATCGCTTCATGTGCTGAGCTCAAGTTAAAAATAACTTCTTCTTTTTTTTAAAATTTTTGTCAGCTCAGAGTATTTAGGCTCCAAAATGATATCTGTAAAATATCTGGTCTTGATTCAACTTCTTGGCCTTTACTTTCAGAAGAAATTTGCAATAGACCATTTGTGGTGGTTCAGATACAAAAACTCATAATGAGAAATGCAGAAATTAATATTGATGGTAAAATAATAATAACAATAAATATTATTAATTGTTGTTATTATTATTTATTCACCATGATGATTATTATTATTAATAATAATAATAAATGTAATTTTTCTCCATACCATATTTTTATTACAGCAGTCTTGCATTTTAATGGCAAATTCCTGTGAAACAGTATAGCCATTGTATCCTTTAGTAAAATTGGCAAACAATTGAATTCCTGTGGAGCAATTCCAAAATGTTAAAGTACAAAAAAAAAAAAGCTGTCCTACCCCCTCCCACGACGTTATCTCGCAGTGAAAACTGAAAGGGCAGATCATTTTAATAGGCGCGCACTGGCCTCGGGCTACCATCCAGCTGCACGCGGAGGCCCGTGCGAAAAGAACCATAAGCCTCTGGCCACTTCAGTCCCCAGGACACGCTTTAAAGGGACAGGTCGCACCTTATTGGATGCCTTTACATCCTGGGGATTAGTCCAGTTACATCGCTCGTTCTTTGCAGTTGAAGATTAACGCGCACCGAAGACAATTATCGTCAAAGAGCCCAATGCATGTGCCAGATGACAAGACTGGATAGAATAATGTCAGAGTATTTGAACATTAACAAAACACAATTTGAATAATAATCACCACAAACTAAAAACCAGAATCCATAACTTTGATTATATACTTATACTATATCCTAAGTTGAAAGGTATTTTACTATACAGTTTTTAAAATAACATGCAATATATGTCTACTGTAAGAAGTATGTCATCAATAGTGCAGAAAATGCATTGTTTGTATAGTAATTATTACAGAAAAAGTTTCAGGCATTATTTTAAAAACTATACACTAAAATACCTTCAAACTCAGGATTCAGTAAGTGTAATGCTGTATTGCATGGTATAGAGGTTTCTAACATATTGACATTGACATGATAAATTACTGACTATGTGGGAGAACATACATTATGTCTATTTAAGGTGGCGCAGATCCTGCAAATAAGAAACTGCCAAAAAAGAAACGAACTCCAGCCTCCTAGAAAATCATCAGAGTGAGGAATGTGATTCAGGCCAAGCAGACGCAATGCAATCCAGGAGCACCATAAGCTAAGCAAAGTGACCCACCGGACAGCCAAGAATGGGAACTGAGTTTTATGCTTTTAAGAGTAATTATTTTACAGCACAATTAAAATATTTTATTCTGTTTCACCCACCTCTGCTTTGTGAAGCATTTGCTCTTGGTACAGAATGATGTGCAAATATAATTAAACTTAGCCATAGGCTAACAGATATGTTATGAAAATAACTGGTTATTCTTGCAATAGAGTTTGTTCAAAGCTAACTGACCAGAGCGTGTAAGTAGTCAGCGAAAACCTGATGGTTCCCAGTGACGAACTTCAGCTACCGGCAAATGTAGCTCTGAAATAGGCACGGGTAGCATCTGCTCTAATAAAGAGATGGTTTTACTTTACTGACTGACCAAGTGTGGAGCTGCGATAAGATCAGCAGGTGGAAGAGCCCGACAGACCCCCCCCCCCCCTTAACCCAATAACGTTGGGTTTGCAGTTGGGGGCACAGCTGTACTGGTCCAGCTCCTGCTACAGCGCTTTAGCAGATAGTTTTTGTTAAGTCCTCTTTATTTACATCTACGACATGCCTAGAAAAGAGTGAAGCTGTGAGCACCAGCATGCTTTGCAGAAAGAGAGAGACAAACAACTGTGTGTGTGTGTGCGGTGGGGGGCGATTCTGTACAACCCTGTGGTTTTCACACCCCTATTATGGGGGGGGGGGGGGGGGGGTACTTAAAGCACATCGTCTGTCAACGCGGTCGCTGTGCAGGACAGGGAAACACCACCACACTTTAAAGGGGGGGAACTGAACTTGTATATACACTGGTATATACAATCCCCAGAAATCCCCAGTGCGGCAATACTGTAACAGAAGAAAATGCTTCCAATCCATGCAATATGACACTATTACAGCAGGATCTGTCTAGCAACACTGCCCAGTGTTAATTATATTTATACATGTAGCAAACTACTCTAGAATGGAGTTACCAGTACGAATACTGAAATAGCTGTAATAGACATCCTTTGAGTATCAAAATTACTTTTAAATAAAAAAAAAGGTTCATATTTCTTCGTTTCTATCATTTTTTATAATTAAGAAGTATTATTTATTCTGATTTTCAAGAAATTGATTAGAATTTTACATCCGCCCCACCTTTTTCATTTTTATTTTTCGCTAGATGAAATGCTGAAATGCCCCTTTCCCTTATCGACTCCAATATCACAGCCATGCAGCCGCAGCCAGAGTATTGTTTACACTGCATAACAAAGAGCTCTTGGTTTGGATAAGGCCAGATTGGGATTTGCTTTTGATTAATGCACCGAAAAGCAAACAGGAGTTGAAGGGGGTCATTGAAAATGAATTTTCAAACAAAGAGCCACTTATTTTGTTTGCTACGGATATAAGCTCCTTTTTTCACAGACCGGGACAATTGTGGGCTTTTTTTAGATTTCATATTAACGACATTATGCTGCCAATGATAAAATTAAATGCCTCCACATTCTTGATTTGGGACTTCAATCGCCTGAGAGCAATATTTTAGCACTGTTGACCAGCGTCATATGCCATCGTGATAAAACTCGCGTGTGCGCGTGTTTGCCAAGATTATTTACCACTTAAACATTATAATTTGAAACAATCGATACAGACATCATAAATATTCACCATTGTAGCTGATGTATTTGTTCCGCGCCTCATTCTGGTGAACCGCACAATAAAATGTGAGCTATAATAAGAGGTAATGAAAATGAAAATCCATGTCAGCAAAAATCTGAATGGAACATCCATTATTACTAGCTTTTAGTATGTAATATTTTAAACAGAAACCACAGATGGCAAGTTAGTAAAATACGTAGCTAAGCTTAAGTATAGCCTTTTAACTTAAGTGCACAGCTCTCTTACCATCTACACCAGCTTGTTCCAGTGGCAGCACCTAGGTGTTTGCTGTTAGGGCCCAGATTGAAAGGTTAACATCGGTACAGGGCGGGGGAGGCGAGTCAGGGCAGCCCCCCCCCCAGCAACACCCCAAAGTGACAAACTCAATCCACCCCGTCTCAGATACTCTGCCAAAAGGGGGCCCAGTTCTGTCTGCTTGACGTGAGGTTCCCTGAGGTCAGCAGACAGGAGGCAGACACCTGCGCCAGTGATCCACATGTTTTTTATGATCAAAGTCAGCAATTATTTAAAAAAAAAAAAAAAAAAAAAAAAATGTAATGATGTGCATGTGAACGTTATACCTCATCATTGTAAAAGATTTGTGTTAAAAAGGCCTAGGAAAAAGTCTTAAGGAAAATAAATCTGGGCCAGAATTTCTTATTTCTAGATAATATTCTAGATAATATTTATGATTATTAGTTTTAGACAATAGTATAGGATGCCAAAAGGTAGCGTAAGAAATTTCATTTTACTCATATGTACGTATGTGTGTATTTAGATCTATCTGTTACAGTTGACCTGCTTCAAAGGTACAACAGTTACCACCTCAGTGTTTCTGATCTTGCCGGACCTGCTTTCTCAGGCAGCAGTCGGGTCAACCTGGTGCCCATCCCCTCCACGGTGACCAGCCCCAGGGACATGGCTCTGGCGGCCGTCATCTGCAGCGCCCTGGCCACCGTCCTGCTGGCCCTGCTCATCCTGTGCGTCATCTACTGCAAGCGGCAGCTGCTGGAGAAGAAGCCCAGCGGTAACTCACCTCCCCCCCCCCATCACTGCCAGAGCACCTCGAACATTAGCCAATAAATTTTCTCTACGCCATCATGGCAGATAGTTTGATCGTATCATATGTTCTACCCTGGCTGAGCCAACCGTGGAAGGGGTGACGTATTTAGCACTCGCTGTTGGATACACTCCCTTTGACCTGTAGAAACAAATGCAAGATGAGTTGAAAGATATTACTCATTGTCTAAAGGTGCAGTGCACAGCAGATTTAACTGGTGGTTCACGTCTTCGCAGTATCATCATCATCCCAGGTGGACTCCTATAATGAGGCGGAGCTGTCCTGTTTTGACCGGCGGCGAGTGCATGAGGCTCCCCACAAACCCTGCTGCCAGTGCCACCAAAGCCTCAGCCACACCTGTGGTAGGTTCTCCTCCCTTCTTCTAGCTGTACCTCATCTTAGCCAGGGACTCCCCAAGCTGCTCCTGCAAATCAGACCCCTTTGTTTGCCGGCCCTCCTCCACTTACCATGGTAGTCCACAGGTGCCCTTGGGTGATCTCTTCACACATTCCTGCAGCCCGGTCTCAACTATGTCAGATTAACCCTGGGTCGTTGTTTTCAGTTGAATAGCCTTGAGGCAGAGCTGTTTGAAGTTTGCAGTAAAGGGGCAGCCTCACGCTGATCGTCTAGAATCTATTTGCAGCAGTAGAAGAGTAGTTTGGAAAGGTGATCTTCTTTCTCTTATAGGTCCAGTCCATTTGATCCCTTCCCTGTGCTGTGACGAGGCCTGCAGCTTGGACCGCAGCAGGGAGACCAGCCCGTTCCACTCCTTAAGCGACCTGAGCGAAGTGTACGAACCGCTAAGGATACAGATGGGCTCATCTACCCAGACGTAGCCTCCAGTTGTTTGCTCTTGTGAAAAAATATATATCGGCACCCTCTCCTGGCACAGTTTTTGGCTCTTGCTGAACTAGAACATCAATACCTTGATTTAAATATGATGAAACTCACTAAACTTACCAGCGTCTAAAGTCAATGTTTTCTTGACCAGTGGCTCCCTTAAAGATAAAAAATGAGCCTATACAAATACCGGATTGGGGCAGTGCGTGGCTTAGTGGGTTAGGACACTGTGGTTGTGATCGAAAGGTCGCAGGTTCAAATCTTCTGGGACACATTTCCTAAAAGCATAGTTGCTAATAACTTTAGCACCTTCTAGCTATGCAAGTTACTAATGGAAGCTTTTGGGAAACATACCCCTGGATGATGTCACCATTGGGTCCCTGAACAAGGTCTTTAACTTTGACTGCTTCAGGGACACTGACTGACCCTGCCTTCTCAGTCACTTTGGATAAAAATGTCTGTTAAATATGTGACGTGTTTTACTTAAGTTCAACAGACCCACAATATGCAGTAACTGAATAAATCATGCAGTGGTTAAAATCTGCATACTGAAACTTCAAATGCCTTCCATTCTTCCAGACAATTGAACCATTTAGATGGGAGAGTCCCACTGTACCTTGGAGGACTGTCAGAGTCGACAGAGTCCTGGCCACTGATGCAGAACCTGGACACTGCAGGGAGCCTTGATCTGTCCCAATGTGCCCCAGAGCCAAAGGAACGGGACGTTGGCTCCTTAGAAGACAACGAGATGGAAGGCAGCTGGGGAGAAGAAGCTCCCACACCACAGACCCCAAAGCTTAGTGTCAACCAGAACACAGAAGACCAGCAGCAGCAAGATCACACACCACCTGTACAGAATGAGCCCCAGCCAAAGCTACCACAGCCCTGCTCCTGACGAGGTAAAACCTCACAGAGAAAACCAGAGGATCTGAGAGCTTTGTAGATGTATGTTCACTAACAAAGGTGGATAGTTCAGGTCCAGAAAGTAAAAATCCAGAGCAAGATTTTGTTTCAATCTACCAGTTGAGTACTTTGTGATTGTGACTCTTTATGCTCAACTGGTTGGTTGAAACTAAATTTGCCTGGATTTTTACTCTCTGGACCTGAACTATCCACCTCTGTTCACTAAGACAGTTAATCCCAAAATGTCACTGGCTGGATTGGTTTCTGCTGTACTTTCCAGTCATATTTAAAATTAAAAACAGTGATTTGTGGATATAAACTTGACACTGTTAGTTTGGCATTAAAGAAATTAAATTAAAAAGCAAGTTTGGCCACAAACATCAGTCTACACAGAAGAAAACTGCAGTAAAAGGGAGGGGGGGGGTGGCCTTAATTTTTCAATTATTGCCCCAAATGAAGCGTGCATAGTCTCTAGATCTATCACTGAACAATAATATATCAGACTAATTATGTCTAACTTGGGGATGGTCTTCAGACCAACGACCCCACACTTGATGTGAGCTTCCTTTGAGAAACTGCAGGCACGTCAGCCTGTGTTGAGCACCACAGTCGGGGAGTTAGAGTCAGGGGGCGGGTTGTCATTTTCCCATTCTTGCCCTGCCCAGTAGGAGTCCCTGAGGATGGCTGCCACAAGCTGTGGCGGGAGAGGGACTGAGAATGGGAGTATCCACAGGGGACGAAAGCCAAACACAATGTGGCCGAGCGGCAGTGCACAGGCATCTGGACCGACTGGCCAAGGCCTCTGTCCATTGCTCCTTACTTTGATGGCTGGTCTGCTTGCTTTCTCTCTTTTCCTTCCTCCCTTACTCTCTTTTGTGGTTCACGGAGCACATTAAAGTGCATTTGAAACCCATGATATTCCTTACCGAGTCAAGGGAAGCGGCACTGACTCAGCCACTGCGGTGTCCTTGGGAATAAGAATTACTCACGAAAGACCAAGACTGTAACAGCCGACTTGTCCAACATGCAAATTAACTCAAATAAGACCTTAGGCCAAGGTGGAGACTAATGGCTCTGCGTGTTTTCTTTTTTTCCAGCATGACATGGATTTATTTTGCTCGTATTCCACTCCTGAACCACCCCGGACATGAAAGCGGCACCAGAGATCCCATTTCAGCTAATGCCGGATCACGAGCCTTTTCCAAAAAAGTACGGCAGTGCGACCCCACGGTTTTTCCGGCTTGCATCAGAAGGGACTATGTAAATGGTATGCAAATAAAAAAAATAAACGAATAAAAAAAGAGCAAAGGACAGAGGAAAAGAGACGCGACAGCGAATGGAAGATGGCCTACTGGAGAGACCATCTCTAACACCGCGATGAAGACCAGCGATTGTTTATTTTATTTCCAGGGCAAACCTTGTAAAGTCAACAGTAAAAGGCAAACACTTTATATTCCATCGCAGTGAGAAGGAAGGTGTTCCTGCATGAAAATCCTAAACGCACCTACTGATAGAGTGGCTTGCCAAGAGAGGGAGGGGAGAAAGGATAGCCAGCTGGAATTGAACAGATATAGCTGAAAATGAGCTCCACGCCGAAATTTCTTATAGCTTGACTTACCTTTTCATGGATGTATTTGAATGTGCCTTTTTTTATGCTGCAGTTTTATTAAAAGCCATTAGCTTTTTCTGAAGAGAGAAGAGAAGCTTGACAGACCTTTCATTTCAATATCACGCGCATTGAAGAGCGAAGTATAGACAGTACTGAACAAGCGAAGACGACGAATGTTCGGAATTGATAACAGTATCCAGATTTTTTTGTGTAGATAATGTAAGATAGTAATATAGTTATTTTTGTAATGTAGACACAAATACCAAGCAAAACAAGTATTTCTGCCTTGTCCTTTAACATCCTAATTTGTAGTAGTTGGTACGCACAGCAAACCTTATGTTACGTCGCATCATTATTCCTGTTTTTTGTAAATAAACCTTGTAAACAATATGCCAGGTCTCGTCACGGCTGATGATTTAACGAGAATTAAATCCTAATCCTCGCTAAACCACAGATTCCTTAATGCTAACCCGTCAAGGGTAAATAGGGGGTCATGAAAATCCAGCCAAAAATTTCGACACGCGAGAATGCCTTAGAAACATGTCTTGGAAAACAGCTTTCAGTGTTTCTCTTTGGGCATCAGGTTTGGAAAGGAAGACATGGCTGGGGACATTATTGTTATGATGTATAATTCAGAAGTTGGCTGAATTCACAGAGAATATTATTCCTTGATGCCCTTCTGTACAGCGTCTCAAACTCCCCAACTCCAAACTTCCCAAATTCCATGCAACACTTTTCATACTCACTAATATTGGGCTACGGTTACAGTACATGAAAGTACTTATATCAAGCGTAAATCAAAGCTAGAAGTGAAACAGAAAAAAATCTTTATAGACACCAAACCGCAAATTACACAATGGAAGAAATGCGTACACATTCTTTTGGATTCTTTGGGAAGAAAGCAAGTTGGGCAGAAGCCCAAAAAGATGCTGGGAAGAACAAATCTAACCATTTCACCCCCACTGCTCTCTCACGTCGTCGTTAATGGTTCAGTAGTGCGATTTAGGGTCCAGTGAGATTGGGAGTGAAGTTCTGGCTAATGGGATGTAGACTTACAGGATAAAAATCAGTGCCATTTCAGGGATAAATTAGGATGTCCCAAGAGACAATGGGTCCTTCAGCTTTCAGAGTCCATTACAAAGGTCTCAAAGTCTGGGTTCAGTTCTGATACCAGAGCGTCCACAAAGTCCTCAATGGTGGGACGTTTCTGCAGCATGCCTGGAGAAACAGAAGACAAAACACCACAGTTACAGGCTCATCAGAAACTTTGTACTAAATTAATAATCTCAATGTTCCTCTTACTTATGTAAAGAGGGTTTGGTAACACTTTATTTGATGCCGTCATCTATAAAGCACTATAGATACCTGCATAATGCATTATAATGGTCAGTATAAGAATTAATAAAGCATTACAGCATCTTCTATTGACAGTCATAAGGTGTTTCAGTGTTGACTATAATACTCCATATAATGCTCCAATTAAGCTCATCTATAAAGCACTATAGATACCTTCATAATGCATTATAATGGTAGATATAAGAATTATGGAAGCTTTGAAATGCATTATGAACGCATCTATAGTGTGTTAGAGATGAGACCTTCAAGAAGCATTCATAATGCAGAATAAACATGGCTATGATATGCCTTTTTAATATTTATATACAATTTATATTATATATAATATTTTATAATGCTTTATGATGTGTTATGAATGTGTTCATAGATTCCTATAGACATGGCATAAATAGAAAGTGTTACTGAGGGTTTTAAAATAAAGAAAATATATGAGGATTAATTATGCAACACACAACTAATTTTTAGGAAATAAAGCAGAGCTACCAGTTACAGTCGAATCCAATATAACCTGAATGAATCTGTGGAAAGTCCACAGCAGCAGCAGAATTAATTGGGTGCATTGGTTATGAGATTCCCTGTCTGGGTATTTTACGAGCTGCCTGATGAAAACTTCAGCTGAGGGGTGTGTGTGTGTGTGTGTGGGGGGGGTGGTTCACACCTGTGCGGTTAAAGCATCAGCAGCTGTTGCGGCCTGTGAGTCACGCAACCGCAGCAGCTCTGCTCCCCCCTGCTCCCCCCTCGTAAACAGTGCGTGGGACTCAGCCCTCATATCCCTGTTGTGCGCGCCGTTCTCTGGTCTGTCACTGGCCTCTGCCTACTTAAGCTCTAAAGTCTGGTCCCTCTGCACTCTCTCAAGGTGTGTGGAGGCAATATCGCAGCTAGTACCCCGAAATCCACATCGACACGGAACGTGTGTGTAAACTCAACCCATACAGTCCCTGGTCCTTACAAAACACATGTGGGAAAGGGTGCTGGTCTTCTGCAAAAAACCCACAAATACACTGCCAGTGCAACATGCACCCGCGCCTTTTCTTGCAAGAATCGTAAGCAACAAAGTTGCTTGACTGAGAGGCAGAATTGTAACGCTAATCTTAATTTACTTCAAACAAAGTTTAAACAAATAATACTTGCATGTCTGAAGTGTATCACACTGCGAAAAACTTGCTAAATTGGAACAATAGAAGAGACTTTGAAACGACGGATCTGGAAACTGGCTCGACAGGTGTAAGCGATCTTTCTTGTGGCCTGGCCTATATTTACCTGCTGTGGCAGCGTCGCAGTAATTCATTACACAGCAGTTACACCCTGGCCTGGGGATCTCACAGGGTCAGGCTTTGAAGCTGCCTGCTGTACTAACCCACAGATAGGCCATTATACCCAAACAGCATGGAGTCTGGACTGCGATAGGAGAGAATGCCACCAGTCTTTATTGTTCAAACACTGAAGAGAGACTGGAGGGGGGTGAGAGAGAGAAAAAAAAAGGGAAAAAAAAATCACAGCTTGAAATGTCCAAGGGACCGAATCTGTCCATGCGGTTCATTTCACCGGGAAAGAGAAATCGGTTTTGCTGGCAAAAACCATGGAAAACATCAACCACTGTACTATGATCCAGCCACTAGAATTTCACGCCAGCCTTTGGCTTCCCACTGAAAGCACTTTTGGTACCGAGGTAATTACGACGCACAGTCCTACTATAAAGTGTCAGTTCTAGGTGTTTTCTTTTCAATGGCAGAGATGGTATGAAATCCAGCTAATGGCTTTTATAACTGTTCCCTCTGACTTTTCCTGTCTCTCACAAAAGAAGATGGAATATTAGTAAAAAAAAAAAAAATGAGATGTGGTTTAGCTTTGTCCCGGAAGGTGCCGGAAGATTTCACGATAACCTGAGAACTGTAGGAAGGGAAACTCTATGACTGTACTTTTGAAAGAGATAGCTCTCATTATGTGCCCAGTGTCATTCGGCAAAGCTTGCTAGAGGAAGACTGTGATATCATTTGTGTCAGAAGACCAAACAAGAACTCCCAAGCTCGTAATTACACACTGCAGAGTTAATTGCATGGTATCGGGATCCGTGCAGTGCCATTCCATTCCGCCAGCCGCTTTGATCTCAGACAGCTTAGAGGTTTATGGATCTACCTCAGAGACACAGACAAAGGACTCAGCGTCGGAGTCCGGCACCGAAATCCCCCGGAACAAAAACGACGGAGGCGGTCTTGTTTACGCACGGAAGGCTTTCACACCACGTCAGTTTTTTCTTCCCCTCCTCTGAGCAACCAGACCTTCCTTAACTTGCTGTCGAGATCCTTCAGAAAAGCCTGGTGCCTGGTGCCGGGGCGGGGGGGGAGCATATATAATGGCCCTGAGGATGTTATTACTCTCCATTTCCCAGAGGCACCAACAAATGGTGGGCAAAGAAGGCTTCTTATCTCAGAAAACAAAGTACTGCCAAGGTGACAGGAGAAAATCCCTTTAAACATCCCTTTAACCGGACCTTATTCTTAATATAGCAGTGATTGCTGGTGGATTTATTAGCAATGGCAAATTAAAAAAAAAAATAAGCCTGACATATCCAAACGTATATCCACATCGGCAGTGGATGTGGAATTTGGCAGCCATTGAGTCTGAATAGTTTTCAATGATCCTGAGCCTTAGGCTATGCAGCACAAACATGGGTTGGGATAGCTTGTTCCCCATCTTGTTCTATAGTCCTGTGGTCCCACGTTGAACTACAACATAAAATGATTTACTTCATAGCACATAAATAAGATTGTGAAAGCACAATGTTTTCTTTATAATACAGTTTCCTGTTCCTCCTTTGGAGAAGGCACTACGGCTGATGTCTTCACACGTCATAGGCAGTATTTCAGCTGGAGTGTCCCAGCTTCCAACTCACTGATGCTCACTAGGATTAAGAGCCACTGAGGAAAATGATCCCCCTACAACCTGATCGAATGGTTTCACCCATCCATTCAAAAGTCCCTGACTTTCTATGCTAGGAGTGAACAAAAAGCAAACATCAGGGTCATTGTCAAGGTAGTGACTGGACGGTGTGGTATGCCGTACTGTGTCAATAGTTTTTGTGAGCAGTAAGAATCTAGATTTCTTTAAAGCCCAGTGGAGCTGGATAACTATGAATCTGAGCAGCAAAGACCCTGGAAAATGGTATGAAAAACAAAGGAACGGGTTTGGTTAATTACATAAAATAGTAAAATCCATGGAAAAAATGGGCCTATGTGTTGCCAAATTTTATTATACGAGGTGGTGCAAGGTTAAGTTCATCCTAGGGTTAATGCATCATTAATTTCATGGAATATTTATGCACTTTGATATTTAAAGAAATATTGTTGGCAAAACTCAAAGCTCATGTGGTTGGGAAACATTCATCCGTCTTTTGACAGTGAATCCAGTGCAGGGGCCCTGGAGCGAATCCCAGGTGGTAAAGAGCAGGGGAACAACCTGGATGGGTGCCAATCCATGTGCAGACACAGACATAAACAAACAAACATAAACAAACAAACATAAACAAACAAACATAAACACACACACACACACACAGTCGTGTAAGCATATCTTTTTGAGGACCCCTCATTAATTTCTATGGGAAAAATGCTAACGCTAACTATGACGACCTTAACCCCTTCCCACCCCTAACCATAGCCATAAGTAACCTAACAAAATACAAGAGTTTTTGCAGTTTTAGTTTTTTCATCGCACTCAAGGATTTTTATAAAACAGTTTAGGTAAGGTATACCTGCACCACACACACACACACACACACACACACACACACACACACACACACACACACACGTTTGCACATT